ATATATATGTATATATATATATATATATATGTCCCAGCTGCGCCAAAGGATTAATGTGTACTACATTAAAAATAAACAATTGAGTAAAATTAATGAATTATATATTAAAATACTTTTTAATTGGTCATTATTATTTTCTATGGAATTTTCATTTAATATATTCTTTTTATTGCTAAAAATAGCTTGAAAAATAAAGTTCTTTGATTTTGACATTATCCTTATTGCACGAAAATTCTCTATTAAAAATGTTCCATTCTTTTTCCTCTGGTTTTAAAACGTGTAAGAGAGGTAACTTGCAAATGAAATTTTGACAAATATTCCACTAGCTAGATTACTAAAATTTCAATTGGACCTCTGTACATGATAATAAAACAATCCTTCCCTGACTGTAACAAGAATTCATAGCATATCGAATTTTCCATTCATTTCTCACTAGATTCAAATCTCAGTTGTTTACAGTACAAGAAACAATAACTGTTTCTCGATCGATACAAGTCATTTTAAGTCAAAAATTTTATTATTTTACAAGATACTGAAATTTCGACTGTATTTCTATGTTCGACATGGCAAAACAAATTTCAATCTCTTATGGCCTAATAGATTTTGAGACCAGTAGGTATTTTCCTTCTTTTCGGACAAGCTAGAATGCTCAAATTTAATTAAAAATAGTAAGCAGCAGTAAGCAGACAAAATTTTGAGCACTTTAGGATATTTACAAATTAATAAACACGAAACTAAAGAAAATCATAAACTAAAACTGAACAAAAAAAAGGTTTAAAAAACCACGTTTTTCAAGAGATTTTAAAAAATATAAATTTTGTCACTCCTTTAAGTTTGTATTAACTTTTTCCTTTGGTTAACGCCCTATGTTTCTCAGTTTAAATAATTTTAAAATATTTTCTTCACCCATTTAAAAAAAACTTTTTGTTTCATTAGTATTTATTAAAAATTTTTATGTACCTAGACCTAAATCCCAAAAATTAGTTAATGCATTAAACTGTACTTATAACTTTGATTAACTCCAACAAAATGTAGTTTTTTTTTCACAGCAATATACTGTCTTGAATATTCGTCACTTTTCTTTTTTTCCCGTTAGGTTTAAACATTTAACAGCTAAATGTAAAAAGGACAACTTTAAATACTACTACAATCCCTGTTTTCCTTTTAACCTTGGTGGATCGTGTATTGATGTAGCTGTGAGTATACAATGCATTTGCTTATGTTTTATTCCTTAATGTTACGAATAAATAATTCTTTAAAAAGTTTGTTATTTGAAAATTTTTTTTAACCATGACTGTCAACTCAATTTGTCATATTTTTTACTAACACTTAATTTTAAAAAAAAAAAAAGTCTCCATGCATTGACATATTTCAGAAAATTTAATTGAATTGGGAAAAAATCTTAAAAATGGTATGAGAGTTAAATTTTTTTTAAACTGAAAATTTTTAAAAAAAATTCAAGCAATGGGTTTTAAATAAAACCAAAGATAATTTACTCGCCCGTTAAAATCTAAATGATTTTACAAATTGTCAATTTCATAAAATTGTAAATTTTTTTGTTTTTGTTTGTTTTCTAGTTCATCTATATCTATATTAAAAACAATTACTGTCATCGCTGTAACTTCCGATTCAAAAATTTTTGATGAAGCAAATGCTTCTCACTCTAATACAGCATTTATAATAATAAAAAATAATAAAATTTTGCATCTTTGTTTAAGCAACATAACAATTTGAGAAAAAAATTATATTGATCAGAAGGTAAGCTTTTGAGATATTTGGGAAAAAAACGTGGTTCCACCTATTTAAGTCAGTACGAAGAAAACTACTAATCGTGATATCGGATAATTATTGATTATTAAAAAATATATGAATTATGATTTATAGCGGTCACATTCTTCGAAATCTGAATATTTGAAACACGTTTTCCTTTATTTGAAGTTTGAATTGGTTTTGGAGTTATATAAATTCTCCAGTATTACTTTTTTAATTTTTTTTTATAACTATGTAGTAAAGGAAAAAACAAAACGCAAAAATAAATAAATAAACAAATAAAAAGTTTTCTAGCCACGTGCTCTTACGACTGTCTATAAAAAGGATCGTAACTTTTTTTTCATAAATAAAATTAGATTTGGAGTTATTAAAATTATTTAGTTAGATTATTTGCAGATATTTTTTTCTTGAAATTAATATATATCCGGTAAGGTTAACAAAAAATAAATATTTTAATTATTAAAATGACACAAAAGTGCACACATATATATCACGCCTCTGTTGAAAAAAAAATTATTATTTTAGTTGGAGGTTTTGATATTAATATTTATTTAAATTAGTGTCCAGAACTTAATAAACGTTTGCTTCTGCCCCATTTCTAGGTTAATTCAGTTTTTCAAAGATTTCTTTTAATTAAAATAATATCTGCGGAACCCACAATTATCCAATACAAGAAATCCAGCTGAAACAAATAAATAATTAATAAAAAAAGGGGGTTACTGTGAGATTTTACGACAGTTGAACAGTTCCATTCCATTAGACTAGGAAATTCGAACATGAACTGTTGGACTGTTTCGGAATGTCTTACTTATTGAACTAGTTATAGACAATAAAGAATGTGAACGCAGTATGAATTTTATGCAATACGGAATATTGAAACTTTTTTTTGTCCTTCATAAATTTATGGAATTTAATTTTTTAAGTTGTGTAATGTTGTTGTGAAGTTGTGTTGCGAGGTCTTTGATTTTGAGTCGAGGTTAAAAAAAAATTTAGTTACGAATTTTAAGGTCTGGTTTTAGTCTTTTGACAGAATTTAACTCTTTCTATTTTTTCTCAACTAGGTTTGTCAAGTTCAATTCTCTTCCACGCCCAAAAACATCCAGCATTGGGATTGTGGCAACAATAATAATGAATTTATATGGAATACAGAACGTAGCGCTTATACTTTAGTGTATACAGCACATAATCATAGCGATGAAAGGTAAGGAGTTAGTACAAAAATATTCTATGTACAGAGGGAGAAAAACACCAGGAATAACTTTTGAATCGGATCTTCACGTTCAATCACAACTAATGGTTTAAGAGGTTGACCTCAAATATGCTAATTAGACAGTGCAGACGATATCTTAAGTAACGAAGTAAGATTCAAAAATGTACTTTCTTTGAATAAACATTTTTTTCGACGGATTATGAAAGTTTGGACCCCTTGAAGTTAATTATTCTTTTTGTCTATTTCAACAGATTTTATAAATATTTTTAGGCGCGCGCGAATTGAAATATTTTTGCACACAATTATTCAACTTTTATTATTTATTTATTATTTATTTAATAATGGTCAGAAAAATTCTGAATTTTTAAGATATAAATGATTTTTGCATTACTTTAAAGAATGTTATTTAATACGGCAAAGTACAACATTTCAACGAAGTCGATCGAATAGTTAGTGAGCAATCGTATTTTTTTTTTATTTTTAAAAAAGTTAAGATATTTAAACTTCAAATTGGCAGGAACTCAATATTTTTCTGATTACGTTCAAATTTTGTATTTTTTCATATAAAATTACATCCTTTAAAATAATGTGATGTAAAAATCTGCGTATCTCTCAATTTAAAAATTTTTAGACTATTATTAAATAAAATAATTTTTTAAATTATTTATTGTGTGGAATCATATCTTTGGAAGAACGAATTTTATAATTGTGAGTAAAATTTTTTCATTTAGTTAAAAAAATTCTCGAGATGAGTCAAAATAGGCCAAAAAATATAATTCACATTAAGGGATCCAAACTTTCGACGGAGAATCGGTTGTGAATCCGACTCTGCTTTAAAAAAAAAAAAAAAAAAAAAAAAAAAAAAAAAAAAANAAAAAAAAAAAAAAAAAAGCATTAACATAGGGTCCTTCAACGTGAAGATCCAATCATTTTTTTTAAAAGATATTCAGGGTGATTTTTTCCCTCTTTATAGGGCTACTTTAATTATTTTTTTTAACTACTAACTGCAAAAAAATTTTTTTGCAAAGCCTTTTTTTCTGCTTTTTCAAAGGTTTTATTAGATATAAAATAACACGTGAAAATCATTTTACCACTTCGATATGAGTTTCTCTTTTTTTTCGGTTAAAATCATAAAATAAATGTTTTTCCTTTACTTTACTTTCAAAAGTGCAATACTGTCAGTATAGCGAGGATAGTATTTCTCCTGTTCATTTATTTTCACGAGAATGGTCAATTCGTTTTAACTTAAGGAAAATTTTCAGAATTCAAAATATCCTTATTTTAATGGCAGTGCAGAATACCTATATATTAAAGCCGCTGTTCCCAAGTGGGTTCCCCCAAAAGAGTTTTTTGAGTTAGGATTTTTTTTTTTTTAAGTCAGTAATGATTTTTGAAACCTGTAATAGGTTTGAATCCGAACAATAATTTATTATTTATTAACTACGAAGATTATTTTTATGAAATTATTTATGTAAATTTGCAATAAAAAGGAAATGGCAAATTTAAAAAAAAAATAAATAAATTCCCATAACAGTATATTAAATAAATTACTAAAAGTCTATGCATTTTCAAATGAATAGCATCAGTATTTTTCATAGAGCTTAGATATTCTAAACAAAATAATCTAACTCAAGAGAGCATAATTATTTTTTGATAAACATTATCTAAGTTTATAACTGTTCTTTTGCAAAATCCATAATTCGGCTTATTTTATACAATTTCAACTCACACGGAAAAATCATCTATCTAAAGCCAGCTTTGTTGGCTGTCTATGCTTATTTTGAAAATAGAGTAAAACATCAATATGGAGAAAAGCGAAAATTTTGTGAAAATGAAAAGCGTTTGTGGTCGAATTTTTTAATATTTAAAAACTCACTCTAATGCTGCATTACTTGGGGCAGGGCTCGGAAAAACTCAGAAATTTTATCCGCTCCGGAGGACGGCTTGTCCAACAATGTACCCGTCCTCCTTTGAAACTAACCCGGCGCTTCTAAATAAATAAGAATATAATTTTCTCTTATTTATGACAAATATTTATATAAATTGCACAATGAATTAATAGTTACTAGGATTACAAATACTAGTATTACATTATACAATAATAAAAGAAATACTAGGTTACTTATAGTAAAACCTAGTATTTCTATTATGAAATAATTTATTTCTTTGATGAAATAATTTAAATAACAAAGGTTAAGTTATCTGTTAATTATCATGTCAATTTATCCGATGGTACTGCGTTTTTTAAATGAATCAAATATGACGTTTGCCAGTTCCACAATCAAGCCAATGATTTACAGAGGTTTCTGCACAGAAATCTAAAAGAGGTTTTCCATTTAGGTAGATGTTCATAAATGCGTTTAACGCTTCTTGTTTAAGACCAGTAAGTAATGTGTTTTTTTGTAAGTTCATTGCTGAAAAGCCCCTTTCAACCGCTGCAGTACTCCCAGACAGAGAAAACATCAATTCCACCATGCGCAGTATGCAGTATGTTGCTGTATTTCGAGATTAGAGGGTCATTTTAGAAGTGAGGCGCTAGACTCTTGTAAGATAACAAAAATTGAAAATATATCACGAACATTAACGGGAAAATCGGGAAAATGGCCGTCCGCGCGGACGCTGGATTCGAGAAATTTGTTGTCCGCGGGGAATTTTTGACCGCCGAGGACGGGAGGACGGGCGGTTTTTCGAGCCCTGACTTGTTGTCATAAAAATTTGCAAAATCTGAGAATACGGCGGTTATATTGATAATTTTCAACTAGGTGGGAAAATGTCGCTAAATTGGTGATTTTTAAAAAAGTTTAATAATTTTTGAAATATTTAAGTTATTTGCCTGTTTTAAAGCCCAAATAATTCTTCACGGCAAGATTATATATATAGTTTAAAATCATCGCATTGCTTCAATTGGAAGGCACGTAAACTATGGCTTTTTTATTTTCCATAGCGACAGAACTTCGAAAAGAAGCTTTAAAGGATGAAGATTACTCGTTTGTGTGAATTTCGGTAATATGCACTGTAAAAAAAATCTATAAATTTAGAGCAACGTAAATTTACGAAGGAAAAAAAAACTTTCAACAGGCGTGCCAGTATAAAACTGCTTATTTTACAGAAAAATACTATTATTTTTATACGCCTGTTTTTTAAGCAGATAACTGTCATTTTAACAAAAAATTCTTTAAAATAACATTTTATATTTTATTTTATTTTATAACCGTCGTTGAACAGCCGACCCAATTTTATGGGTTCCTTGTAATTTTGAACCCAATCCAGAAGACAAGGGAACTCCTGGATCGAGTATTGGGAGAACTCTGCCTTTGTGGAGGATTTTTTGATGGAGCTAACCCACATTTGCGTTACATGGAGAGGAAGACCACGAGAATCTTCCACGGTTAACCTAACGGCTAGCGGACTCTAACCCATGATCCAGCTACCACTGAGGATATTTCACGTCAACACTGTGGTCAGTGCAAGCTGGATGCGGAATTCGTATCGACTGGGATTCGAACCCGGTTCGGTTCGCCTCATTGGAAGGCGAACGATCTATTCCCTAAACAGCATTGTGGTTGGTGCATTGGAAGAGCAGAATTCATACAACCAGTCGACATTGTGATTCGAACCTGGGCCACCTCATTGGGCGGAGAGAGCTCTATTCTCTGAACTATTGTAGCTCTAATGACTGAAACTGTTTTTGTCTAAGTCTTATGTATTAAAATAATATTTAAGTGTGAAACATTTAAAACTATATTGGCCAACCCGTATTAAAACGTCTGGCAACTTAACTTATCTCAGAGTTTTACCTAAAGATATAAATGTTACAGTTAAAGTAATAAATCCGGTTATTATTAATATTAACTGGTCAATATTAATAAAAACTGCTTCTTTTGATCAAAATGAGAAATATCGCAAATTATACACTTTAACCGGTTATTATTGATAATAACCAATGAAGTTTTCGTCATTGTGATTAAACTACTTATTTTAACTTCATTGGGACATGGGTGTGCTTCTTTGTATATATGTGTTACGGTTAAAGTGATAAATCCGGTTATTATTAATACTAACCGGTCAAAATTAATGACTTCTTTTGGTCAAAGTGAGATATAAAAAGGAGAGATTTCCATATCGTGATCTGTGGCAGAATAATCGCTAAGTTTTGGCAACTTCCGGGCAGAGGACCTCGAGAAACTATAAAAGAAAAAAGTATTGTGAATAGTGCGGCTTTGAGGAGAACTCCTCCAGACTGAAAGTCTGCTGCTATGGTAAAAAGCGAGAGCACATTTCTAATGGGGGTTAAATGGAGGAAAGGTGTCGATTGGTTTACTTACGACGACCTACGCTAAGATTAAGACAAAACTATTCACCCCACACCCCTAATCTAATGTCCTCGTAACCATAGTAACCGCCACGACGGGAGACGGGTGTCTGGAGGAGTTCTCCTGAAAGCCGTACTATAACTCCAAACTTACAGCTGTTTAAGAAAATGAAACAAATTTGTTTTCAGACATTAATAATTTGTTTATTACAGGAAAACTATTGTTGAACTTAAATGTTCCAAGGAAGCAACAACACCATTGTTAGAGGTTAGAGGAGAACTCCAAACGAGGGTTTACGTAAATATATTGTTGTTAATAAACTTTTCTTTTTCCGTAAAAAGTTTTTTACAAAATAATACACTTCTTGTGACATATTTGCATATTTATAGTGTATACTCCAGTTTTTTCCCATTCTTTTTATTTTGTAAACGTTTTTATTTATGTGGAAAAATGTAGTCTTTTTTTTCTTCTTTAGATTGTACAGTGCGAAAAAAAAAGGACCACCCTGCATAACTTTTGCACTTTTGCAGTAATGATTAGATCTTCACATTCTAAGAATCAATCTTAATGGCTCGTGGGGGTGATCTCAAATATGCTAATTGATTAGTGCAGACGATATTTTAAGTTACGAAATAAGATACAAAAACGTACTTGCTCTGAATAAACATACCCCTTTTTTTCTTCAAAAGATTTGGATTTCTTATCCCCGAAATATAGGAGGTAGCTGCAATCTGGAAAATACGATCCCCATAGTTGGTCAGATGAGGGGTCCAAAGTTTGAACCCCTTAATGTTAATTTGATTTTTTACATATTTCGCAATAGTTTAGGAACTTTTTATTCGAATTGAAAAGTTTTTTTACACAATTATAAGATTCGTTTGTCAAAAGATAATTCCATGCAAAAAAAAATTTTTTTCAATATTTATTATTTTAATAGTAATCAAAAAAATTTTCAATTGTAAGACCTAAAATTTTTTATATAATTTTAAAAATTGTAATTTTACAACGCAAAATACAAAATTTATGCAAAATCGGTCCAACAGTTCCCGAGAAATCAAATTTTAAAAGAGTCGTATATTTAAAATTTGATTTCTCAGAAACTATTAAACTGATTTCGTTTGAATTTTGTATTTGCCATCTAAAACTACATGCTTCAAAATGATGCAGAAAGTTGGTATACATTTAAAAAATACTGTCTGAGGAATATACAGCTTACTAATAATTAAATGTAATTGTGAACTACCTAAAAAGAATAATTGATAAAATTGTTAACTGCTTCATGAAGAATTTTTATTAAATATATTTTTTAAACTTATTTATAAGTGAAAAACATTATATTTAACATTTTAACAATTTATGGTTACAAAATACAGCATGAAACAATAGTGTCTTTTTCTGCATTGAAGGCGAAATCTTCCAAACACTATTTTTTCAAATTAGCACTAATTTCGATTTAAGAAAAATAGTTATTCATCATTGAAATTTCTCTAATTATCAAAATTATTTAATGATAAATTTTTGAATGTGAATGAAATTTCTTTTAAATTTCTTTTTTTTTTTAATTATATATTTTAGTGCAAATATGATTCCAATAGTCTAAAAGATTTTTGTTTAATAACTATTGGAATGCTTTTTATAATTAAAAAGTACCAAAATATATTATGACTTGTAATTAGAGCGTCGGGAAAAAAAGCATATGAAAGGGATACTGATGATCCATCAGCGTAAAAGAGTTAAAAAATACATTATTTGTTTAATATTAGTTCATTTATATATAATTTTACTATTATCAAGTAAAATTGTACATTCCAGAAGATTTCAAGCTTCTATTCTAATTAAATAGAAAGTTCAAAGATTTGTTTTTAAAAAAAAAATCACAGGTAGAAAAAAGTTTTATTAAAGAGGTAGATTCTTATATAATGTTTTATAAATTCAGTTTTTTTTTTTAACTCCATAGAAATAAATAGGTCTGTTGCTTTTGTACTATGTCAATTACTATCTAAACGCATTTAAAGGTGTTATAAAAAGCNAGGAATTAATAAGTTCTCAAATGGTTGTTGGAGTGAGTTTCAGTTGCCTACCCTAGAATGTCCCAATCACGCCTTATATGGTTAATGTCTGGAGATCTCACCGGCAAATCTAACTGGAGAATATTTTTACCTTTTCAGAAATTCGCAGACCAGATGAGCCATGTTTAACAGCGCACTGTCATTCATTAAACTGAAATCAGTCACAATCGTATCCCAGAAAAAGCAATCATAGCAAGCTTACATTTCTCATCTCAGTCAAAATAGCCTCCTTTAAAGAGATATAGTGTTTTGTGACCATTAAACAAATTGGTTGCCCAGACCACTAAATCTCCTTTGCATTAATGGCAGATTTCTTAGACATTTTGGGTCCCCGGTGCATGTTTTATTAAGATCAGATCTTCCTTTCAATGGATTTAGATTTTTTGACTTTCAAAAGAGGTGTAATCAGGAAAATATAATTCCTGGTCCAGCAGCTTAGTCATTAGAGCGATCGAAAATTAAATCTTATTAATTTTACTAGCACTAATTAATGTTTATGAATTTTAATGCTTTTCACTAGGAAATGAGATTAACAAGTAGATGTGCATGTCCTGATCTTTGCTCTGATGTTCCTGTTTCTGTTGGTTCTACATTGAGATTTCATTTTGTAAGTTCCTAAAACTATGTGAAAAGTATTTCTAAATGTTTGTACTTACATATTTTTCTTTATAATTTTAAGCAAAAAGTTGTAGTGTTTTATTCAAATATGAAGAGTACAAATGCTCTTAATCATAAAGTTTACAAACTTACATTATTTAACAACACTCTTAAGGCTGTGGTAGCCAAGTAGTAAGAGTAACGGGAGCAGTATATACAATATAGGTGCTCATAAAATCTATGGAAACAAAATTCCTTTGCTCTATCTTTGAACAGTACAATGGGTATAGGAATCCTTAGAAAATTTCCTTCCATTTAAGATCTATGTTTAAATTGAGGAAGTGGCCTCACGAATCTAAAGTCCTTTGGTCGGTCTTTGAACAGTACCATGGGTACAGGAATCCCTAGTAAATTTCTTTCCATTTAGACCTATGTTTAAATTGAAGAAGTGGCCTCAATAACATTAAACATAATAATTAAATAACAATAAACACTCTCAATTTTTAAATCCTGATTTTTTTCCATATTCAACTTATATTTGTGTCTAAATAAATAGATTGGTATTAATTGGCTAATTTTGTTCATTATGTTATTTTGGTTGGAAATTCTATTTTAAAATATTCACAGTAATAAATGTATGTCAAATTTAATGTTTACATTAAGCAATTTTAATTATTGCATATTTTTCTATGACATTAACCATTTTATTTACAGGTTTTTATTATTTGTTTCATGCTTCTCACTATGATATTTCAACTGATTTCTCGCATTTAGTTCATGTAAGTAATTTTTAAAGCAAAACTTTTTCGTAAAAAGTAGTGATTAAATTTTTCGTTTTTAGGTTATATTTTTGAATTTTGTTTTCTTGATGATTTCCTTTCTACTAAAATGCTACTAGATTACTTAGAAATTTCAAATATACTATTCTTGTTACATTTGGATATTAATTAAAATCATTTTTCAGGATGACTCTGTCTTTAGAATAGTGGAATGAGAGATTGCAAAACTGAAACTGCCTATGAAACAACCAAACTCTTTTTAGAGATAAAAATAGAATGCAAAAATAAAAAAAAAAAATTATAAAAATTTCCTGATTTGGAGATTTATTTTTAAGTTCTCTATACCAAAATATTTTTATAACATATGAGTATCCGAAAAATATAATTGTTTGCAAATAATAAGTAATAAACTATTACCATACATGCCTGTTGTTAATTGTAAAATTTGTACTCTCAAAACAACAGCGAGTGTTAAAACCATGTTTGTGAACTGTTAAGATAGAGTATTTAATCTATTGTCAATAACTTAACTGCTGTACTTTTTTTTAATAACCAGTTTACTCTGAACATATACAAGATCTTTTGTAACTGTTTTAAATAAACTTATACAGGGTGCATAGCCAAATTTTTCGACAAAAACTAAACACCATTTAAGCAATCAAAAAACATTTTTAATCACTTTTAAAAATATCAACAAAAAAAATAATTAGGTAGGGTTGGCAAGTTTGTGACAATTGACGATTTTATCAGGTTTTAACAATCATGTCAAAAAAAAAAAATATCATGATTTATTGGAAATATTCATGTACATATAAGCAGGGATGCAGAAAATTCTCTGTCCCTAATAATTCCTCAGAAAGAAGTTTAACCTAATAACTCTGTATAATCTAGCAACATGTATAGATTACTTTGGTTTTTATTTGCAATTACTGCATAAAATTTTCCAAGCTTAGCTTAAATATTTATAAAAATTTTTATAAAAAACTAATCTTCTTGTCTTAGTTTTTTTGCTACAATTTTAAAAATATTCAGCAAAAATAAACAAAATTTTTAGGCAACTTAAAATCAAATTCAAGAATTTAGTTTTAAAAAAGTTTGCTTAAAACTACATAAGATATGAGCATTTAAAGGTTCACTTGTACTGCACGTGCACGAAAAATTTACCCCCCCCCACCCATAATTTTTTAGTAAATTGTATTTGGCAATTAATTAAAAATTTTTTTATTTGAATATCTTAAAAACCTAAAATGTTTTGAGCAGTTTTCTATGCAGTTTTTGTACTTTTTAAAATAAAGCTCAATATAATGAGGGGTTTTTGATAAATTTTATTTTGCAGCATTGAAAATGATACTACCTTATAACCAAACAGCAAGAACAAACAAATACGAAATTTTTCAATAGCTGCCAAATACAATTTACAACAAAATTAAGAAGTAGAAATTTTTTTTTTTGAGCATGAGTTGTACGAAAGAACTACTTTAAATACTCAATACCTCGTAGAATCATACAACACTCAATATCTTGTTAAATACTCATACAATTCTCCTTCAATATCTTGCTTAGTTTTAAGTGAACTTTTTTCAAATTCTAAAACAAAATTTTTGAATTCCATTTCAAATTGCTCCAGAATTTTGTTTAAGTTTGCTGATAATTTTTAAAATTATAACAAAAAAAAAAAAAAAAAAAAAAAAAAAAAAAAAAAAAAAAAAAAAAAAAAAAAAAAAANAAGCTTTTTTTTTTTTTTTTTAATAAAAATGCTCATATCTCTATAAATATTTAAGCTAGAATTATGAACTTTTATGCAGTTGTTGCAAATAACAATTAAAATAATTGATGCACATTACAAGCCCATTGCTTGATTTTCTCTCATAGGGTGTTTAAAAATACTAGTTTCTTTTTGTAATTTATTGTGAGCCAATCAAACCTCTGAAAACTTTAAACCTTATTCCAAACAACTCTAAAGTTACAAAATAATCCTCAGAGTATTTCTTGAGAAATTAAAATAATAACAATAATTTCAAAAATTAACAGTGTCTCTTCCATTATTGTAGTGCACCATCATCCTTTTATAAGACATTAAAGTATTTTACAATGCAAATGTGTAAATGAAGCTGCTTAAAAAAATATTAAAAAATTGTAATAAATTAATATTTAATAAAATCAACAAGTGGCACAAAAAATAATCTCTATAAAAGTAAAAAAATAAGTTGCCATTTCTTCAATGGAATGTTACAAAATTGTGATATGGCTTCATTAAACTTCACCGTAAGCAGTTCTCTGACCACAACAAGAAAAGGTAAAAGCAACACCTTCCTAAATAAAAAGAATTAATAACTTTAAATTTAAATAGAACATTTGAAAAATATTGCATGCACTTCAACATAATTAAGCAATTTAGATATCTAAGCCAGTTATGTAATTTTTTAGAAATACAAACTGTAGAAAATATGAATGTATTTCAATAAAAAATTTAATATAAATACATATTTTCATTTAGTACCCCATCAAATCATAGTTTATTTTTTCACCAGGTCACTTGATTCTTCTAAAAAGACATATGAATCTATTACAATTAATAGATTCCCAGATTACTATATCAGCTATATTAAAAGAAAATATCCGTAAATGACATGAATTTAAGAACCTGCTGTTAACAAAAATAAAAATGTGTCTGCTCAGGGCAAATCAGTTTCATTGTTTTTTCTTAAACATTATTATGGTTTAGATGATCTGAAAGTATTAATTAAAATCTCTGGCAATCATTTTAGAGTAAAAAACTAACATCAACTGCAAGTTGAAGTTAAGCACAAGTTTTATCAGATTCAAATTATACTGAATGGACTGTATTTATGTTAATGGTAATGTTTATAGAAAATTCTTTTTTTTTAAAAACTTACGATAATGAGTTTGGGCAACTCATTCCAAAATTCATAGTTTGGAATCAATTCTGGACCATGGGCACCATTGCAGAAGTTCCAGCCCATTCCAATTATGAAATAGGCTATTGCAATTGTGAAAAATCTAAAAAGAACAACAAATAAGATAAATAAAAAGGAAATATCAATAACTGAAACACACTTTTTAAAAGTAAAATTTAATTCTAAATTAGAGATACATTTGAACAATTGTTACAAATAAACATAATCAAAAAAATAATAATAATAATTAAAATATCTTTTAATCAATAAAATATCTATAGAAAATATAATAAAATAATTTTTCATACGCAATCAACAACTTGCTTCCTGTTGACAGTCCCTCATCAGATGGATCAGGATTTCTAGAACCACATAAATTTGGGCAGGCACATTTACTACTTAGCGTCATTGTCTGAGAAGAAAAAGCCCAAGTTAAAGTACTATTTTGAAAAAATAATCTTATTTTTAAATACAGATTGTACTAAAGATCTAAAAGTTAGAATATTTTTTATGATAGAAATTATTATCTTTTAATAATAATGATAATAATAAAAACTCTCATTATAAGAAAATATGTAACCATAGATCGAGCATCAAAAATTCAAAACTTATGATATAACTTTTTTCTTCTTTGTCAGTGCAACAGCCCCTTGTAGGCCTTGGCTGCCACAACAGCTGAGAAATGCCAGCGCCTCCTATCCATGACAACTCCCTTCCAATTTCTAATCTTTAGGGTTTTCAGTTTTCTAATAGAGGGTCTATGCCACGTACTTGACCTCTCAGGGCTCTTAAAAAGCGACTATTCTTATGACGCTACTTCCAGGGCTTCTCCATAGATGACCAGCCATCTATTACTGCGGATTATTTATGTAACTTGGAGCTGCTTATAGTCTGTAGAGCTGGTTCGCCAGAATCTCCTTTCTTGAATTGTGCCAAATGTCTCTGAGGATCTTTCTTTTGAAGGTGTTGAAGGTTCGAATGACTAAACTTATTCTGGATTCATTCTAAAGGCATTAAGTAAATACATAATTCTCAAGTGGAAAAAAAAGTAATTTTGTTACAATTTCAAAATAATATAATACCTCCAATAGAAATCCAGATATGCATTAAATTTTGATAATTGGGTATTAAAATTTATTATAAACAAGATGCTAACAATTTTATTGCAATTATGTTCAATTTGACGGCCCCAACAACCCTAACACCAAGGTTATAAAATAAAAATGGAAAACATGACTAATTAATAATGAACATAATTACATGTTCTGTTTCATTTATATAAACTAGCTGAATACCCATTCTTCATACGGGGTGAAACTGTAAGACAAATACCGACACAAATAATTAAACTAAAATAAATAAAATGTTATTTATTTATTTATTATTATTCCTTTGTGGCTTTAAGTTATTAGATAAGCAAAACATGTATTTAGTAATTTATTCTAATCAGAATTAAGATTAATTGTAATTTGTATAATTTGACATGATGCTGTTGCTTGAGGAAATATATTTAAAATTTACCACAAACTATTTTCATCTGTACTTATATCTTCGAGAAATGTAAAATATTTAGCATAAAATGTAGAGTATTGGTGCAAGTTGTAATCGATACCAGATTTATTCATAAAATACTTTCTATTTAAATATAATTATACAATATAATTTAATCATAAAATAAATTTTAGCACACCAATTTTACAAAACATCTATTCATTATCTGTGTACCATAAATTTCAATAAAAAGAAAAAAAAGAAAATAAATTCAAATTAAATTTTGTAGAATATGAACAATCATATATATGTGTGCGTGTTTTTTTAAAAATAAAGGTTAAGTTTACAAAGCACATATCTTTTATAATAGAAATAAAAGATATGTGCAGAAAATAAAAATAAATAATGAAGTGAAAAAGGCACAAAGAACTGTATGCTCCAACTTTTCATAGGTCATAGTTCTTGCTCATAGCAGCATCCTGTAAACTTTGCAATGACTGAATGCATTCCAGTGTTTGCTGTAGATAGCCTGTTTACCGATAAAATTTTATATTATATACTTTGTGTATATATTAAATTTATAATTACATAATTGATTTCGTCTAAAGTAAGAAATAAATTGTAAAATTTTAGAAAAATTTGGATAAATATTAAAATTTTGGAAATGTAAGGAGTTGAAGATAATTCTGATTCCTTTAACTACTGTACCCAATTGACTACTTTTGAAGTTTTAAAATCAGAGTACAAAAAATGCAAAATTTCATGGTAATTTTGACCTATGTCTTGTTGATGTTGTTGTAGTTCATTTACGTCACACTAGAGCTGCACAATGGGCTATTGGTGACGGTCTGGGAAATATCCCTGAGGATGATCCGAAGACATGCCATCACAATTTTGATCCTCTGCAGAGGGGATGGCACCCCCGCTACGGTAGCCCGACGACCTGCGCGAAGTCGTGCACTTTACGGTAGAACAGTTTAACGAAGACCAATACCGCACACCCTCGGTCCCTATGCAGACAGATCCAAGTGGTCACCCACCCGCACTCTGACCGCAGCCAGTGATGCTTGACTTCGGTGATCTGCTTGGAACCGTGTCTTAATGATCAGTCCACTGCGGGACTTGACCTATGTCTATGAAGAAAAAACTTTCAATAGGTTAATATGAAGGAAATAGAATTCCTTTTCTGACTGAAGAAAAACTATAGCAAACAAGCATAAAATCACTATCAAAAGAACTTACAGTAAAATCTGAGTCCTCAGTTTCTTCAGAGTCAATTGATAAAGTGTGCTCATCCGTGTCTTTTGTGCAAATTAAATTTACCATCAGAGTTCTGTAAATATTCATATAAGACAAGTTAATAATATAATACAGTTTGAAATAAATTTATATATTATTACTCAATGCTCACGGCTTTCCGTAGATTTATCCCATGCAATATTAACAGAATTAAAAAATATGTTGCATAGCACATTTAAAATGCAAATCTAAATCAAACTTATGTATAGATCCGAGATTAGTCGTTCCGGCTTCTCTCAGAAAATGCTTTGGAAGCTCTGCTGCACAGTTCAAAGGTGTATATATATATACCCAGAAGAATTTATTTCCCTATTTAAAGTGGTAGCGAAATTCAGATTATTCCGCTAAACCAGGGTTGGGTTTATGCTGTCAAAAACTGGTTTTTCACATGACAGTGGTAAAAACCGTGTTTTTATAGGTAAAAACTGTCAAAAACCTACTGTTTTCTTTAATTTATGGCATATAGCAGACAATATATTATTTTCACATAATTGCCTTTATAAATGAATGTTGTAAATGATTGCTATTGATTTTGCAACTATATACATGTATTCTTATAGAAGGATATACATTCATACAGAANAAAAAAGAATATATAAAGAAGTTTGATATAAATACATAATTCTGGATGTAGCTACAGATAAATAAATATAATTTTCCTATTAGCATAGATACTCAAGTTAGACATATGATACCAAATAGGAGCGTACTGTCCTCAGTTCGTTTCGATTACTAGGTTCACATCCCCTTACACCTACTTATCATTTGATAGGGAACATGGTTAATACCTTCTTGGAAAATAAACCTCCCATGATTCACAGAAAAAAAAGTATTGCATATCTGTAAGTCATGACGAATTATGGAGACTATATTCACAATTGATCAGCTATCAAGTGTCTGAATAAATGTTTCATTTATATAAACACCTCAAAGATTATACTTCTGTTCTCTTTTTTTTACCCCAGTTCTGTTTAATACAGTCTTCAAATTGATAAGAAAATTAAAGAAATTTTCAATGGGGAAGAAGCATTGAGAGAAGTCATTTCAACTTGAGGGGTCTCATAACCTGAGTGGTCCAGATGAAAAGATCAAAAGATGCCGATGTCAGAATTATTTCAGGAGTGTAGTACCATTTTCTCTCCTTTCTTTACAAAGATAAGACAAGGTGACAGGAGAAAGATTGATTTTTCGGTGGTGAAATAGCTTAACAATATTTTTAGTTATGGATAAGGCAAAAAGTTTTATTTACATGCTTTAAAAAGGTGAAAAGTTGCATTTTTTCAGTTTGAAATTTATTTAGAAAAAGTAGTGTCCAGTTTGTAGAAATAAAAAAAAAACGTTTCAGGACCAAAATGACTGTCTGCGTCCAGTTACGGGAATGTCCGCTTTGCGGAGAACCTACGTAATGGTTTATTCATAGAAGATTCCCGGGGAATTAAAAATATGTCCGTATTGAGAGGCGTCCGTTTTGCAGGAGTGTCCATAACAGAAGGTTTCACTGTATATATATTGCATGAAAACAAATTGTAATTTGTTATTTAAAATTGCCTGAATCCAATTTTAAATCATGTTTACATAGGTAGAAAAAAGCCCTGACAGTTAAATTTTTATTTCAAAAAGCGAAACTTTTTTTTGAAAAGGTAGATTCTTCATTTTATTAAATTGGGAAAAAAAGAAGAGCAGAATTCTGCCAAAAAGCGGAAAAAACTCACCCCTGTTTTCCGGTCATAAAATCTGTTCCTCTTTAATTTATTTAAAAAGAAAATTGTGCACAAGGAAAAATTTCCACACAAAAAAACGCAAAGTGCTCAGTTAGTATAAATACTGTATGAAAGCAATAACTACTACTGCTAAAACAAATTATTAGTGTATGTTATTTGTCCTCCACAAAAAAACAAAATTACTTACAATAATAAGAAATGGTATTTAGCTTTATAATGAATTTAATTAGTGAAGGTAAACAGATTTCATTTTAATAATTTTCTTGACCATTCTGTATAAGTAGAAAAAAGTGAAAGATAACAAAGAGATCTGAGCTGCCATTTGAAGTAAAAAAACCAATTAGAATTTGGTTTAGACTACTAAATTGTCTTTTAACAAAAAGTATTTAGCAACTAATCAAGTTAATGAAAGAGATAGACGACATTCTTTAAGTTGTTGTAAAAATCAACTTCGAAATAAATTTGCATAAGAAAAGTTATAAATTGACTTTGCAGTAATGCAATAGCAACATTATGCTTATTAATATTTTTAAAAAAAATTGTATTTCAAATTTAAACATCTTCAAGATGCAGAGGTAGATAAAAGAAAAAAATATTAAGAGCATTTCGCAAAAAAAAATTTAACAATGAAAAAAGTAAAAATTTAAAAGGACAACCTTCCATATTTAATTGTGTACTTTCTTTCTTTATTTGAAACTGAAACACTAAGTAGAGAAAAATTTAGATGAGGGGAGTGCTGCAGGCCACAATATTATTTTAAATGTGGCATAACTACCACTACGATTATTAAACATCAATTCACTGGTATATAAGACATGCTAACTTGATTCAATCATGAGGATTAGAGAAACAGAATTTAGAAATCCGGAAAGTTGTTCAGTTCAAGAAGAGCGATGGCGGGGATTATAGACCACTCCCAGTTTTCCTCATCACCCTACCAGAGATAGCAAACTACATGAAGATCTACCACATCGAATTCATTAAGGACTTTCCGATCAGTCTAGAGAAATTTAGAGGCCGCCGGGGGCCGCTACAGTGTTTCCAATGTCAAGACTTCGGACATTCACAGCGAACCTGCACTTTCGAACCAAGATGTATGAAGTGTGCCGGAGAGCACTACTCATTCCGGTGCAAAAAGAGAAAAGATACACCAGCCACATGCTGCAATTGCAGTAAGGACCATACCTCTAACTTCTCTAGGTGGGAGGCCCGCCCCAGGAGAAAAAGATTCACCAACAAAGCCTCAACTACAGCAACCTCAGCTCATCGTTTAGTTACTCTAATGAAAGAGTTATCATAACTTTTGAAAAATCAGGAGGCATTCTGCCTTCTTCAGGCACTTCTTCAGGGGAATACCCCATCCCAATGATGATTTTCTTTACTGCAACCCAGGCTCAACATCTACAATGGTCTTTATTTTTGTAGATATCTTACTAATAACTTGTGATCTTAGGACTTTCTACTTTATGACTTACTAGATTCGATGAATCGGTTAGAAGCGCTTTGCGCTTAATGCAGAGGTTTAAACTATTTCCAGAGTTCAATCATGAGGCACCTTTTGATAGATGAAGATTGGCATTGTTGATAACTCCTCCTCCCACATTGGTGACTAATAGGCATGATATGATCTCCCCTATCTTGACAGTAAAGTCCACTTTGATCTGGTAACGCCTACTTCGTTGGATGGTCCACATTGAACAGTTGACTTGCTATTTGTGACTGCACTCCTCCCCCCACATAACCAAAATAAAATTTTTGTTCAATTTTATAAATTTTACTGAGAAAAGCAATTTACAGAAAGAAGAATTTTTAAACAAACAAAAAAATACTTAATATTTGAAATTTTTTTTTTTTTACAAAATTGTTTTAATTTATAATTGAAAAAAAATCAAATGAATACATGTAATATAAAAATGAGTCATTCAATTGCAAATATATATTTTTTTAAAGAATATTTTTACAAAAACTTTTTTTAAACTATCCAAGAAACAGAAAAAAAAACTACTAATAGAAGTACAGTCCATGGTCCCCATAAAAGGATCCAAAATGAATTATGTTTTAAAAAATCAAGTCCCCCTTAATATTAAAATAAGATAGAATTAAATATTCATACAAATTAGTTTTTTTAAATAAATGAACAGCATGTAAAAAATAATCTAGAAATAAAATGCTGAAAACAAATAATTAGTTTAAAGTAGTATTACTATATTTCTTTTGCAGGCATTTTAAATAAATCCTAATCATCATTTAACTTGACTACTTTCTAACTTGTCAAGAGTTTTAATAAAGCAAAACATATATCTTAATAGTTCATTTTAAAAAAAATTTCAGTCAAAATAATTGATTATATAAAAATGAATAATTTAACAGAAAAAAAAAAGGATTAACAAATAAACAGAAATAATATTTACCGTTTCCCACCAGGAACGGTATAATTTATGTGATTTGAAGGAATAACACCAAATGTTCCACCTGACTGAACGCCAATCACATATTCTTCAGGTAAACCGCCTGTGCTGCCTCCGGGAGATTTTATACAAGCCTGTAAAAGTATCAACTATTAACCCCTTAACAGTGACATTTATTTTAGAAAAAAGGACCAAAACTTGAAAATTTTTGTGACTGTTTAATTTCGTTCTTAATATTATTATAAAAGTTAGAAAATGGTTATCAATTACAAAAATAAAATTTTTAATGCAATAACTACTGTATTAATAATTTTTGCATACACATAAAAAAGTAATGGATTACACCAGTGTTTCCCAAAGTGTGGTACGTACGCGTACCCCCAGGGGTACGGGAACAGTTTGGCGGGGGTATGCAATGCTGAGGTTGCAAGATACTTCACATAAGAATGCGTACTACGCATTCTTATGTGAAGTATCTTGCAACAAATGAAAATTTCAAAAAATTCTATTTAAAAACAAAGCTAGCCATGAAAATTTACAATTACGTTTTTTTCTATTGCCCTTTTTTTTGCAGAGTTAACAGTTAATAATTAGTGGAGTCAACAGCCAGTTGTGATTTTAACTTTTGTGCATTTTTTTTATAGTAAAAGATACATTCATTTTTTTTATGAGTGGTACACAGCGTTACGAGCAATTTAGAAAGGGTACATAAAAGTCATAAGTTTGGGAAACACTGNCGGTGTTTCCCAAAGTGTGGTACGTACGCGTACCCCCAGGGGTACGGGAACAGTTTGGCGGGGGTATGCAATGCTGAGGTTGCAAGATACTTCACATAAGAATGCGTACTACGCATTCTTATGTGAAGTATCTTGCAACAAATGAAAATTTCAAAAAATTTTATTTAAAAACAAAGTTAGCCATGAAAATTTATGATTACGTATTTTTCTATTGGCTTTTTTTTTTGCAGAGTTAATAGTTAATAATTAGTGGTTAATAATTACTGTGATTTAACTTTTATGAATTTTTTTTATAGTAAAAGATACATTCATTTTTTTATGAGTGGTACACAGCGTATCAAGCAATTTAGAAAGGGTACACAAAAGTCAGAATTTTGGGAAACACTGGATTACACACACATCTTATTCAATTAGAGCAAATTAAACAAAATTTTGCAGCTAAGTATAATATAACTAGTATAATATAATATAAAAACACAACAATATGATTTTCAATATAAAAATTTCACAGTATGGTATATTCCACATCCATAGTTGACAACACCCACATTTTCCCTCCCTCGACTGAAGTCGTAATAGTTGAAAAACTAGGACCACTAATGCCATCTATTAGGAAAATAGTGAATTAAGTATCCTAAATTAGAAACGAACTCAGATCAGGCTTCACAAAAAAAACGCTAATTTTTCTCCTGATAGAAGTCAGTTCAGTCAGCACAAATACTGCACATAGTAGTTGCTCGAACTGGATTCGGACAACACTGGCAAAGGATTAAATCTCACTATAGAAACAATTTAAAATTGAGCAACTATGAAGTTAACCGTCAAGAAATATAAATTTTATATGATATAATAATACATTACAGCAGCCTAATTTGAATAGAAAATTGGGTTGGCTGTTCAACGAAGGTTATAAAATAAAATTAAATGAACAATGAGTAGGCAATTTCGGAAAAGCTACTTTATATTATTTTATTGGTTCAAAATCAGTAGGTGAGTGTTATAAACATATAGTAGTTATAAGCATAATAAATAACTAGTTTAGTTCGCCTAATATAATGTAGGATTTTATTTTTCAGAATACTCCAACTAAGTACTCATATAAAACATTAAGAATGTTGAAGCTAAAAGTAAAAAATTATACTCTACAGCTGCATCCACACAAGGCTTGTTTCCATTTTTTTGAATAGTATGCTGAACATCTGGAGAAGTAAAACTATAACAAGGGTTGTAAGAGTACAAGTGTGCATCTTTTTCCTGTCCTCTGATTTCATAAAATCTGTAAAGAAATAAATAGATTGTATGCATTTCTAAATACTGATTAAATATGCTTATTACATTGAAATATAGAAAGAAAAAAAACATATTAATTGAACAAGGAAAATTTATATACAAGTACCTGAACCAAAATAATCGTCATGTTTTGGCGACTTTTGGGCTGCGGACAGCGAAACCAAAAAAAAAAAATCATCAAAACAAATGTAAACCCGAAAGATATAACTTACAGTTAGCCGTAGGCAGACCTCTTTATATTAATTTTTTTGTTTTAATTTATGCAAGTATAAAATCTGTTTGGAGCCTTGCCAATTGTAGATAGTGCAAACAGGTACCAATACGAATACATTCCCTGATTAAATTGGGAAAATTTCCGCATCCTGATCTGCAGTAGGATGCCAGTCTTCTTTTAGAAATTCTGGATAGCAGGCTGAGGAAAAATTAAAAAAAAATAAATAAATAAATACCAATATCAGAAGACAAACTTGAAGAACTTCTCCGTCGCCACAACTTCTGTATTGTGATCTGCCACTCCAAATACTATCGTACAGGCATCAAATTGTTTTAAAACTGTAAAATTAAAAAAAAAAAAAAACCTGCAGATGTTTGCTCGGGGATGGCTAGGAGTTGAACCCTTTCTGGGATTCAATATTTTTATTCGTTTCTCATGGGCCACTGCCGTAAGTTGCCGAGGATTATTTTGCCACAGATCAAGATATGGTAATCTCCGATATATCTTGTACCCAGTCCTGGGCAATCCTTTACATGTATTTTTTTAAAATGTGTAAGTTTAAAATCTAATTAGAGTTTCGGCGATTTTAGTTGGCTCAACATATAACGTTGCGAAAACATCAGCATTAAAATAAAAAGAATAGTAGGTAAATATAAGAGCAAGCGTTCAATGTGCATACATTTTTCAGTAAGAATAAAGAGTGAACTTGTTGATGTTTTGTTTAAAACAAAATATTTATAAGTGTTGACATTCTTTTGTAACAATACAAATTCTACTGTTTCGACGTAGTGTTTACATAACTACATCTAGAGATATTCACAATTTGTAGAATCATTATATCCAGATATCTTTAAAAGTGTCAAATAGATTTAAAACTTGCAAATTTTTCTTTAAAAAAATATGTAGATGTTTTCCCGGGGGATGGCTAAGAGTTACACCTTTCGCGTTTGTCCCTTTCTGTGATGTTTTTTTTTAGTTTCTCGTGGGCCACTGCTCGAAAGTTGCCAAGACTTGGCGATTATTCTGTCACAGATACGGAAATCTCTCCTCAAATATTACATTTCATTTACTCCTTTGGTTAATATCAAAAGAATTATAAAATTCAAAGTGTTTTACCTAGGAAAATCAACTTTACCAACCGTAGATAAATCTATCACGCTATCAGGGCCGAGAACACATTTACAAGGAGAATTATTCAAACATACATTTGTACCACAACAAACTGAAACTATACATGCTAATATAAAAAATATTTTTGAAATCATTTTTATTAGGGTAAAAAATAAAATGTAGATTTAAGGATAGAAGGAAAAGCAGACGACCCTTTCAATTTGAAAAGTCACATGTTTGAANTATCACAGATAATTAGAATTATAAAATGTCGTAAACGCTTCTAAATACATTGATACAATATTATAAACAGAAAAAAATTATTTAAAACAATTAACTTACTTTATTTAATGAATCATAAATAAAGAGCTTAGTATTACACTCACTAGCAATCGAAGCTACACTTAATTACACCTGTAAGCAACAAACTATGTATACCTCCGCGCAATCTCTTCAACAGGGTTACTTTTCGAAATAATTTGGTGAAAATTAAATTCTAGCCAAGCATTTCAAGCGCATGCGCAGTTGCTCAGCCGGTTGTACCCACAGACATAAGTCAGATCATATCATAACAGTTTAGATACGATGACGATTAATATTTCCAACTAATTTTGTAAAAGCTAGTTTAGAAACAAAACTTTAATGATAAACATTCAAGCTGCAGCTTATTTTTCGAAGATAGAAATGATCTTTACATAATTACTTTAAACAAATGAAGAAATTATTATAACTTTTAATTAATCGAAACTTAATTTTAATCGTTATTTTGGCATAGCAACTAGAACGCTAATTTATTATTTGTTTACTTTTTTTGACAGTAACCTAGTCTCGATAGTTATAATGCGTGTGCAATGTACAGATATTTTGTTTTTAAATTATACATAGTATTTTATATTTTGTAATTATACTCTTATTTGTTTATTTCTTTAAAAATATTTTATAAATCTATTGATTACTTCCGCTATGTTGTGAATTGCAAAGTTATGGAAATCTGTGGAGCTTTTCAAAACAGAGTTTGTTTATTTCTCTGTGCCTGTTTATCGGGTATATTATTTGCATTAGTGTGGCGAAAATACGAGCAAACTGTTCAATTTTCTTCCCTTCGTACACATTTCTCCTTATCTTTAAGAGACTCAAATTATAAGGACTGGATTAAAAATCAAAACCTTTCCAAAATACGGATTTCAGAAGAAATATTAAGGTATGGTGAGAAAGATGACAAACACAGGCTCGAAAGTTCTTTTCTGTATAAAAACACTCGAGTTTTGTGTCTCATATTTGTTAATTCTCATAAAGGTGCAGATGCTGTGAAGAGCACATGGGCAAAACACTGCAATGTTGTTACCTTTTTTGGAAGATTTGTAGATAATAATATACCTGTGATGAAAATACCACCTGTTACTTCATTTGAAGGTTTTTGCTACGCATTTACTCATATATATCAAAAATATAATGGCCTTTATGATTGGATTCTAATTGCTGATGACTATACTTATGCTATTGTTGAAAATTTACGTTATTATGTGGCACCCTTGAATTCTTCAAATTCTTTCTACCTGGGACATCCCGTGAAAGACTTTTCAAATTTGTATAATATAGGTTCGGCAGGGATTGTGTTAAGTAGAGGAAGTGCTTCTTTGCTCAGTTCTGTATATGCAAATGCCAAAGATTGCATAAATAGAAACTCTCCCTCTTGGTATTTTGATCAATCTCTGGGGAAAATTTTTTATGGTTTCAGTGTTCATCCAGTTGATACAAGAGATGCTGATTTAAGAGGACGTTTCAATCCTTTCTCAGTAGAAACAATGCTGATACCTGGATCCATATCAGTGTTCAGTTCATACTGGAGAACTAGTGCTTTTTTAAGTGAAGAGGTAATTTAATGTGTAATAGTTAAAAATAAAATATGTAAATTATAACAGAAAATGTAATTTTTTTTTACTTTCTAACTTTTTTAAAAATAATAATTAATGTAAGTCTGAGTTATTTAGACACTTAATTATTTTAACATCCTGATAATATCTTAGTATTATTATTTTATGGCCCTATGGCAGTATTTTTTCAGTCTTTCTGCGACCAAACTCTCTGGCACAAATATCTTTCTGCAAGGTACTTTTAATAATAAAGATGTATGTTACTAGTTTAAGGTAACAAAATCGGTGTGTTTACAAAAACAATAATTTTTTTCAAATTGAATATGTAATATTTTATTGATTCTAATATTATGGGCGATATTCTCGCATTTTGTTAGGAGGGCATTAATTATTTCCTTTTCATCATCACATTAAAAAAGTAATTAAATATCATGAAATCTGTTGCAGTAATTACTGATAAAAATCTAAAAGCCACGTGAAAATCATTGTCAATAACTTCCAAAATTGGCATAAATTGAGCGCCTCAAAAAGTGATTATTTAAATGTGTGATTCAAATTTTATGTGTGAATTTCTGCAGAAAAACAAACCAACTTTTTTTATTTTTCAAAAGAAAAATCTTTCTGCAAGATCTCTAAAGTTCTGCTACAGTGTCCCCGCTGTTCTGCCACAGAGTTTTATGGTACCCATGTATTGTTTGTAACTACATTTTTAACGATATCTGAAAAATTTGAAATGCTGAAAATCATAGATGAAATTTTGATAAGTTGATCAGCATTTTTACTAATTATGCACATTATCTAAATAATAATCAAACAGCATCCAGATCAAAGCCCATATTTTTTTAGTGTGAAATGTAATATTTTTAAAAAAAATTAACTTTGTATTAATGATTTTTTTTTTAAAATTTCAATTAAATAATGTGATGACTATGCAAATTTTTCTAGTTAATGGAAATGTTCTGAGGGTAGATGGGGGACAAATTACACAAAATCTTTTTTCTTCTCTGGAATTGATAAGGAGAATTTGAATTTAAGTTGTACTTTTTAATGGTTTTTATTCATTTGTTTATCATATTTGATTAATAAAACACATTTTTTTACCTGTTACTAAATTTTAAGTTTTTTTTTTTCCTTATCTATCCATTTTTTCAGCCCTGGATGGAGATTTTTATGTGAATGAATTATTCAAAAAGATAAATATTTGCCACTTTTAATGAAAATTCTCTGTTCAATCCTACATCTAACCTATCATTTTTGAAATAAGATGGATTTTTAACTGAGATTTAAAGTAACTTTGTATTTACAATTTACTAGGCATATAATTTTTGCTAATGGATTCAGGAAATAATTACTTAAACTGATTAAAAACATTTTTGTTCTCTTAAACTGGAGATAATTTGAAAATTTAATGGAAAAACCTGTTAAAAAACATTTTAGAGAAAATTTAGTTTTTCTAAAATGTAATAGATACATCAAGAAGTGGGAAGAATGCTTTTCATGGAAAACTGCCATATTTCGAATCTTGTCAGAATAACACTCTTATTAAGCCTCAAACTTAGGATACTTTTCAAAATGATTAATTTAATATGCTCTTTCACTATATTCTATAAATAATTAATTTTTATGAGCTGTTTCATGCATTTGAAATCTTAAGAAAAAGAATTTTAATTTATTAAATTTTTTTATTTCTTTTAATAGGGGTTTCATTGTTGCAGTGATAGGGCTATCACATTCCATGGATTACTTCCGGGAAAAATGTATTTAATGGAATACCTGCAATACCATTTGGATGTGTTTAGGAACAGTTTTCAAGGTCTTGGAAATCATCCTAAAGACAGTGAAGAGAATCGAAAATCAAATGAAATTCCTGATGAAATGGAACAAGTTGGAGAACCTTTTGTGAAACTTTTAGATCACGATTGGGTACGTTCGGGTAAAAGGCATAGATCTGATAAAAAAGTTGAGAGAAATTTGTGGAATGATATTTTTGGAAGCTAGCTTTTACAAGATGCTTTCATGGAAAATAAAGCATAATCATCTGTGTAAAATACTCCAGAAAAGTGATAATCCAGCATCATTTTGAAACCTTAGTCAACTAAACTTTCAATAAAAAATATTTTTATACTATTTTTTTAAGTTGTTAATTTGGGATATATTATGTCTTATTCCAAAGTTGAAAACGCATTTCTGGCGAGTGTGCAAAGTTTATTTTTAATGCTATCTACTTAACTTTTAAATGCTTATTAAAAATCTAAAATATCATTATAAGCAGAGCTATTTAATCTAATAAAAAATGATGTATAATTAAAATTTATGTATCGTAACATTGTGGATTTAACTTTCACTATATTTTTTTAAGGTCATGCTTAAAATATATTAATCCTAAATATATATTTTTTTAATATTATTAAAATTTTTAAGAATAAGGCGGGTGTTAAACATATGGATTCATATTAGAACTTTTTAAAGCACCATATATAAATAAACTAATACTAAATATTTTAGGAACAAGAAGCCTCTCCACATTAGGACATTTATGAGGCTTTATGAGCCTGATGAGGGGAGGCTCATTCTATCTCAAAGCTTTAGTTTTCTACTTTAGGTATATAAAGAAATTTTAATGAAACCCAGATTAAAATTTGATTATCCCAACTGCTACTCCACTTCAGAACATCATGATAAAAATCTTTTATTATTAAAATTTATTATTTTTTTTTAGAAACACTGGATCTTAACTATTAGGAGAATCTTTAAATAAAACATGATTTTTTTTTCGAAAAAAATCATTATATTTAATGTGTACACTTTATTTGGAACAATTTTGTTTGCATAATAATTACACATGCAATTATTTTATATGAAATCGGAATTCTATTTAATAAAAAAATTATTTATGTATACTTAATGTTTGTTTAGTTTTTTATTAACAGTTATATGATCATTAAGGATTAAAATTCAATTTGTTTAGTTTTTACTTACAAATGTTCTTGATTTTAATTAGAGGCAGCTACATTATTCATATTTGGAATAACTATTGATAAAATTTTTGTTTATGTATGTGTGTTTTGAAAAGCATTTTCATTTGTATAAAGATAGTTAACATATTGCTGCAATCTTTCTTTTGGGACAATAAGTGGCTTGTTAATATTGCACTTCATTTGTTTTCATTTTTGTACCAATATAATGCATTTAACTTTACTATGGTTTTTTAGTCTTATTGTAAATAATATGTACCCAAAATTATCTGTGATGAGAAATACTTAAATTGCAAGTGATATTTAAAATCAAAACTTTTTTTATGATAGATTTTAATATTTTTTTATAAAATGAATTACTGAAAAAAATCTTCTTATAATTTATTTTCATGTCTTCTTATGATTTGTTTTCAAACAGGCTTTTAAATTTTGGTATTGCTAAAATTGAAAGTTTTCATGTTTATTTATTTTTATTTTGTTTTACACTTTAGGACAAAGCAAAAGGCTTAATTTTTTCTTACATTGTGCATCTTAAAAGGCTTAAGTTTTTCTTACATCTTCAAATAAAAGTAGTTTTTTTTTAACTATATAAGCTCAGTCATACACCCAATTTCAATCAAAACCAAACATTGCTTTTTTTTTAAAACTTTGATCAGTAGCAAGTAGTTCTAAGTAAAAGCTGCTGTAAACTTTATATAAACCATTAGTTAATAAATATATATTTATTATACAAATATCATTGCATTCAAAATTTTGCTAGCTTAAATAGTTTTGACACTTTTCAATATTTATGTCAACTTAAAAAATTGGGTTTGTGCAAGAGTTTTTAAGAAAATAAGATAAAAAGGTTCACATTTATTTCTCTCTCTCTCTCTTTTTTCTTTTAGATTACTAGACATTCTTTATTTTAAAAATGAAAAGTAGTCCATATTTAAAATAATGTTATGCTGTATAGACCAGTTTGGGATTGTTAAGATTTTTTATGAAAATAAATTTATTGTGATTATTTATTTGTAGATTTATGTATAATCAATAAAAATAAAACCTGCTCGAGAAAATCAAACATTGGTTGTAAGATTGATTAGTTACCTTTCTTTGGTAGGGTTTTAATATTAGGTGCATTGAAAAAATTTGGTGTATTGACCCATGAAGTAAAGGATAGCAAGTGAAGCAAGATACAAGCAAAATACTTTGACATGTATTAAAAGTAATCAATAGTGTTTAAATACTGAGTGCATTGAAAAGTTTCAGTGAACAGTCTCATGTATAAAAGGTAATATGGAATATATACAAAAAAAAATTTACGAGTATTCATAGTAATCAATAGAGTTTAAATATTAGTAGCATTAGAAAAGTTAAGTAAATGGTCTCATTAAATAAAAGGTTGGGAAATATTACAAACAGAAATGCGTCAACTGGTGTTCAGAGTAGTGTTATACACTATATGTATTGAGAAAAAAAACTTGCTGAATAGTCTCATAAAATAAAAGATACAAATAATTGCTTTTGCTAGCATTCAAAATAATTAGTAGCATTTTAACTTAACTAAATATATTAATTAATAAATTAGGATTAATTTAACATTTATGTAAGTTCATATTAATTTTATTGATTTGGCATATCTAGGTTCTTAAATAGCAATTTAAATTAGGGTTGCAATTTTGAACTTACTATAATTGTTCTGTAATATTAAAATTAACTACTGACATAACATACTGAAAATCAGGAAAACTTATGAAATTTTATTGACCGTGGTAGCAGATTAAGCTGTCTTAGGAAATTATTTTTATGTAAACCCCAGCAGAAAAGAAAAGACTGACAGGATTTTCTGTGTATCAGTAGCGTGTGTTAACAGTGTTCAAGCACTGTTATCTGTCTCTTATTGGCTGAGTGGACCCTTGAACTTTTCAACTCCTTGTGCATAGTTTTTCTCTAGTAGTTGTGGCACTAGACCTATTTTTTTGTTTGATTTTTGTATTATATAATCTCCAGAATAAATTAAATTTATTCCAGTTAACAAATTAATTTAATTTTAAATGTCAACATAGAATTGCAACACTATCCTATCTGTTTAACTTTCTCTTCTAAGAGCAGAATTAACTTCATCTAAGCAGAAGTTTTATGAAATACTTAAATATGGTGCATATTGCTAAATTCAATAAGCTTAAAAAATAAATAGTTATTTAATTAAAAAAAAATATTTATTTTATCATAAAATTAAGGTATTTTAAAAATAATTTTGCCTTGGAAGTAAGCTATTGGAGACAACTTTTCCTGATAGTTTAGTTCAATAGAATAACCATTATTCTAATCATTGATAAACAATAAAAAAAAATGCGAACTATTTATACTTATTAAAAAAAAATTATCTTAACAGTTACTTAAAATTAAATATATGTAAAATATATCTATTATTTATACATTAATATAAAATTTAATTTATATAAGGGGTTGGATCGCTTGACAAAAACTAAGTTAAAAAACTTATATATATAGGAATATCATCAGAATAGATAGAATAAAGGATTTAAAATAAAGACTGAATATATATTTTACACAATATTTTAAAACATGGCTTTGGATGTAAATTATTCTTAAGAAAAATAAATCGGATTTTTAAAATGGATAAGTTAAGAATGTTTTATAGAAGAATATAAATCTAAAAAAACAAACAAAAAAACATTTGGATAATTTTTGATTACCATGTGCAGCTCTGGATTTGTTGCTGTTTAAACAAGATATTTTAAGTTTTTATAGAGAGATTATATAATATTTAAAAAAATATTAAATATAAAATTAATAATTCATACAGTGTATAAATGAATGAAAAAGGAATGTTATTATTTTTTAATATTCATTCTTAAAAAGTTTGAATAATAATAACATACATTTAAAATGCTTTTCTAATTACATGTTCCTTTTAATCACTTATACCTTCAATTATAACCTAATTGTAGAGTAAAAAGCATGTAATTAAAGAAATATAATATCTGGATAATTATGAAGTATTAAATAAAGTAATTTCTACACAAGGAACTCGGAGACTAAAAAAGTACAGTAAAAAACAGAAACATTTATTATTACAGCATTATATTTGTATAGACATTATCTACAGTAGGTATTTCACTTATTTTACAAATAATTGAGTGTGTTGCTTGCTTTGCTGGACCTGATAAAGGGATTTTCCGTTTTGGAACCAGACCCACATAAGCTTCTTCTATCTCATAATTTTCTTCTTGAAGCAGCCGTTTCATTTTATGCAAATCTCCAGGTTCACAATAAAACTAAAAAAAAAAGCAATTCTTATTGTTTTAAAAATTTGTAATTAGTAAGTTAAGACTAAATTAAATTTTTATCTGGCTAATTTCTTCTAACTAGCAGGCTTTGCACCCTGCATGCTATTGGTCACAGATTCCCAGAACTGCTTACAGAGTTCTTTTCTTAGTACTTTTTATCACATTTTGTTTTTTGAACAAGTATCACTGTTTTTTAAATTCTTAGGCGAGGGGTTATCGCAACACAAAGTGAAAAGCCCTGAAAATTTTATGAACAAAAGACATCAGTTCAAGACATCAGTTTATATACGAAACATGTATACCATACATGCTTTGTATTTAACAACATCAAAAAAATTATAATTAAATTACCTACCACTGATGAATATCACAGCTTTATAGTAACCAATTTAAGAAAAATCTAAATTCTTCAAAGAATAACAATGTTGGATTTTTAAAATCACGTGAATATGAATCACAATATCGGATTTTTAAAATCACGTAAATACGAATCGCAATGTATGATTTTTAAACTGTTGTGAATACAAATTGCAATATGCAACTTAAATTAGGTAAATCGATGCTTGATATTCAAACCGCGTGAATAGAAATCATGATATTAACAGATTCCGGTGTAGTTTCAATTTCAAATATTCAAAATGGCGAAAATCTCCCAGACTAAAAGAATCAATTGGTTGATTTCTGCCCATTGGCATAAGAAGCACGTGTATGTAAGAGTCTCTGTCAAAATTTGAATTTTAGATTGAGAAATTCCGTGAAAATTTCGTCAGATGATTAGAGAAAGTCCGAGAATCAATTGTATTAAGAAACGCGGGATTAATCAATATTTCCAGAAAAATGTCCTGATCCTAATTTTTAGACCCGGATGGATATACGAAAAAACCGGAATTCCGGGATACCCCTGGTATACAATCGCCCCTGTTAGGCACTATTAAATGCCTGCAAGCTAAACATATTTGATGAGATCTTGGCTTTTTCAAACATTATAATTATAATTTTTTGAATACTTGCCAATTATTTTTATTTGTGTGAAATTTTTTTAGCCACATTTCAATATTTTTATAAATACATTAACATGCTATTTTCATTAATGAAAAATAAATATAACTCCTTTATTTATTCACACATAAATTTGATCTCTCTTGATGCATTGGCCAATAAAGCTCAAAAACTAAGGTAAGTTCATAAGAAAATTTCAAAATTACCAGTTTTGGAGTTGAAATAATATTACTAACAGGAAAATACTTTGTTAAACTAATGACTTTACTATTTGTTTAAAAAAAATTAAAGGTCAAAATTCAAACATAGAATTGAATAAAAAATAAAATAATTAACCATGATTATCGAATGGTCCACAAGACTAGTTTCTGTAATAGCAGTTGATTTTATAAATATTAATTGTTCTGAAAAATTATGTTATGCAAAATTTTTAACAAAATTTCAACAGTTTATTTGATTTAAAATAGGATAAATTATATTCTATAAAAGTATTTATAGTCTACTCTCAATATAAACATGCATAAGATACAATCTATAATTAAATATGAAAATAAAATAAAAATAATTACTGTTTGATGTAGGCCAGTGCCAATAAAAATAAGAGATATTGTATTTAAATTTCAATAGCAAATAACTATAATAAGTCAAGAAGAACAATGGTGGCTCAGAGGATAGAGTGCTTGCCTCCCAATAAGATGATCCAAGTTCTAATTCTAGCGATGGCTGATTGATATGAATTTCGCATGCTGCTTGCCCTGACCACAGTACTAACTTAAAATATCCTCAACGGTAGACGGATATGGCTTAGAGTCCCTTTGCTAGTTAACCGGGCGAGGATTCTGTGGTTTTTCTCTCCATGCAACGCAAATGATGGTTAGTGTTATCAGAAAGTCCTCCACAAAGGTAAATTTCTTCTAATACTTGATTCAGAAGTTTTCTTGTCTTCTTGGTTGGGTTCAAAATTACAAGGCAACAGAGTTGAACATTGGTAGTCATAAACTCAAAATTTGGTCGGTTGTTCAACAACAGATACAAAATATAATAAGTTAACAAATAAAACATAATAACAACTTTCAACTAACAAAGTTAACAAAATAACAACTTTCTGATCAAACTTACTCGCCACGAGATCCAGCCTTCTATATCTAGCTCCTTTTTCACAAATTGAGAACCAATTTTGTTTGAGACATTTTCAGCTTCTTTTGCATCTCTAAGTGGTTGTGAAGGATTATCTTTTATTGATATTATTCCTTTTGGATTAAAGTAAGTATCCCATTTAACTTTACCAGAGATGAGGTGTGCACTTTAAGAAACAAACAAATATATAAATATTATTTATATTAAAATAACAATATTTTGCCATAAAACAAAACCCCACAAAAGTGATTTTTTGATTTTAATATAAAGTAAAAACATTGATTTAAGAGTTAAAAGATAGGCATCTGTTTTGGTTTCTATAGACTAATATCATCATCGCTGAAATTGAATGAAGAGAAAATAGTTGTGAAAAAAGCCTAAAATGATAAAGGTAATTGTTTACAGCTTACAAACATCTGTTCTCCTTTATGTGTGCTTTTTGCATTATTTCACATTTTATATAAAACAAGACTGTTAATACTTCAATGAGAGATAACCTTAAAAAATGAAATCTTAGTCTCCTAAAAATTACAATAATAAAACTTATAATTTAATAGAGGGATATCTCACTTATTTACAAACAAGGGAAATTTTTTTATTTTTTAAAAAATACCAATTTTTAAATTTAGTAGAACCTTGTTAATCCAAATTAATGGAGATAGTTAAAAATTTGGATAAAAACAGATAATTAAATATTTGGGTATTCAAAGGTACTTCATTATAACCTAACCCTATACTGTCATTTGTCAACCACTAAAATCAAACTTATTTTCTGAGGATTTAATAGCATATTTCACTACTTATTTTAAATGCTTTTATTTTTTATTAAAGTTATGAAACTGATGTCTATTAAATAATGCAGGAAAAATTGTTCTCAACTCCAAACTGCTTTCTTTAGCTTTTTTTTTTCTCTCTTTTTTTACAAACATAATTTAAAGTATTGCAAAATAAGAAGACTGCATTGTAAGACAAATATTTCACAGAAGCGGGACTATGCAATAGATCCAATATGGGCTATATTTTTAACTAAGCAGCTGTTCTCTATATTATGAATTGATAAAAAAAATATTCTACGTAATTGGTCTTCAACTATTTCACATGTCTGATGACAGATGTTCTACACACATATTTTACAGACATTTTGAGAAATGACTATAAATTTTGTAAATTTTTTTTTTGCAAACAATAGACTGCTTAGTTCTTAACCTATAATACAAATGTGAACGATAATTTTTGCAATCAGTTAACAACATTTAGACATGAAAATATAAGTTTATTTAGAACTGTCTAACAATTTATAGAAAGTAATGCTTGAAATAATTGCATAGTGCTTAAAAATGAATGAACGAGAAAAAAATACATGTATAAAATTAAAATACACTTCATTAATTTAAAACTTCTTATTCTTAATAAATTAAAAAATTTATGCAAGCATGTAAGATTTTTAAATATTATCTAATTATTTCACACACTTATTTGTACACATTTTTGGCCAATTACGAGTTAACTCATAGTAATTTTTGATTTTGTGGATTTTTAAATAAAAAACTAATAGCAATTTTAAACTTTAAAAGATTTTAAATACAAATTTATTGATAGTTTAATATTTTCCTCTTAACAATGAGAAAACAGTTTGAATATTAGCTGGCAAAGCTATTTGAATATCAGGTATCACTAGGTATCTAGGTATCACTTCACTTACATTGAAAGCCATGAAAAGCTACTGTTATATTAGATTAGATAGATATTATGTTATTTTGTATAAATTACAATTAGTGTGTGTTTTAATTAAAAAGCTTTTTCTTTAAGTCAAAAAGTATCAGTTATAACTTTAATGATAATATAAAATCCATAAATGTATGCATGAAAAATATTAAAGAAAAAATTAGTGGTTAGAAAATAAAAATTTAAAGAAAAAAAATTTTTATCATACATGAATTACTCATAAATACACTTACTCATATTTATCACAAATTTGTAACAAATGGTGTTTAATTGAATAGTTATCTATGTCTTCATACTGAATAATCAAATAGCCATGATTAAGATACAGCATTTCATAAATCCCCCCTTTTGCTCTAGTATCCTGTAAAGAACAAAGTTTGTTATAAATATTTAAAAAAATCTATATTAACTATGTCAGGAACAATTAGATGTAATGGTTCAGTGGTTAAGGATATGAATCATCATTGTGATAGACAGGGATTCAATCCCCATTGTATATGGAGCTTTAACTATATTTTTTAATGTTCCATTACTCCATGAACTCAATTTGACTGCATTTGTTAATATACAGGTTTTGTTTTTGTTTAAGTCACTTGTTAACATTTATTAAGTATTTGTTAACTTTAATTGGACAAGTTGCCAGAGAGCTGTATTGCCATGAATTCTAAGTTTATGAACGACAGCATATATATTTTTATTTTATTAAGTCAATTTTAGTTTGAATGGCTATATTTATATGTTAGTAGTCAGCGTCGACTTATATAAATTAAATAGAGGATAACGGACAGGTAGGCAGTGTTCTCTTTTGCTCACTCTCTCCTTAAGCTAGTAGAATTATGCCGTCCTCTTGCTAGAATTCTGGGAATGTACTTAACATTAAATGAGTTATTATATCAGTTCAATACTGTGCCATATTCTGACATTGACAGAGTAAATCCATGTTTTATAACTTGGCTTTACTGTGTTACTTTTGGATGTTCCTACTCAACTCCCCAATTAAACTAATTTACTTACATCTCCTGACTCTTGATTTCTCATTCATGAATGAAAAATCACAAATTATAGATGAACAAGAGATAAATTGCATAAATAGGTAGGTAGATAAATTGCATAAAAAAAGAGTTTACTATAGTTTAACATTATAATTAAATATTAAATTAATTTTAAAATTAATTTAATTTAAATTAATATTAAATCATCAAACATTAATTTAGTATTTAATTAAATAAGATTCCATATAAGAATGCATACATATAAAAAACTATTTGCTATACACAAAGATTTAACGAAAAAAAAATAATTGTCCTAAGACATTTTAAAATTAAATTTTTTTTTTTCATTACTGATTGTATAAAATACAAGTGGATATAGCTTACCACAGCCATTCGCAATGCAAAATTTATGAAATCAAGAGGCACATTAAATTCATCTGCTTTCTTGAGAACTGCCTCTAACTTTTTGTTTTCTTTCAGAATAGGTCCAGATTCTAAAATGTTAAAAACATATTGTACTAAAGTGTTGGCTTTAAAGACAAACTAAATAATGTTCGAAATATAAATTTGAAGAATATATTATTCCAAAAACAAACTTAAAACTCTTAAAAAATGCACTAAAATTTTAAAGGCAAGCCCAAGAAAAGTTTCTGAAAGTTGCAAAATTTAAAAATCCAATTTAAAAGTACATTTTTGAAACAGAATGCTCATAGTTTTTAATCATCAAGTTAAGAGCCGAGTTTTCTATAATATTTTAGATGTTATTTTTAAAACATTAACTTCTACTTTCTCTTTTGTAATCTTCAAACTTCAGGATGGCCTACAGTAGGTGGGTTTTTCTTTGAATTTGAAACTTTTTTCTTACTTGCATGGATCACTTGAATTTTTTTTTCTAAGTTAAAGTTTGTATAGCTCAGCATTTCTTATTTTGATCAGTACACATATTTGCTTAAAAGCATTTATTCTGACAATGATCTTACTTTTAAAACATTCTGAAAATTATTAAATGTAAAGTAAATATAATATTTGAAACATACAAAGTTTTTTCTTTCTTTCTGTAAGTGAAGTAATAATTTATAAGTATCTCGATTCTCATATAAACTTTAACTTACAATAAAACATTAAAATGTGTGTGTATATTATAACATTGTTTTTGCTCCTTAGCACTCCATCTTTAGTAGTAAATATAAATGTAAGTAGTATTTAGTAGTAATTATAAACAAGTTAAAACAAGAATAGAGGGGTCACAGAACAGATAAGGCTGGTGTTGATTATAGTGCAGAAAATAAATAAAATTTTTAAATCAAGAGTTTTCTAAAAATTACTTTAAAATAACGATATTATTTCTTAATTTGAGCACTATTTTAATTTTATAATACAGATTTATTTAATGGGTACAGTATTCATTGTCATTATTTTATTCAACTTGTAATATTCCACCTATATTGTTTTATCCAGTTAAACTTAGTTATGTTCCTTTTTAGATAGAAAAGAAAGAAAAAAATATCCTCTCTATTTATGAAATTGTAGCGTATAGGGTTTAATCATAAGCTATATTATTGCCAATATTTGATTCAATTTAAACAAAGAGTTTTGAGAATTCCAAAGTCTTCATTTTGAAAATCTTCGAGATTCTGAAGGTTTATGATGAATTTTTTCTTAATAGACCACAAAGTAAGCCACAAGTACAAACTTGACATGAATAAGAGCTGTTATAAAAAAGGTAATAAAAGCTAAAAAGTAAAAAATGCTTGAATATATATTGAGGTGAAGTATAAGTGCCAAATACATAAATTTAAAATGTATATGGCACCCTTGGTGATTGTAGTTGGCACGGCAGAACACGATACGGAAATATCCCCCAAATTCGTTAAGAAATATATTGCTGGCAGTTTTCTTAGCAGAATTACTTTTGCCATGTTTAAAAGCAATAAATTACAACTTCATAGATAATTATTACTAAAACCTCTTATAGCTCCCTTGATGAGACGTATAATTTTAAAATTTACAAATGTCTGTGAAATATCATTATTTTGATGAAGTGAATTGTGTTTGAAATCAAAGTTCGACCGATGTTGGCCAGCACATTGTAGTTTTGCAGCAGTCAATTTCAATACACTTTTCCGAGAAATTGAATGAAATTGTTTAAAATATGATAAACGAAAAGTTCTAAAACAGGTGTTTAGAAAGATAGATTGCATAATTTCTATATAACTTGATCAAACTTTAATTGAATTCTACATTGATTACTTGATGCAATTTTATATAAAATTATAAATAAACAAGCACATCACTTCGGATCCGTTTGATTCTTTATAAAGAGACCGGCGTGTTACTTTTTTGAACACTAATGCTTCTTCATGGACATCACACTACATTCCACAGTTTTACAATTTATTTGGCAACGGGAAATGTTTGTCATTTAAGAAGTGTCACAGATCGTCTGTCCCACTGTTTACTATTTCACTGAGCATGGTTTTCAGTTTTAAAATCTATTTATTTCTTGATTTTATGTTTGATACGTTATTAATTTTATCAGATGGCTGAACGAAAATTTACCCGTAGTCTAAATAAACCGGGATCGGCTGCACAAGTTCGGGAAACGGTTTCTCAAGCTGTTCGCGAAAGTACTTTAATTGTAAGTTATTTTAAGTATTTTATTTTGTCATACTACGTTGTTGAAGAGAAACAATTGTTTTCGTATAATTATTTCTGAACGTATTCCAATAAAAAATATACTTTTAGTGAATTTAAAAAAAAAAAATCGTTCTTTCCTAAAACACTTGTTATGAACCCGTAAACATTTGTCTTTTACTTTGCGTTTGTTTCGAATTCCTAAATTTAACTGTCGTATAGCAAGAATGTCATATTTTTGGTATTATGCGTTGTTTTTGATTTTTTTTACTTTTATTAATAAGTTTGTGCATAATAAACAGTAAGAGATATTCAGTTAAACCGTATTTCTGTTGAACCGCGATTATAAAGTTTCAAAGAATTATTATGAATTATCAATTTTATTTAATTTATACTGAGCAAAAATAAATTATTACTATTTTTTCCTTACCCTATAATGTAAAAGCATTTCGTTTTTTAAGATATCAAATTAAATTTTTAAGAAGATCAATCTGAATGTTTGAAATGTTTTTGTTTATTTTTAATGTTATCATTCCTACCGTACCTGTTAAAAAAAACACACAAGAGACTTTCATAAAAATATTTCATGTGTTTACCAAAAGATTATATTTTGTTTCTGAATTATAATAGTGCATTTACAAACTGCATTGTCCATGATAAATTCAAACAAACTTTAAGTAGAGTCCAACAGAAGTAGAATCAGAGTGATAGACGACTTTAGAAAGTATAAAACATATTAATATTTTTTTCATCTTAAATGTAACATATATTATCAAAAAAAATCATACATAATCCATACTGTTAGGATTTTTCTCACTATATACAATGTTATTAAATTTAGCTAATTAACCATTGATTTAAATTTAACAATATGTAACAACAATAACAGTTAGACAAACCTAAAAAGATTTAATATCCATAATGGAAAAAAAATCTGAGATTTTATGCAACTTAAGTCCTGGAATCTCCTTTATTTATTTAATCTTAAACATTTATTTGGTCGTCCAACTACCAAAAATACCAAATCTTTCTAATTCGCCAATGTTTAAAACTATTCTTAGGTTAGTAATTTTTTTAGGATATTTTTACTAATCACAGTTATTATTACTAATCTCCAGTTATGGTTGATAATCAAATAATAATACTTGCACCTTAACCTTTACATTAGCAACATTTCAAGATAGTGTTTAACTCTATGACTTTGCATGGAGATTATTCTGCCATAAAACATATTAATTTGCGAATAGCTAATATTTGCCAACCCATAGACATGATTACAATTACCAAACTTTAGTGGTAATTATTTTAGTCAATGTGATATTTTTCATTAATTATTTTACTTTTTAATATTTGGTTATTGTTAATAGTTATCAGATGTAATTAAAAATAGCTAACAAATTATATTGGCCATCACACATAAATATTTTGGCCGTATCAAATATGATAACAGGGAATTACAATGATTAGAGTGTAATTTGCATTCATGCTTTAACAGTTCGATATGCATTCATATTAAATATTTTAATAAGTTTAAATTGTTTATTTTATTGATACTAAATTATAATAATTTGGCCTAAGATATTCTTTCAATTTTGTTTTGTTTTCTTCCAGGTAAAGCCACAACTTATTGAACCTGTTGAATTCGAAGCATTTTTTCATAAAAATAAGACTTTACTTCAAAATGATCCATTACGGGAGATGTTACTTTTTCCTCAAGATGATGTTACGGTAATAAAATTTTATTATAGTGGTTTGAAACTTTTTTCAATGTTTTTTATTTATTTTTCTTTTGACTTCTGACTATCAACGCTTAAATATAAATCAAGTATAAATATCCCTTTAGCCATGTGACGTTTTTAAAAAGCAACCAATTTCGGAAATGTTTTCTTCATTGACATGTCTTTGTAGTACATTAGTAGCTCAACATTATGAACTTAATCAAAAAGGGTAATGAATTATATTGTTAAATTGACATTATATATAGAGGTTAGGTTTAAGCATTTTAAACTATTTAATGAATTAACATTTTAAGTAACAATTACTATCAAATGTACTAAACAAATTAGTGAATAATGTGTGCTCTGTCTGAGTGCTAAAATTGAACTAGAGGAGGAATTGATGTAGTTACAATTGTGTACAATGATTTTTCCTTGCAGAGATATTTATAAATAGTAATTATCAGTTATTAAAAGTAATTGACACATATTGGCGACTGCTTCCAAAAGTTGTTGCCAAAACCAATATTGGTCCCAATATAGTATTAATATAGTACCAAATAGTACTAAGAAATAGTAAAGCCAATATAGTAATAATTTTTATTTCTTGTTGTTAATGTCTAAAAAAATGTTTTGATATTTAACAATATATCGCAAAAATTTTTCTTGTTAATCTAATTTATTTATTGTTCAATATTTTTAATACCCAAACAAAATTTATCAACATGTACAATAATCATTGTTCTGGATAATATTATCAATATTGTCATATATCATACGCCTACGTGTATTCTCAGTACTGGTGATCTGTGTAAATTAAAATCTGGCATTGTTTCTACACGTGGGCGAACTTGGCTTCATGGACCCTATAACAGATAAATACCATGTATACACAAATTCATTAAATATTGCTTTACGGACATAAAAGGTAAATTCTGCAACAGTCTGTATGTCCCAGTGTATAGGTCGACTTTTCAAATCCCCAAAGTTTTACAAAAATCAGAGGGGTCACTCTTGCACCTGTAATTAAGTTAGACATTCATTCATAGGGAAGTATCAAAGCATTAAAATCAATGACATAGTTATAAATAAAATATAAATATCAATTTACCTCTTTCTAAAACTAGTTTTAATGTTATATAAAATTAGTTTTGCATTTTCTGTCATATTTTTTTTACAAATAAAGGCTCCTATAGAAATGATACTTTAAATTAAGTTCAGAAAAAAATTAAGAATAAGAAAAGCTAAAATGATTTATTCAAGAGTGTGAAAAAATATAACACAATGAAAACGTTCAAAACATAGGTTAAAGATTCCAGAACATCATCTGTGTTGGATTCAGTAACGTTAACAATGTCATCATACAGATCCCACTCTGCAGTACATTCTATTTCCTCCTTATCTGATTATTTCCACAACAAAACGTCTTCACCATGATTTAAAATATTTGAAATTTCACACTTTTTTTTTAACAATTTTACAATAACAATTGAATCCATATTTTGCCTTTTTTTTTTACATTAGAAATTTCCATATTTTTTTTCCTTTTTTTTCAAGCAGCTGATTTATGCCCCAACATACTAGTAATTTGTCATTTCATAATCGAATAAATTGGGGTCCACTTATACTTCAGTATTTACGGTATTGTATATGCAATTGATATCATTTCAGCTTTAAATGCAGACTATGAATCCTGCCTTGGTAGCAAGAGAAAATTTATTGATATAAATAGTTAATAAAGCATTAGCAATAGTTAATAAAGTATAGGCATTATTTAAAAAAAACAGGTTGGTCAATCGATAGCGTGAGAAAACAGATTGGTCAATCGATAGTTTCATACATGCAGAATCATCAAATTGTTACTTGTATGATTTTTTTTTTAGTTGATAAATTTATTATTTATGTTGTGCTGCTTAAAAATTATAGTTTGTGTTATCAAATAAATTATAAAAACTAAATTAATTTTAAAAAAGTTAATTTTACAGAAATAAGTTTAATTTTTATTAATAGTTACTTTTGAGTCACGTAATGTTAATACTTTTTAGGAAGAAATTATAACCAGAACTCATCGAACAGTTACTCCAACTATTCCAAATTTAAGGGATGAAGAAATATCATCGTTACTCACTAAACAATGTTTAAAGACTTATGTGAAAAATTGGAATGTAATAAATTATAAATATAAGGCTTATTCAGGATCCTACCTACAATTGCCAAGGTAAGTAATTAACTATTTTCTGACTGTGTATTATATATTATATTTTAAAAAAATGGTATATTTAGTTTTTTTTTCAGAAGGTGAAATTTCAGAAAAATCTATTCCTTATTAATAAAAGGAAAAATTATTCGTTCACATATAAATGTCTAAGAAGACACTATACCATGTAAAAAAATTTTCATCACACATTTTCTTTCACCTCCATAAATAATTTAAAGTAGATTTAAAAGGGAATAATTTAGGATTATGCAATGGGGAAGTATTCTTCCAATAATTTGTTTGCATTTTGATATTTAATTTTTTTTTTCCATTTAAAACGTCATGTCTTACTCTAAGTATACCTAGAAACACTTTTTTATATTTTAAATTCTAATTTACTTGTGGAGCTGAAAAAGAATTCATGATGAACAGTTTCTTTTACGGTTAGCCTCCTCTTAAGTAATGGTTAAATATGAAGGCCAAAAGCAAAGAATGGCACTACTTTTAAATTAATGTTATTCTGATCTGTACTGTCATTTATAATTTTGATCACTGCATTCATGCATTTATTTTGTATTTAATTAAAACATCTCTAAAATATGTTCTAGAATGAGACAAAAAATACTTAAAAATTTCATGAATGTGTATGTATGTATGTTCTCTGCCTACCAATTGAATTCTAAATATAATGTATGGTATAGTTTTCAGCTTAAGATTTTGTTGGCTGCTATTCCTTCATTGTTTGATTCAAGGTTAATTTTGTACCATAATTTTCCTTTTTCTCAAAGTTAAATTTAAAATTTTAATATGCTACCAAATAAAACATATGAAAGATAAGTTTAATGAAATTAGTACACATCGCTATTTTTATCTTTTTTACCTCAATCAGAAATTATGTGCAGTGTGAAGAGGTTAAAAATTAAATTAAAAATTTCGCTTGTGAGTTCCACTTTTTCTATTTAATGAAACAGAAAGTTGATCTTTCAAAAATATTTATTTTTGTTCTTTGTTAATACCTGACCTAAAAAATTTATTAAGAAGAAGCCATTGATGGGTGTAAATATTAATATTGATCTATGTTATACATTAAGTCATTTATTAACAAAATTATTTACTAGATCAAATAATTTCTATTTATATGTCTTCCATATTTCAGTATAAAATATGTGAAGCAGAATAAAATATTCTTTTTTTTCTTTCTATTTCTGTGGTTTGAGAATTCTATAATTAAAAAGTTCATATTATTGTCACTTTACATTTCAAACATTTATCCTTTTTTCTTAATTTCATTTAGATTTCCACGTCAAAGTGAGTTAGAAGACCAAATCTATGAAGTGGATACTGAGACAGATGTTGGCAAAGATTCAGTAAGATTTTAAATATATAAAAGTTACTGTTACCTGTGAGCAAAAATCTAGTTTTACAATTGATATTTAATTTTTATTATTGTTATAACTTTTTACTGGATTTCACAAAAATTTTGAAATACTTACAAAACACATTTTTGATATTAATGTTTGATCATCATCAAAAGCCTACCTAAAAATGTGTAAAAAATAATTTTGGAAAGTGCATAAAATGTTTTATGTGATTCATCAACTCCCATTGCACATTTGGTATGACAACATGACATTGCCGCTATAAGCACTATCGAAACAGGCATGGCATTAGCTAAGTAATGCAGAGATCAACAACAGAGGGTTTTTCAGGATCCCTCTAATTTTAACCGAGGTTCATCGATTTATCAAGTTCAGTATAATTCAGGTTCTCTCTCAACTTTCCCTTTCTGATATAAGAGAATTCCCAGCTTCAGAAGCTTTCTATAAAATGACAAAATGGCTAAACAAATCTTACACTTCTTACTGTAATCACATCTGTTGGTAGAGATAGCCTGGTTGGCAGGCCGCTGGACTCACATTTGTGATAAAGGTAGTTTGAATCCAGCCGGCCGAAGAGTCCCCATGTAGTAAATGGTGACTAGTGCATGTTAAATTTGTCAGATCACAAAGTCCTCCGTCAGGGTTCCCACGATCCTTGAGAGTCCTTGAAATTTTTTTTTGCTAAATTTAGGTCCTTGAAAGTGCTTGAAAAACGACTTAGGTCCTTAAAAAAACTTGATAGGTCCTTGAATTTGTCCAATACTGCCGACGGCCCTTTTTATAAAACACCCACGGATCTTTCTGTTTTGTTCCCGAGATCTCTCACGTGTTTTTTAACGCCACCGTTTCTAACCGGGCCTAACGTCTTGGTGTCTGCCAAGCGCGCGGAGCACAGCAGACAATCAATGCTTTCGGGGCGAGACTCCACTTCATCTTCTGTCGCATATGCTTAGATATTCTTTTTTCTTATCGAAACTGGAATACTCTCGAATTTCATAACAATATGTACCTTGTAGTTTTCAATAAATTTGCCGTTTTACCATTCGCACTTGTCCTTACCTTTGCGTCATTTCAAAACTTTATTGTAAAGCGTATTCGCAAAGGCACGGCTTCGTATTTGTGTTATGTAGTTTAGACTAGTTATGCCTGGGAAGTGCTATTTTAATCCCCAATGGATGGATAATCAAGCTTATAAAGAATGGATTTTATCGATGCCCGAAAAGAAGTTCAGAGCCAAGTGCCGATTATGCATGAAGGAGATCGATATCGCGAAAATGGAAGAATCTGCTCTGAAATCACACATGAAAGAAAGGTAAAACAAAAAAGCAGTCTCATGCCCTGAGTTCTCTTTTTCCAAAGACATCAACATCTAATTCATCTGGTGTAAATACTCCTTCAACATCGTGTGCCCCATGTGAAACAGAAACTTTAGTGGCCGAGGTAACATTGTCTTCTTATCTGGTCAAAAGGAATGTGCTTGATGCTGAAATTCTCTGGAGTCTGAAGTGCATCACTAGTAATTATTCATGTAACTCCTGTGAAGGGATTAGTAAATTGTTCTCCAAAATGTTTGCTGATAGCTGTATAGCGAGACAATTTTTTTGTAGTGCCACAAAGTGAGCCTATTTGGGCTCCTTTGGATTGGCACTATACTTCAAAGGGATTCTTATAAATGAGCTGAAGAATGTTGATTGCTACACTGTACTCTTTGATGAGACGTTAAATCAGTCTCTACAATCTAAGCAGATGGACATTATGGTAAGGAATTGATAATAAAGTTTGCACTAAGTATCTTACCTCCCAATTTATGGGTCATGGAACTGCAGAAAATATTTTGTCCTCTTTTTACAAATGCATGGATGATGGTTAAAAGCTCTCTAAAATACTTCAATTATCCATGGATGGACCCTATGTCAATTGGAAATTCTATTAGAAGCTTCAGTGTGAATTAAAAGAGAAATATTCCCACCAGGTCATATTCATTGGCAGTTGTGGATTACACATAACGAATAATGCTTTTAAACATGGTGAAAATGGGATATGTTCCTTCTAATTTTTATTTTCAGAAAGAATTGTTGCTGCATAACATTTAGAGAAGGTTGTGTAAATTATGGATGAATAATTTCAGAAACGATGTTTAATAGAGGAGAGGAGGGGGTTATGGAATAGTCATGGAATATGGAATACCTAAGATTTAGCTCTGTCTTTCATGCAGCCTTCACATGGAAATACACAGGATTAAAGGATTTCACCATTAACACCTCATTACCATTAGTTATAGATTGTGCTGAAAATGATTTTGTGAATTAATATGTAAAACCAGTAGGGTTGTTTTTAAAAAAATATAAATTTTAGTCCATAATACATATACTCTCTTCTCTCTATATAGGCAAAGCATTTAGGTATTATATTTGAAATTAATTATTGCCACAACAAGCATTATTGCGTCTAGTAAAATAGAAGAGAATAATTTTTAAAATTGGTCTTAGATTAAGGTCCTTGAAAATTTTGTTGAGGTCCTTGAAAAGTCCTGGAAAGTCCTTGAATTCCAATCTCATCATAGAGTGGGAACCCTGTCCGTGTTCTGATAACAAATCAATACTTCTGCGAGTACTAAATTGAAGATTGATCGTTCTTAGGTTCAGGTCAAAACTACAATTTGTGGGCGAATGAATGGATCTGCCCTATAAAACGGGTGTGATGTATAGATGTGGTAGAAGTCGAAATCTTGGCCATAGATGGTGCCACTGGAGAACAAGAACAATCGCAACCCTCTGCTTTAATGGCCAACAACAGCATCATATCTGTGGAACGTTGTACAGAATATTGCAGTTATTCAATAGGCTTGGTAAAAAGATAAAGGAAACTAACATCCAGTTGTATTTATCCTGCTATTATTTATGCCAACTGCTAAATGTTTGATATTAATTGTTAAGAATTAAAAATAAAAAGGTTTGAATTACTACTTATGGCGTACATTGCAACCACTTTGCCCCGAACAAATCACCACACAACAACAGAAAGAGGTATAAACAAAGGCCTCTTAAAGAAAACAAAACCCTAAATTTTGACAAGTAACATCAGTCGATCAATTTTTTTGAATTTGTTAATTGACAGAACGTTAAGAATTAAAGGAGAGTGGGCATTTATTGCGAATTTTTTAGTATTTTGCTGTGCGGTTGTCCAATTTATCTTAAGGAGAGAAAAATATAAATTTCTGAAAATTACAGTTGCATGATTTTTCCGGTCTAATTGTAATGCTTAGTTTAAGTATGATGTTTATTACACTTTTGAGTTATATAACTTATAACTTAATGTTATAACTTATTAACTTAAAATTCTTTGATTATTATCAAAATCAAGGCAAAAACCAGCATGCTTTCTTTTCTTGTAACTATACTTTCCTGTGCTAGGTGTCAGCATAAGGAGAAGAATTTTGCTTAGCTTATGTGTAGGCCATTTTAATTTCAAAATGAGTAATGCGATGCCAATAAGTGCAAGAAACCAATAGGTTTTTAATATAACTATTATTTTAAATTTAAAATATCTTTAATTTATGCTTGTTGCAATTTAAAATAATACAATGAATTTTATAAATAGTGATATTATAATTATTTTTTATAGGTTTCTGCTGGTAGTGAGAGTGCTGTTATAAAAGAAGGTTTTCTGTTAAAAGGTCCAGAATCTGGCACTGATAGTTTCATTAGTCTTGCAACTAAAGTAATTTCTTAGTTTCAGTGTCTTAATTGTTTAAAAATTAGTTTTATTTAACTTTGTATTTTTTGCAATTTTGTAAAATGTATTTTGAATAATTTATGTCCTATTATGTCGAAGCATTTTTTTATTAAAATTTTCTTTTTGCTTCTCTCCAAATTTAAGTTGTATTTGAATATTTACTAAATTTGTTATTTAAAAGAAGTATAATAGTTGAGTTATAAGTTAATCCTTTATCTATTGGGTCACTAACTGATTTAGGGATTGAACATAATTGCTCTCCAATTTTCTCTATGTTATTCAATGGGGAGGCATTGCTCATAGACATTTTTCTGAAACTTCAGAATATTATATTAACCCTGGTTCAAAACTCAACAAATATATTAAGACAATCTTTTGTGCAAATTTCAAGTTAATGATTTTACCATTCATTTTTACTTGGAATGATCTAATTCCAATTTTTTGTTTGAGGAAAATATTTAAGGCTGCTTATCCTACTTATAAAATAAATTATAACTAATATTTATTTTATTAAACTCTACTTCTGTAAACCTTACAATGGATATTAATTTTAATAAAACAGCAGAATAAATCTAATTCTTCTTGAGAATCTTGAAAAAAAAGAGGGAATTTATATCTTCAATTTGCGTAGCAACCTTGAAAAAAGCTGTGCAAAACTCCGTTTTTTAAATTTCTTTTCTTACTAAAGTGATTTAATAAGTTTGCTATTTGATAGCCATAATCATCTTTTACTTATCTTCAGTGCTGTTATTTTTTAAATAAGTCTCAATTTAAAAAAAAAAAAAATTGTCTTTGTATTTATACCTAAACTGCTAATGTAATTATAGATTCTTTGTAATAGTGGTATCTTGCATATTTACTTTATTTATTTTTAACTTTTGTTTTTGTGCAAGAAGACAAATTCAAGCATTTAAAAAATTTCTACTTTTTCTTTTTTTTCTTCTTCTTTCAAATCTTGAGTTTAAAAAATATTGCCTATTTGGTAGTCAATAAAATGTCAACTAATTAGTGTGAAATTACAAAAAATCAAAAGTAACATTTAAAGAAAACTCAATAAATATTATTTAAAATGTATTTCAAATTTCCTTAAAAAAAGGTTTAAATTACTACTTATTTATTTTCTTTTTTCAGTCTTTTAAAAGGCGCTATGTTTGTTTACGGCAAGAAGTTGATGGTACACATACTTTGGAGTTTCACAAAGATGATCGCAAATCTGATTCAAAAGGTGCACTCTGTATGGATTTTTGCAATAAAGTCGTGCGGGTAATTATTCTAAAATCTTTTTCTTTATTGTTTTCTGATATTTACAATGGAAACACATTTTTACATTACTTATAGGCTAATAGAAGAAGTTCGGCATAAATCTTTATCCATTAACTGGTTGTTTGTTTAACTGCAGTGGACATTCCATTTTTGTTACATTTAATTCATCGATATAAAATGAAACAAGTAGAAAAAATTTAATCNATAGATTGTGCTGAAAATGATTTTGTGAATTAATATGTAAAACCAGTAGGGTTGTTTTTAAAAAAATATAAATTTTAGTCCATAATACATATACTCTCTTCTCTCTATATAGGCAAAGCATTTAGGTATTATATTTGAAATTAATTATTGCCACAACAGGCATTGTTGCTTCTAGTAAAATAGAAGAGAATAATTTTTAAAATTGGTCTTAGATTAAGGTCCTTGAAAAGTCCTGGAAAGTCCTTGAATTTCAATCTCATCATAGAGTGGGAACCCTGGTTATTCTTTTGATTAAATTTTAAATGCATTAGTCCAAAATGTCTCAATGTATTCTGTATCATATTTATTTTAATACTAAAAAATTTTCTGTATTAAATTAACACATATTCATCATTCAAGAAACATGATACCAATTCTATCTCATTATTCATTAGCAAAAGGCTATTGCAACAAGGTAGTCTATGAGCCCATCCTAAGAAATAGTTAAATTAGTTAGACATTTGAATAAAAAATAACAGTATAAAGAAAAATTAGTTGTTATACTAAAAAATTATTTTCCTAATTGTGATTATTCAGAACAATTATTTCAAAATTTAAGTAATAATATTAAGAATTATCTGAAATTGCATGATGTATATTTTTAAAAAAAATGACAAAATTTTGCAAGATTATCCATTGCGTTTGCCATGCTAAAACTTATCTGTTTTCATATGTGCCTCTTCATGTTTGTTCAGAGATTTCTGCTTATTTAGCGCTGCCAAGGAAAATAAAAAAGCTATAGTTTAAGTGTCTTACACTTAAAGAAATGCGGTGATTTTAAACTATATATATAATTTTGCCATGAAGAATTATCTGGGCTTTAGAACAGACAGATTACTTAAATATTTTAAAAGTTATGAAACTGTTTCAAAAATCGCCAATTTGGCAACAATTTGTCACCTAGATGAAAATTATCAAAAACACTCTCTTAATCTCAGTTTTTGCAACTGTTTATGAGCCGGGTGCTGGCTTCAGGTAGGCTGAACTTGACCTGATGGTTGCGATTTCACAGCAGTCATAAAAATAGCATATTATTTGCAAAAAGAAGCATAATTTCATATGATGACAGAGCCTTCGAAAAACAACCTTAATCTATTTTCCTTGCAGAGTTCTAAAAGAAGTAAACTTGGCTTTGAACTACAAATGGGAGAAGGTCACAAATCCTGCATCTTAGCTGCTGAGAATGAAAAGGAACTAGAAAGCTGGATTTCCAATCTCAATACTGTTTTACTAAATTCAAAAAATGCTTCTGATAGTAATAAAAAGCTTCCTCTCTCTCCTGAAACAAGTAACTTACTTCTTCTTTTTTTTTTAATTACATCACTTATTAAATTGCATGGTTTATTTTCTGATTTTCTCATGTTCATTAATTTTCCTATTTTAGATGATTTTTTATCTAGTAGCCCGCCATCACCGTTTGGTTATGGAACTTTAAAGGGGTTAGAACATAGCAAGAATCCTGAGTTAGCTAAAGTAAGATTCTTTTTAATGGGGAAAATTAATAAGGCTATTTAAACAGTTCTCTTTTAATTGATCAAGTATGATTGATTAACAGTTGATTTATTTAAGAGCTGATTAAATTTTATTTATCTGTGTATTTGATGTTTGCTCTTTTTTACTTTACCAAGACTATACAAGAAACATTAAATAGCATATTTAACAATTAAAAAAAAAATTGCTATTAAGTTCTAAGATTTATTTGGTTAGCTAAACTTATTGCATTTTGTATTATTTTAGTTTATTAGAATTGATGGTGTTTTCTGTTGCGAAGTTGAAAAAATCATGGTAAATTAAAATATCATTTTAGGTTTTTGTATCTATTCTGATATGTTTCCATAATTGGATCCATGTGTTGATTGACATGATTTTTTCAATATTATCTTAAACAAAACAAAAGTTAAAAATGTACATCGAACCCTTCTTATCAACATGAATAAAATTTAGATAAAACACTACACCCACAAAAATGCATGTGTCGACGGTAGTGTAAAATTCTGCATTCAGTTATAATTTATCCAAACAAGGCAATCCTATACATTTTTAATAAAATGAATGAATACTTTTTTAAATAAATGTTTACTTGGTATTTATCAAAATGAACTAAATGAATAAGCCTTGTATGAGTCAGTAAACATCAGTTTATGTCTTTATTTACTAGTTTGTTTTGTTTAGAACTAAAGTTATCCATTTGAAAAGCTTGTAGCTAAGTAGCCACAACAGAGCTTTTGCATCTATTGTAGTTGGAGATTTAAGACTAGCAGCTTCAGTTCCAAAAAAGAAAGTTGATGACTCAAATTTCGATTTTGAAATCGTCTCAAAATTATGTTAAATTTTCTTTCTTTTTTATTTTGATAAAAGATGCTCTAAGTATTTCACCAAAGTTGCATAAATTATTGTTTAACTGATTCAGCTTTTTAAATATAAAAGTATATCTATCATAGTTCTTAAAAGCTAATTATTTTGCAAAATATATGGTTAGTTAACATTAATTTTGCTTATTATAGATATTCTAAATAATCGATCCGACCATGTTAAGACTAATAAGAAAATTTCTTTTTTCTTGTTAATAAATTTTAACTCTCCCATAATCACAAAGTATTACCCATATGTTGCTACTTTTAACTATATTAGATTTTTACACTCTAACAACAATAAGCATTTTTTCTAGAAATAGACTGAACATATTTCCAGACATTGATTGAGCATATTTATGCTTAATTTTGTATTGAAAACATTAGCCATAGATGCTTTTAATCAAAAAATTTTAAAATGCTTTGTTACTTATTAAAAAATAAACAATTAACTTTTTTCAGTATGCCCGAGAGACAGACTTTTCCATTGCTTTTGCTCGTAAAGAAAATCGTCAAAATCTGTTTGCTATTTTTCCAGATATGCAGGTTACTATTCTTCTTTTTGATTCACACTTCATAAATAAAAGTTTAATTTTTTATTTGTTTTGATTGTGTTGGTGTATATTTTAGAGATCACTGCATTTATCTAATTACCATGATTTGGAGAAAGACGTAAAGCCCTTTAAGGAAGAATTTGGTGTTAAAATATTTGTCAGATGTGAAGAATTAAGTTTTAAACTGCAAGTTCCTCTAGAAAATGAAAAAAATTCTTTATGCCAGGTAAATTATATCTTTTCCAGAAATTATCTTAGCAAAAATTATTCAATTGGAATGTATTTATGTTATGAATATTTTATTTCGATTAGGTTGAGCCTTATATTACAACTTTAGCTATTTATGATGCCAAAAAGGGTAGAAAAGTCAGTGAAGATTTCCATTTTGATGTTAATCACCCTTACATTCGGAATATGCTACCCAAAAAGGGAAGAAAAAATAGCACTCCCAGCAACCAAATTTTAACGTATTCACACTGTAATGGTGAAACGAATCACACAGCAAATCCTCATTTAAAAGACATTGGAGAAGAATGGTTAGCTTTCCCTAAACAGGTATTATATATTTTTTATTTATTAAGTATGAAAATCAAAATTCGCCAAAGTGTATCTAGTTACATATTTCACATGCTGGATAGGAATTTCACTCCTCAAAAATTTTACCAAGAGTAAAAATATTCTGTGTAGATTTTCCGTTGAAATCTCCCTCTCTCTTTTTTTTTGTTTTTTGTAACTGTACTTAAAAATGAGATAACATGCGTTGTAAATATATTCAAGGATAAATATATTCATTTCCTTTTCATAGATCCTGAATTCAGGAAATTTATTGCTTTAATACTGATAACTACAGCTACTTGTGAAAAAGTCATTTTGTGATTCGAAATAGGATAAAATCCAAAATGAGTTTTGCTTGGAGATAAGCATTTGAATGATCTTTCTAGATTGATATATTTCATGTTACCAAAGAAAATGTCAATTATGTCTGAAATTTTGAACAAGCTGTGAAATTTAAGATTGTGCAATAAAAAGACATAAAAATTGAAGTCGGTCTTATTAATAGGTTTTTAAAAAGAAAAAACTTTCGAATTAACTTTCAGTAAAATAAATGAAAAATTTTTTAATGGATTAATTTTAAATCAATCATTTTAGAATGTGTACTTTGCGTCATTAATATGTTAGTTTAAATTTTTTTCTTAAAAAAATGGAAGAAATGTAGAAATCTGTTATAAAATGGCAGAAATTTGCAAATATTAATTCTGTTTTGAAGTTCAATCCACTATTTTAAATTTGGCTCCTCAGAAATTAATGTAGAAAAGAAATTAATTTTTAAATTTTTTTTTATTTAGATAATACTGACTAAAAGTGTAATTTAATTTAGACAATGTTAACTAGTGTTAGAGTAATGTTTAATTACCCTAGTTATATAAGTTAGCTTTTTATTGTTTGCATCAATCTGGATATTTATTTCATCGTGATTTTTTTCTCTTTTAACAATTCAACTGCTGAATTTTTTTTGGAAAAGTTAACCCCTGAATTCTCTCTACTTAAAGTGAAATTTCTTTTTCCAAATACAAAAGAGAACAGAAAATATTTAATTTAATAAATTTGATTTAAAATAAAATATTTCTCAGTGGTATTTTGAATATGTAATTTTGTTTCTCATTCGAAAAGACAAATCAATATGGAAATTAATATAGTCCTACTGATATCAATAAGTCCTAGATATCAATAAGTTAAAACATAAATTGAGTCTCTGTATCAATTAGTGTCTATATTCTAAAGTTTCAATCAGTAGGAGTTTTATAAAGTATTAATATTATTTAAAGTATTAATTAGTACAGCGCCTGACATTTCAGACTAAAATTTTATTACGCCAGACTAAAATTTTATTATTTTCATAAAATTTTGAAGTTTGAAAAGTAGGCTTATACATTGGGTTATACGAGTAACTGTCCACTGTAAACTGTTGGAAAAAATATGACAGTTAAATTTTCAACATAACATTTTACAGGACGAAACTTACTTGCCAGCCGTAAATATTTGGTCAATAATGGCAAATGTAGATTTTGTGGTCTGGATTAGAATCAATTCTGCGCTATGATTGTATCAGTGGTATTGATGCTTTTTAATGTGGAGTATTGATACCTTATTATTAATAAGGCGTAATATATTAATCTGACTCTTGAGGAGGATATAACCTACTAACTCTCTGACACTAGAGTCTTTTTTACTACAGGATTATAACTATAGAGGCTAGGAATTTTAATAACTTGACAATTTGTCCAAATTCTTTGATCATTTGACTAATTCTTTGATCTTTGACAAAATTTACATGAAGGCTACTTTTTACTAGGCTGCTAGAAGAAATATGGACAGTGTGTTGACTCCTCTACCTTGAAGAAGAATCATTTCCTTAGAAAAACCATCATACAAAAACTTTATTTCATTCACCAAAACGGAAAACATCTGAATAATGAAAATTATATATGTGTTCCATGCATGTAAAATTATTTAGATTTCTTCTGAATCATGAAATATAATTCCAACTTTGTTAGCATTCTTAATTATTATACTTTTGATGACATGCACTGTTTAACTGTAAAATAATCATGCTAAAAATATTAAATTATTGTTTAAAAAAATAGGACTGTGCAAAATACTTCGGTTTCCTTATGACATTGATTTAGAACTTCAAAGGAATTTTTAATTAAGCTGCAACATTTGGTGATAAAGGAATTTTTCTTTCTTTTAAATAATACTAATTATAAATTTTAAAAGTATTACATTATTAACTAGTTTAGTCTAATACACTGCATTACCAGGAGTTGGGTTGTTTAATTTTCCTGTGTAAATACATGTATGCTTTAAAGGAAGCTTTTTTTTTTCAATTAACTTTAAATTTCTGTGCTATAAATAATATTAAACCTTAAAAAAAATTGTGTATTTGTGGTCTGTTAAGCGAAAAAAAAAACATAAGTTTCTGCATGTTTTAATAAAATTGTTCATTATTATTTAGGCTATTTTTAATGTTCCACATCCAGAATCAGAGCTGTTTTTTGTGTTGAAAATAGAAAAAGTCTTGCAAGGTAACATATCTCAAGCTGCTGAGCCTTATATCAGAGCTCAGTCTGCTTCTAGTAATGGACGCCTAGGAACAAAAGTTCAAAAGATTGCTCGCTCTTGTTGCCAGAGACTGGGGCATTACAGAATGCCTTTTGCTTGGGCAGCCAGGTAAAAATTATCACTTACTAAATATGAAGATATATAACCATACTGATTTGTAAGAAAATAATGATTTTTATGACAAAATTTTTTACTTTTTTACTATAATATTTCACATTTAATAATCAAATACAATTTTGTGCTCTTTCATTGAATATTTGTGGTTGAAGAAAATTTCTTCAGTTATATGCATAAAAAATTTTATGTGCTTATTTTCTATAAATTTCTTTCTTTGAAGGTACGGATGGCATTGATAGATTTACCACTTATGCTATCTACATTAAGTGCTTCTTTCTCTTCATTTCCTTTATTTCTTTAAAGTAAAAAGAAAAGAAATAATGAAAACTTATTTGTTTATAAGGTTCTCTTAATGTAGCATGGTGCGTAGTGTTTTTGAAAAGTGCTTAAAGGTGCTCATTTTCGTTTTTTAAAAGTTGCTTTTTTCATTGAGTGATTTTAAAATGTGCTTAATTTTCCCTTTTTCAAAATGAGATTTTCCTTTTACTATGTTGATTTTGCTTCGAATTATGTAAAAAGACGAAGTTCACATTGTTCTATTCAACGTTTTCACAATTAATTCAACCCCAATCTATTTCGGCGTATTGTCGGTCCTTAGCATATGAAAACGCCATTTGTTTTACAGGATTCAAAATTGCATGATTTTTTGACAATTGTCAAAAACAATGCCAAAAGTTTCTTTTTTTTTTTTATTGACATGATGGTTAAAACAAGATAAAACCGTCAATTGTCAAAAACTTTCAAGTCCTGCCTAAGTATGATATGTTTTTAAATTGCTTAAAAATATTTTTTGAGTGCTTGAAAAGTGCTTAGAAGGTGCTTATTTTTTGTTGAATAATTTGGCTACGCACCCTGTGTAGTGTTTAAGTAAATGCTGTTGAGCATAAATTTATATTTTTAAATATAAATTTTACTTGTGTTTGAGATTTTGTCTTTCTACTTTTTACTTCTGTAAATTTTTTTAAATTTCATTTAAAGATATTTAAATTTTTTTAGACCTATCTTCAAATCAGTTTCATTAGAGCTGGATACAAATAATGAAATTGGCCCAATTTATCGGCAAGAAGGAACGAAACTCTCTGACGAAGATTTACTTCGGATACTATCTGATTTTAAAAAGTAAATTTATTTCATTAATTATTTAAATTATTTAGTTTTCTATGATCCGAGTGCTATTTTAAAGTATGTATTTATTAGTATGTTGTTTATGCGTAATTAAAATATTTATACATACAATAAAATACAGAATTTCGGTTGTATATGTCTGCATACTGGATTGTGGATATGCTGTAGGTACTAAGAATATGACATTCAAAATCAAGCTAAGTCAGTACATTTGTTAAAAAATTACAAAGCCAGATTTTTTTATTTTTGCATTAGATTATCAAATAGGAATTTATTCAAGAATATTTCAGGTGCATTTTTTTTTTGTAATTTTTTCGCTACTTTTGCACTTTGCTACTTGAAGCCCATTGCGTTCAAACAAACTGCCCTAGAATTTTAGGTTTTTTTTTCAGTGTAAAATTCTGACTTTTTCTTTCAAACTTAACCATCTCATTCTTTCTGAGGACAAATTTGTCCATCAAGTCAAAAAAAACTTTTTTGACATAGTTTTTGACTAAAATTTTGAGTTTTGTAAAAAACTCAAAATTTTAGTGTGAAGAAAACTAATAGCTATTATATATATGAAATATTTGTAAGTATGAAGTATTTATAAATAAACATACATATAAAATTATAAGTGATCAATCAATTATGTTCTTGAATTATTTTGACATTAAACTCTCTTTTTGTTTTGATAATTTCTGTCAAAAACCCAAATTTTGGTGTAGGAAATATTAAATAGTTGTAACTAAAAATTCCAAAAATAACAATTTTTCCAATAAGTTAATCAAATACGTCCTCAGATCAAAAATTTTTATGTATCAAAATTTCTCCAAAAATTTTAGCATGTTTTTTTTCCCTCCTTTTTTTAGTACTATAACTTTTTCAAAGTATTTTTAAAAAGTAAAATTTACATATTGTTAAAATTTTTTCATTATTAAAGCAAAGAAAAAACAGATTTGATTTTGTACAATTCTGTAGCCCTTCATGGATTCACATATTATTATGTTTTCTTTTTTTTTTCTTATCAGTTGTTCAATGCCTGCTATAATATAAAATAAAATTTTAAACTACACAAATGGGAAAAATTACGACTATGAAAATTCAAAATGTACGAACGACTGCTTCAGCATTTTTCCCATTTTCCAAACCATGAGTTTAACTAAATTATTATTTCTCATTACTTACTGGAATTGATAGTTGACATACTACTGTATTTAAATTTGAATGTTTACATTGTGTGTAATTATATATGTGACATAAGTCATCTTTTTTTTTTCCAGACCAGAAAAACTAAAACACCTTACTGTCATTCCTGGTCATTTCAAGTTTTCTATCCATCTTTTGCAAGAAACACCACCCAGTAAGTTTCCTAATTGTAATCATAAAATGCATTTTTAAGTAAATTTTTCTTATCAAATAATCAGTAAATTTTTCTTAAATTTGCTCATCAAATATTTGTAACTTTGTTTATGAAATAACTTATAGCAAATTTCAATGGTTAGCTAGTTTGTCTTCATTTGGGTATTTACCAGTTGTGAATTGGACAGGTAGAAAAATTTCAAGTTTTTGCCTGTGAATATGACAATTAAATGGCTGATTCTATATGTCAGAGAATTTACAAAATTTGAAGTACTAATAAGATTCACACATTTGTATTATTGCGAATTAGACTGTGGCAGAAAGCTGTTAAAGGTTTGAAAAGTTAAACTGTTTTTCCGTTTGTTTTAAAACTTGTTAACATTAGAAAACAGTAGAAGCCATATTTTATTATTTATTATAGTGTTGAAGACAAGAAATTTACTTGAGATATAAAATCCTGCGTAAGAGAATTTTGAAATACGAAAAATAATATTGCATGATAGTTAAATATATTAGTGATAACTAGGATTAAAACTTTAAAAAAAAAGAACAGGGTGTATTAAGTATTTTAATCTTATAGCTACCTATTAATTTTAAATTTATACAATAAGAAACCAATTTCCTAACCTAAATCAGAATCAATTACATTTGCCATGAACTAAACTGACCATGATGAAGAAAGAAAATAAAAATGCTGTATTTTAAAATACGTATTGTCAACCTTTTATTTACAAAATTATTTAAAAAATTATCAGAAATGTGTAAAATCTTTTGGCTTATTAAATATTTTCTATTTTACACTTTGACAAATATATATTTTTTAATATTCAATATTATTTTTTAATTTTTCATAAAAAGTTGAAATGATTAAAAATCAATTAATCAGTCATCAATTAAAATATGAATAAATTAAATCAATTGATGATATTAAATCAATCAATTAAAAATATTAATGACTTGCTTGCAAAACTGATGGAGATAAAAAGCTGAGAATTGAAGAAGGAAATTGAGAAATAATGAAATGGCATCCTCGAACAAAATATCAACAACTGAATATTATCGTAGGTGATGCAACTTCAAATAATAGTGTGATGTCAACTAGTAATGATAAACGGAAAGTCATATTACAATATTATTGGGACAGACGAATTCTGTTGGTATATTTTGCCCTGTTTGAATGCTACAAGGAAATAATCTTAGTGAAAAAAAGTCCTATCGGAATTTAAAGGGTTAATTGTGGGTCTCTTATGAAACTTATAATTAGTCAAAAGACATATTGATCTTTTACAAGTAATTTTTTAGGATCTGAAATGATTTTTTGCTTAAAAAAAAAATTCTTCCTGTAACTTTAGAAAATTGTTTTAGTTATTAAGGGAACAACGTTTTTATCATAAATGCTGTTGTGATGCCACAATGGGCATTACATATTTCCTAGCTTTTAAAATTTCTTAATTTTAGTTTTTTTAATCATTCTCAATCGAATTTTAATTAAATTATGCCAATTATTAAATTTTTATTTTATTTTATGAAAAGCTAATAATAAATGTAAAATTCATTAATTTACAGTGGCGAATAAATCGAAAGCAAAATCAATTTTTCGCTCTCTATTCTTTTAAAAACCACCGCAATGTTTCAGTTACATGGTTATACTAATTTCTCACAGTCTTTTGGCTATTAGCCATAGCCAAATTATTTTTTAAATTTAATATTGATTACGGGAAATGCACTTTGTTTTTGGCTATGTTATATTTCGATAAATCACCATCAACTAATCTCTTCCCATGCACTAAACTGTCCGTTGGGAGCGATTCATTTACTTAAAATTTTGAATACTTGGTGTGGAGAATAGGGGGCTTCAGCCTCAACAATTGAACTGTTATTTTTACCAGAAACTCTTGATGTTAAGAGAATGATTCTTTTGATCCCTTTGCAAGACTTCCTTTTTTTATTTCATTATTTCCAAGCATGGCCATATTCTGTAAATAATAAATTAATTTTTCTCAAATGAATTTGTTTATTTTTCTGGGATAAATATCCCTTCATAATAAAATTAGAATGTATCTCATACGGCCAAAATAATTTTAATTCATAAAATCTCTACTAACCCCTAAGTTGCACTAACCACCCCCATCATAGCTGCCAATTTTAAATCTAACTGAAACATTTGTTTGATTATAATTTTACTTTCCCTTTTTATTCCCTCTGGTGAACATAAATATATATTGACTTTGTACATTTTGAGTATTGTTTATTTTATTTTTAATATTTAATGGTCTTTTCCCTTTTTTTATTTAAGAAAAGTATATACTATTAGTGCTTAAACTTTACTTATTGCTTGTGAATCATTATAATCTAATGTCGTACTCTTTATTTCCTTTTGTAGATTCCTTAACTACAGCATTAGTGCCTTTAGCACCATTTCCTATTCCACCAAAAAGAGATCCTACGATAGAAATTGAGCAGTTTCCTACTGGTGTTGCAAGCTGTTGCAATCCATATGCAACCTATTTGAATCATTTATATATATTTCCAAAAGCTTTGAAATATGATGGCCAAAAAACTTTTACTAAAGTAGGTATAATTTAATATTTTATAAATCATTCTCAACTTGCATGTGTAAAAAATTATAATTTTTAAAAGTTTTTTTTTCTTTCCTTAATTTTTATATTAAATTTTAAAGCATTTGTATAAGATTATTTGTAAAATGTTGCATTCTTACATTGATTTGTATTACATTTTGTTTTAGAAGCTCTTGCAATAATTTAAAATTGTTACATTTTAAAATTTAGTGCATATTCAATGCCAGCTGTTTAACATGAAATAAACTAAGTTTAATTTTGGATAATGTACGCTTTTGTGTAGCACCTTGCATATTTATATCGGATAGAATGTTTTATTGCATAAAAATCTAAGCACTTTTTTAGGATTTAATTATTTCTTATAGATTTTATACATTTTTAACTTTTAACTAACCTTTTTAAGAATTTCATATTTTTGCGAAAATGCCTGTAAATTTGAAACCTTTTTTAACTATTAAACAAGGTTGTTGTATCTTTTATTTGTTTTTATTTTACTATTAGGCCAGAAACATTGTATGTACAGTAGAATTCCGCGATGGAGATGATGAAAAAAGTGAACCTTTAAAAGTATGTAAAATTTATTGAGTACTTTTTTTTAAAAAAAAATTTCAATCTTGTAAGTGTCTGCTTGTGTATCATTTAATCATGCTGATCCCTAAATAATTTAAATAAAAGGAAACTTCCTGTGTTAACTTGAATAAGTTTGATTTAATTTATTAAGCCAAAAAAATAATTTAAGTGTAATGCTTTTTCTGCCACTTTAAAAATTTGGTGAACAGTTAGATACTTTGTGTTAGATACTTTTTTGAATGTCATAAACATTCAAAAGAAAGAGAAAATTTTTTTAGAAATAAAATATTCTCAGTAAAGTTTTATTTACATGAAATTTAGGTTTCTATCAAAGTATTTGAAATGTAAACTCTCTGTAAGTAATACTTCATTGTTTTATTTTTTTAAAAAAAACTATTTGTATAGTAATTGATATTAATGAACTAATTTTTTTCAGTTAGTAAGTTTAGAGTCATAAAAGGTGACTGTTTTTAAATTTTTGCTGTAAAATGGTTTTATTTCCTGAAACATTCAGCACAATGTTTAAGTACATAATGCGGCAAAAATCTTGGGCAAAGTTATTGCTTCATAAATAACTAATTTCTTTTTGTTTGCCACTTTAATTTTTAAATATTTTATGATACATATATATCTTTAAGTTTATGTATTTTTTTTTCCAGACCATTGCTGAAAATTTTAATAGTGCTCCTGCATTGCTGCATTAGGTGGCCTCTTTGAATTAAATTAAATTTATTTATTAGTAAAAGTTTACTCTTTCATTATTTGTTCGATTTTGGCAGGGTGGCTGCGGCACTGCTGTCGGCCCACCTGGTCCAGGAATCTGTAGCTGATTTGGCACATACGGGTTTTGACTGGGGCTTCCTGGCCTCCTCTGCTCATCGACAAAACTATGGTGCATTTCATCCTGCATGACTGGGGGCTTCCCTTGTGTCCGCAAATTGCTTGATCGCCCGTGCTGGGTGGGGTTGCTACGCAACCGCGGGACATCATATATTTGGCGTACGGGCCCCATGGCCCTAGGTCGCATCACCAAATTTCCTTTCATTATTTGTTAATTAATTAATTTTTATAAAATTTTATTAAAATTTGTTTGTCCATGTTTTTTTCAAGCACGTTTATGTTAACCTTGCAGATGGAATAAAAAATATTTGTTTTTGGTGAATTTTTTTATTTACTTTGTTTAAAAGCCTTGAAAAGTTATAATTAAAATATATGTGCTAGATTACTTCATCAAGATATAAATAAAAGATAGATTGAAAAATAAATTTTATTTTATAATTTCTATTTCTTCCTGCTTACAGGTTATTTATGGCATGCCTGGTGAATCACTCTATTGCTACGAATCAAGTACAGCTATTACTCATCACAACATTAGTCCAGATTTTTATAAAGAGGTAAAACTGTATATATTTTAAAAATAATTTTATAATTGTTTGTTTCAATATATGTTCTAACTTTTTAAAATTAGTTTTATTAAGCTTCTCTACAATACGATTTACAGAAAATAGTACAAACAGTGCCATCTTTAAAGTTATCATTTAAAATATTTTAATAAATTTGAATGTCAAGGATTTGAGATTTACAAAATATTCTAAATTTTATGTATTTTTATAATTCTCTTTTTTAAAGTAAATTTTTCAGCTCAATAGTTTGATTTTTGTTATAAAGTTATTTCTTACAATTTTAATTTATTATTTAAATGCATAAGTATGTATTTAATTCTCTGGAGATATTTAAAAATACCGATTTTTGTATATTAGTTTTGTGGAACTGTTTTACAGTAAGAAATATGTTATTTGTAACTAATTCCTTATTTTTTTCTATAATTGATATTGCCGTCATAATAGCCATATTCTTTTAAAAAAAATATTTTTGCCAATTACTATGACTCAAAAATATCTGATTGAATTAGAGGGAATGAAATCTCTGTTTATTGTTCTTCATTGATCCCCATGACTTTGTTTCCTGAAGAAGAAAAAAGTGCTTTTCAATTAGAAATTTTCTTTTAAAACATGTTTGATTTATCTTATAGAAGTTTAATTTTATCATTTACTAAAAAGTGCTAACAAATCAATGCCCAATATTGCTTATCAATATTAATTATTTTTTTGTAAGTGTTATTTTAATTGAGCTTTTTTAATTAACACAAATTTACCTGAAAGAAAATATTAAAATAGGCTGTGCTTTGCAAGTACATTCTACCTTTGATATTTTAAAATTGCTTACTGGAATTGTTTATCTTAAAGTGTAGTATTTATGTGATAATATTTCATTGGTTGGAAAAACATTATTTTTGTAGTTTATTAGAGCTAATATTTTTTATAATGTAATGACTTCAAATTATTTCTGAAATATAGTCATTACTTTTAGATGTCAGCTTTGTTAGAGAACTTAATTTACACCCATGATCAAACTGGTTTTGAATAGGAAATTGACTTATATTAAATATAAGGGAATAATTAAGAAGTATTTATTCATGTTTACATAAATTTTTTATTCTGAACTAAATATTTTGAATTTGGTTTTTCAACCTTCAACTTTGTATGCTTTTCATGATAGCCAATATTTAATTTAAAAATTGTGTAAAAATTTTCTCATATTTGCAATTTTGTAAGTGTTCAATGCTTTTTTATTTCCTCGAGGAAATAAAATATTCATCGAATATTTCTAAGAAATGTGTTACCTTCCGTTGAAATGGCATCAATGTTTCATAAGTGTGCATTTGCATTTGAAGGTTTGGCCAAAGTAATAAATTGGCTATTATTCATAATGACCAGCTTAAAAATTAGTAAGATGTCATTAACACTCAGCCACAAGAGCATTCTCAAAACTCCATTGTACCCGTGAAGATTGGTACTTTTATCTTCGAAAAATCAGTTGAACTTGAATCTTGTTTCTTTGCTAAACTAACATTAAAAGTAGTTACCAGAAATCTCTATAAACTATTGTTTTTTGTATCATAATACTCATTTCACTATTTTTTTTAAAAAAGGAGCACACTACCTTACAAGCTACGAAAAAAGTTTCAATTATAGCAATTTCAGTGATTGTATTGTTCTAATTCTGATCATTGAAGGATCATTTAGAAAAAATAAAAACAGTCCTTTTAGTCTTATTTTTTAAATTGTGATTAATAAATAAAGAGAAAATTAACAGATTTAAAATCTGATAAGACCATTATGTTATAGTAACTAAAAAAGTCATAATTAAATTATGTGCTAATGACTGATAAACATTGACAAATTTATGTAGGATTTGTTTGTCCAATAATAATACTGAAACATTTTATCACCTCGTGTATATACCAGTAAGAAATACTTGCGATGAAAATGATCTGAAGTACAAAATATTGAAACTTCAAAGTTTTCGATAAATCATTGATATTAATTTTTTTGTAGGTTAAAATGTTACTTCCCACACAACTTAATGAGAAACATCATCTACTGTTTACTTTCCATCACATAAGCTGTGAGCAACCAAAAAATTCTAAGCGTAAAGATGTCCCAGTAGCCAACATTATAGGCTATGCTTGGTTACCCTTACTTAATAAAGGGAGGTAAGTTTATCAAAAATTGTGTGGAAGGAAATTTTTATCATGCAATAAATTTTTATATTGACCCTTAAAATGCTTTGAATGTTAAAGAAAAATTTCTTAGTTTAAAGTAGTTGCTATCTATTTTTATGCATTGTTGAGAAATTCAAAAATTTTAAACTTTTTGTTAATTGGAAATTATTTATAGTGTAATGACTTTAATTAAAATTATTTTTGTGCATTTCTATTTTATAAAGAATTATTCTCATGTAATTGAAACAAATTAGTAGTCTCAACAAATTAGTAACTCTAGTAATAAACAGATATTTAAACTGGAAAGTAAGTAAATACATACTTACTTAAACTATCGGTTTGGTACAGTAGAGCGCCGATTATCCGAACTGTGTCCAAGAATTCGTATTTTTTTTAAAGTTTAGAATACTTTTTAACCTATCGACAATTTTTCTAAATTGAGAAGAATAAATAATACCCCCTACATCTGGAGACCATATTTAATATACAACTTTTTTAGCAGTTTTCTTATAGTAGCCATACATACATGTATTGTGATACAGTTAAACCTACATAGCCCTTTACAACTGAAAATTATCTTCCAAGAATGCAAGCTTCATTTTGATAGTCTACAATGGTTGGAATGCAGAAGGAGTTTATGAATTGATAAGTTCTGAAGTTCTATAATTGGGGAATGGGTAGTTGTAACTTATGGTTAATAATTAGTGATTACAGTGCTTGGAATCTTAAATCTTGGAATAAAATTCTTAACAGAAAAACAAACGAAACTGAAGTTTCTGGACCAGTAGATCTTTCGGATGAAAATGATGAAATTGTTGCTGAAATTTTGAATGAAAATCGGAACTCTACAGACGAAGTGAAGGAAGTAGGTGATCAATCTCAAGATGGTGGACCTTCTCATATAGAAGCATGCAATCCATTAGATTTCGCAATGACCATTAGATTTTGAAACGAGATTTTTGTTGGATTTCTTTTGCAATGGAAAATAATGAAAAATGTTTTAAAATCAGTAATTGACAAAAAATTATAAAAAACTGAAATATGATAAAAATAATTCAAGATGAAAAAAAAAGTTTTAAAAAAAATTTAATTAAAAATATTTAAAATTGAATAAGGAAACATTTTTTAAACATGCCAATGTCGTACTGCCAGTCCTAAGCCTACAAAAGGTACGAAGGGAAGTTAATGCATAAATAATAATCATTTACACTAGATTTTAAATAATTTTCCAATTATCCGAACTTTTCATTATGCGAACCATGTTCGGTCCCGAGTAGTTCGGATAATCGGCGCTCTACTGTACCTTTATTTTGATGCATGCAAGCTTTTGTCTAAATGCAAAAATATAAAAGATTAGTGCAAGAATATTAAAAACTATTCACCTAGAAGAGTTAAATAATTATTTAATTTCTATAGCAAATTTCTATATAGCAAATTTCTATATAATTTCTATAGCAAAAGTTATTTTAACTTCCTATTATAAACTAAAAGCAGATCATAAGTTTTCTGTATTCTGTAAAAGAAGCTATTTTCACTTAAGAAATTGTTTTTGAAAAAAAGGATAGTTCCTCAGGTTTTGCATCTCGGTGTGTTGTATATCTTATGCTTATGTGCATCATGAATTATAGTGTAAATTAGACAAAATGTTTTTTTTTCTCTTAATTGCAACCAATTTACGAGGGCTGTTTTTTAAGTAAGGGCCGTTTTGTTGTATACACTAAAAGGTGATGTGTGCGTCGCAGCGAGTGCTTGCGTTGTGTCCTATCATTCCTTGGGAACAACTGTGCTCAGTTACAGCTATGTAGGTATGGTCATCTCTGTGTCTTATTCTGTGTAATATTCAAGTTTAACAAACCGCTCACCACATATGAGGTACGATCAGTGATGTGTTTTTAGTCTGCAAAAAAACTGTCTGCTGCATACATTCACCAGCAGATTTGAGAAGTTTACAAAGTTTTCTACTGGCGTGCTGACAGGAAATTTTGCCACTCCATGACAGTGACTCTCTATCAGCTCAGTCCTGAGTTTTATTGGACTCTTGGCTGGGAAATTTTGCACCATCCCTCAATACAGCTAAGACCTTGCTTTAAGTGATTTTAATCTCTTTCAAACATCATTTTGGTGGCAACCAGTGTAACGATGACGAAGACGTGAAAGCGATGGTGACTCCATATTGATTGTATGATGGAACAATTGTATTTTAACTCTACATTGAGATTTACAAGTCCTTCAATGTAATTCAATATCATGCAATAAGGAACTCACATGTTGCAATTCACATTCATGTAATTTATTATTCATATACAGTGATTTGTATTAAAGTGTGATTCATAAAGGTATGATTTAAAGATTATATTGATAAAGCAATTAAGTGTTTTTTTAAAAAAACTTTTTCATTAATATTTGCAAAGCTTACAATGTGGTTCATTTTTGGGCACGCATTGCCAATCTCATTTATGGAGTGTAGGTATCGTGCATTGGGAGTCATCTTCAAGTGATATATAAATCCCATTTGTGCCACGTATTCCATTTTCTGATTGATTTATACCATTGCTATTTGTGATTAATTCATACCATGATTAATTTTATATACATTTATACTCTTATAATCATTATTATTGTGATTACTTTGTGATTTATATTGTAATTCATAATTTGTTTCACTTATTTTATGAATCATATATGGATAGTAGTTAAGTTAAAATGGTTCCTGTAGGATGCAGGCTATGATCATGATATTGTCTCAAATATTTTAAATTAAGACATATGATCTCAAATATGTTTTAATTCTAATTAGATAAGGTGTTCGATAATCTGTTTTCTATTATGAAAATATTATTTTATGTATAAGTACTGATTTATGAAGGTTAATTTTTTATTTCTAGGTTATCAATTGATGATCAAAGTCTTCCAGTTTCTATCAACTTACCTTCTGGGTATTTGTCTTGTAAACCCCTGGGTTTAGGAAAAGGGGTAAATACTTTTTATTCATAAATATCTTTTTCTTACGAATGATTATTTTATATATTCTATTCAAAACCTTCCTTTTTTTATTTCATGCACATAATTAATTATTCTGCATAGTTTAATAAACATACATCTTATTGTTTATTGTTGTAACTACAACTTAGTGTTTTTATTATCTTTTATTGAAATACAGTAGAAAATTACATATTCAATTCAGTGTTATGGAAGAGTCTATTTCTTCCCTTCTCTTTTGAAATATATATTCTCAAAAATGTCTTTATTTAATCTTTTCTTATTTAAAAATAAAATTTTATTTATGAAATTTTGCAGTTTAGTGGTCCTGAAATTCGCTGGGTCGATACTGGCAAAGAACTTTTTAAAGTCAGCTTTATTCTTGTGTCCACAGTTAATTCGGCTGTAAGTCAAATATATTATTTTAAAAGTAAATTAATTTAATGAGTTGCAATCATTAAATTAATTTATTTTAATTTTTGTTTTGCAGGATCAACACTTGCATAATTTTTTTGCCCAGTGTCAGCGCTTGCGAGAATCAAAACTTCCTGATCTTGATGATGTTAGCATGAGCAAGGTATCTATACAAATTTTTAGTTGGAAATAGCATAGCATTTTGAATTTTATAAGTATTACAAAAAACTAAATGAAATAGTAGTTTATGTGTAAATGAAGGTGTAATTCAATGAAATTGTAATTTATCTGTAAATAAAACTGTAAATCATGTGTGAATGAAATCATGACTCAATTATAGATGCATGGGTGTCGTTTGTGGGGGGGGGGTATTGTGAGTATACGTCCCACTGAATGTATAGAATTCTCCCCCTCAAAATTTTAGTTAAATAAAGGAAATTTTTATGAATCATCATTGCTTTAAATTCATCAAAGTTAAAAACAGGAAAAAGCAAAAAAGTAACAAATTTTTTTGCAAATATTTAGCAGACATAAGATTTTTTTTTTATGTATGACATTTAAGGAGCTATTTGTGACTGTGTATTCTAGTTTCTTCCTCCTTTAAAAACTTGACCCATGTATTAATGAAATTATAATTCAGTTGTAAATGATACTTTAATTCATTTTCATAATTCTTTACCTTTAGCAGCATTGGGTAAAAATTATAAATGGAATAAATAAAGGCTTTTTTACACTGTTCGAAACTATTATGCTGAAAAGCAACAAATTCTTACTTAAAACATGAGTAAACATCATGCAATTGTTCTCGTTTCCACAAAAATAAAAAATTTCAGTAAAATTGAAGCATGCATGAAAATCTCACAATTATTTGTTCCGTTATCTGTACAATGTTGTTCCAAAATCCTGAATAAATATGTCCTCATTAAAATATTTTATTAAATCATTTTTATATTGCTTTAATTCATTATACTCTGTATGTTTCGTTTTGTTAGACCCTAAAAGAAAATCATTATCATTAAAATGTTATTCAACTTTCATCTGGGTTTAACTGAAATTAAATCATTTAATAAAGAGAGTAAAAACAGTTACAACCTTTTTAATCTATCAAAAATAATTGTTATGAAAATTATTTTTTTATTTTCATCTATTCTCTGTGTGTGTGTGTGTGTGTTTTTTTGTAAGGTTGTTTGGTATCAAAGGATATAAAAAACAACTTTTATTTAGGCTTAAACTTAAGTAAAAATTGTGTTTGTATTTTAAAATTTATCATTTGCAAATGGATTGCTTTCTTGAATTAAGTTGACCATATCTAAATTACATTACCCTGAATGTATCGACATTATAATTTCTTGTTCATCTTTGCACCTCTTTACTAATTGGCATGTTTAATAATTTATTTACTATCTATGTTTCATTGATTGTTAATTAATTTTTTTTTCTTTTCTTTTTCAAATATACTAACAGCTTTTCTTTCTTGCCTGTATGTAATTGTTTCGTTTTTTTTTAATAATTTGAATTAATTATTTTGAAGAAAGAATTTTTTTACATGGTTTGTAGTGTTTCTTTAGATATTACAAGTAACTTTGAAAATGGCCTAAAAAATTATACTAAATGAAAGTTATTCTAAATAAAAATTATTCTGAATAAAAAGTTCTTAAATTTCAGTGTTAGTTTTTCCCCTTTGAGAATTTCATCTAAAAATGTATTACTATGTGTACGAAACACTGTTTATATGAGTTTGTCTGAAAGAATAATTTTTATGCACAATAATATTTAATTTCAGAAAATATTCTATGGATTAATCAAACTTAGTATTTTTATTTCTAAATTCTAATTTGATCACATTTTCCTATTATAAATCCCTATATTCAGCATTTATATTGGATTATTTTATTTTAATCAAATTAATAAACAGAAGCTAAGTAACCTTAATAATGACATATTAATTTTATTTTTTTAGGTATAGGAAATTTTAAAAGTTTAAATAATTTTTGTTTAGTTTCTTCAAGTAAAATTAAACTTGTTATCAGTTAATTATAAGTTAATTTTTAGAATACTACTTTGACTGATGAATTGTTTTTAAAGTGTTTTATTAAGATTCTGTTATTATATTAAATTTTAATATGTTTTAATTTGTATAACTTGTGAAAATTAAAGATTACCTAAACATTTATAATCCAGAAAAATAATTGTAATTAGCTGGGGGTTTTTTTATTCAAAGATAACTAAGGAATAAAGCCTTGAATTTTTCGAACTTGCAATTACTCTCTTAAATTTTTAATCTATTAATCTTGATGTTAAAATAAAATAGTACTATAAAAATAAAATAGTACTATAAAATAGTGCTAAAAAAAGTGTGTAAAATTTTTATTTTTGTGTCAATTTAAAATCTGGCTTAGAATAAATGTTTATAATTATATATGTCTAGCTTTTCGAACAAAAAAAAAGGAAACAAACTGAAAGGGTTTGAACAAAGTAATATTAATATTATTCACTCTGAATAATTTTGAAATTCTTTTTCCAATTCATTGCAGATTCATACAGAGTAACTCATTCAAATACATATTGAATGAAATACAATATTTCTCCTATATTTACGGTTTCAATTTACCCTCTTTTTAAAGTTTAAATTGCTGGGCTTTATATTCTAAACAGCTGTAAATATAATAATCATGACAAATATTTAATCCTATATTACCATTATATGAACTTACTATAGAAAATGAAATGTAATATAGGATATTGGCGCAACCTTTTTTCAATTTACAATAAATAAAAACAAGAAAATCATATCTTGTTTGTCGTAATTTGGAATGTTTCATTTTTATAATGATTCTCTTCAAGTTAAAATTTAAAAGAGTTGACTTTATTGACCATCAAAAATGAAATATGTCGTTAAATGAACTGAAATTTAACACGTACATGCATAGCTATTAACTTGACACTTTGAAATTATCCGAAACTTCAACTTATGTAAAAAAATTCAAATAATTCAGCTTTTAACTTTAATTCTTATTGCCATTTATTTTTCTTCATTTTTGTGTTTTTCTCTTTATGCTTTCCAAACATTCAGTGGGGTTTTGGGTGGTGGGACTTAAGTTCCTGTCCTGTTATTCCTTCATTGTGTCAGCGTCCTCGTCCTCAGAGTATGCCTACGATACGTCCTTCACCTGTGAGTATAATGCAATAATTACTAACAGCATGCTTCACGCTTTTCATGTTGTGCTGCTGACAAAGGTGTTTTACAATTAGGTATCTTTGAGGATCAACAATAAATATACATGTATGAAGACTTTGTAAAATAGTGATAAACCTCTTTCTATTCGCCACATGATTTTTACTCAAGCTGTTTCTTAGTATTATTTCTTAATAGGTACATTGCAAGTTTAAAATTTCCTATTGGATAACAGAATAGTACAAAGAAACATCTTATTGCCTGCAATGTTTTTCACCCAAGATGCTCTTTTGAAAAATTAGAAAGTGTGGCTTATCATTATTGCATACTGACCTTTCCTATGCACACAAACATTTTGTACATACTTTTAAGTTTTTAATTGAAATTCTCTGTGTTTAATTATCTCATTTTTAAGGAAACAATGCAATAATAAATATGTTTAAAAAATTTAACTACTAAAAAATTTAACTACTGAGCCATTAAAATTGTGATTTGCATTAGTAATGTTTTAAGACTATTATAAAATATCTTAATGTAATAAATAATAGTTTGTAAATCATAAATAATAAGCACAGTTTACATGGTGTTTAAAAATGTATTTTTATATTAGTTTTAATTTTTTTAACATTCTCACTTTATTTCAAGTTTTTTCCCTTTTTTTTTATTTTTAATTTTGACATTTGTGATACTGCTATTCATTACTTGACTCTTGAAATGCTTTTGTTTGCTGGCATTTAGCTAAATAGTATTTTTAAATATATCTGTAATGGCAATGTGCATTGATATTTTATAAGTATTTTTGTTAAGTTTTAGAATAGCTGTTAAATAAATTTCATTAATATATTTCAGCCTGAAGATTCTTCTGTAACCTCTGTGTCAGAAGCTGGAAGAGAATTATCTAAATATGTTAAAGTATGTTTAATAGTTAGAGTTTTAACTGTAGAATATATTGTTGAATTATTTGTATAATAAATTTGTAAATCGTACAATTATTCATAATTTTAAATTTTTACTAGATAAATTCAAAATCAAAACTTGAATGAAAATGCGACAACTTGTAATGCGACAATGTCTCTTTGTAAATTATTTCATACTTTTAAGAAATCTGACTTCTTTAAAAGTCATTTTTTAAAAAAAATTTATAAAAATTAAAGTAGTTAGGAATTTTTAATAGTTAAAGCATGTGACCAACATCTTTTTTTTCCCTAAATTATTTAAAAATTACATTTATACTACATAATATCACAAGTTATTATTGTATACAAGCATATTTAAGCAAATAAATTAATAATAAGTAATTAAAAACATGCAGATTTTTGTTAAAAATTGTGCAATTTATTTGTAGGATCTCGTATCTTTTTGGTAGAAAATACTCTGAATAATTGTAAAGCATTTATTTAAAGTGTTCTATTTAAAATATAAATTATGAAGCTAACAAAAATTTAAATTCTCCCCTCAAATCATCTAATGTTGTATTAAAAAAAATATCCTCCATACAAGCTTCATAAAAAATTACCTTGTAAAAATAAATTACAAATGTTATTTTCCAACTTTGTTAATTGCGCACGTTTATTATTTTAGATGTTAATTTTATTGTCTTTGAATTACTATATGAAATGATTTTGTACATTAATAATACTTGATCCCTATATTAAGTAAAAAAAAGTAAAGTATTTCCACAGCAGCCTGCTGTGGGCCAGGGTGGTCATGGAGGTTAAGGCTCTACAATTCCGTGACCAATGACATGGTTGTGGCAATGTGATCAGCACTAAGCACATCCTGTCTTTACTTACTATGCAAGCTGATCCGCATCACTGAAGCTGGGTGAGCTTTATGCTGCCACTGTGGGTTGAACCATAACCACCTAGAGAAGGTGGTGGTTGAACCCCAGTTCTTGACAATGACAGTTCAGTTCCTTAACCACTGAGCCATCGCGGCTTATTATTATCTCTATATTATTATTATTAAATTGTCAAAATTTCCATAGTATGGCATTGTCATGAAGATAAAAAATTTTAAGCTATAATAAATTTTAATGTATAATAAATTTTAATTTATAATAAGAAGGTTTGAAAATATTGAAGTAAAGTTAAGTATTCAGTGATTTAATGATGATAAATTGAACAACACTTTGGTGAGACACGCTGACTTTTATTTCTGATTGTAGACCTGACAGTTGTATTAAACTAGCAGTTTAATTTTGTTTTAACTTTTTGCTTATGGTGCTTAGCTTAACACCTGTTATTATGGGCCACCAGCCGTAGGCAAATTTGTTAATATTCTGAAATTATTAGCTATATGCCAATCTGGGTTTAAATACTTTATTTAAATAAAACTATGTAACATTGTATTTTTTAGTATTTTACAAATTATTAAACTAACCAATTATATATTTTTTTACTCATTTCAGTTAATTTAAACCATCATCCATCCATTCGCACTTTACGCAGTCATCAAATATAAGTTATTCGGTGTGCTTTGAATAAGCTGTGCCATGCTGCTTTTAAAAGTGCTTTTATTTTTCTAAATTTTACATTTTTGGTTTCTAGGTGCAACATGGAATGGCCAAGACTTTAAAGGTTTTTATTTATAACTATCGCTTGACATTATTAGCGAAAAATAATGCTTGCATTGTTATGCTTCAAACTTTGAATGAAAATTTTATCTTTCTTCTGGAAAGTTAATTAGCAAGATCAGTTAGCTTTTGCTCTCAGTTTTGCATGTTTATTACAGCTGCATGTTTGAAATTTATAGATATGCATAGTTGATCAGTAATTTTAATCCGCTTGTTATAACCAGCTTCTGTTAGTCTTTTAATTTTCTAACCAACTTTTGATCTCATACTTTTTGAGCTGCTTACTTTTAATAACTAGTTTGCAAACATTTCGTCCCTGAGATTTTTTGCCACCTGCAAATATGCAGTAGGTTGCAAAATTCCTCTTTAGTGTGTTTTGTATTTACTACTCAGTACCGTACTGTGTATTCATAACACAGGATTTATACTATTTAGTTTTTTTTTACCTTTTTAGTTTCATACTTGTTAAAATTACTTCTCAAAAACTATTTTATGAATTTTTTTCATAATTTCTTTTTATTTTAATTTAATCAATGAATATCACAAATTTATTTCGCTTTGAGGTTTTTTTTTTTTGTAAAAATAGAAGCTTTTTAATCCTGGGATCTCAAATCATCTTTCTTTATTTTTATTTTCTCTTTTCCTGTTATTTTTCATGCATTAGTTTTTTTATCACACGATTTCTTTACATTACATGGAGGACATAGTATTTAATTTTAGGGCAATATTTTGTTCTTACCTCTGCTGTCTATTTAATCCTAATCCACTTGTTCACACAATATTTTGAAGATTACAATTTGGTACATGACGATCTAATCATTAAATAGAAAGTTATTATGGGTTTGGCTTAAAAGTTCATAGTTTACTTTGATTACTAAGTAGGGATTAGGGATAATAATTATTTAGTAACTAGTAATTGCTCTAACTTATTAACTGCTATGAGCAAAAAATCTACTTCTCAATTTAACTTGTAGAATTTTTAGCTTGAGTTATTTTTTTAAACTTTTATTATTCTGAAAAAGGAATTCTAACAAAACTGTATAATTTTTTACATTGTAAATCTGAGCAAACTTCATACATCAGGTCCTAATCAATTCATTATTTTGTAGAAACTTTTTTTGAATTGTTCTTTATTATTTTACTCCTTCATGGTAATTTCATTACGAAATTCTGCTCTTAGGTCTAAATCATCTATTCTTCTAATAGTATCCTTCTTAAAATGGTATTTGTTACACATAAGTATTTTAAACATATCATTCTAACTGAAAGTTTAAACTGACAAAGTTATATCTGACAATTAAGAGTTGCAGAAAAAAATATAATTGTATGTAAAATTATATCAATACTGTCATAGAATTCTAATGTAATTTATTGTTTAGAAATCTGAATCATATCACCTGCGATTCTTAAATTCTTTATTAACTAAATTTGCCTTTTATTCTTAAATCGTTTATTAACCTAATTTACCTTCAAATTTTAAGTTAGTTTATCAGTCAAATTTAACTTGAATTTTTAAATTATTTATTAACTAAATTTACCTTCAATTCTTTGACTGTTTATTAACCTAAAATTCTTAAATTGTTTAGTAATCAGATGTATGTACTATCTTTAAGCACTTACATTTTTTTATATGTGTAAGATGTTGTATCCCTATAAAAGAAATCTAGTAGAACTCCAAGCCACTCGATAAAATGATGTAAATCTTTTTTTGTGTTTTTTCTTCTAACTGTACAATCATGTAACAGAGCAAGTGCTTTTCTATTTTAAAGCATGTCCTAATAAAAGCAAAGACTAACTCCTACTTTTATTTCTTTTTGTATGACTGCCAAAAACACCTTTTTCTTTTAACAACACTAACAAATTTTAGTTTAAATATTTGTAAAAGAATTTCATAGTTTATGCAAGATTTAAAAAGGAAATCATCACATTTGTGAGTAGTTTCTGTTTACTATTTATTATTTTAGTGTGCTTACTTTGCTTGTAGTGTAAAGTTAAAATTAAGTGTATGTTTAATACTAAACATACCAGTTTTATAATAAATATATCATTTTCAATTTATATTAATGTTATTGACTTTAGATAATACATTTTTTTAAAATTATTATACTTCTATTACAGCAATATTTAAATAAATCATTCAATTAGGTTTGATTTAAACTATCAACTTCTTTAGCAATATCTTTAACTACAAGAAATATATCAATTTGATTTAAAATGATAGGAATAAAAAAAAGGGTATAAGATTGTTCAAATTTAATTTTCATGATGCACTTAATATTATTATTTTCATGATACACTTAACATACATTTTATTAAATAATAAATCTTTTATATTGATTTAAGGTTTTGATAAGAGTCAAAAATTGGTATTTTTCCATGACTGTTTTTTTTTATTATTATTGTAACATTATTTCTGTAATAATTATAGATTCTTAAATAATTTAAAATTTTTCTTAATTCTATTTTAAAAGTTTTACAGTGTGCAGTACTACACCAAAGAAAGTTTAGTAGTTAATGTTAAATATTTGTTTCTAACTTCGTTATGAATTTTATTTTATTAACTTTGATAACTACAGATTAACTTTGAAAGTGCACCTGAATAATTCTGACAACAAATTATTGAAATTATACCTCTTTTGCTCCATTTTCTTTTACATTTATCTAACTTTGCCTCGAAAGCTGGTTGTGGGTTTTCTTGCAATTTCTTCTTTGCTTTGCATTAAGTTTCCTAATTTTAGTTGCAATAAACTTCACAGTATGGCTCCATACTTTCAGCCATATTATTAATTGATAGTAGGGTGTCAGTTATTTAGATTTACTAGGACTGAGACCTTTCTTGTAGTATTAAACTAATTTCAGTGGTATGACAGCCCAAAGAGGGCCTACTTTGCCTATCCTAGTTTTCTTGACTGAGTTGCAGGAGCACATGTTCTAGCTGGATGGTTAGCTGAATGTAGAACCCCCTATGTTTTAACCCCAAGGATGGTACGCATATTATCGGCCCAATGAAAGGATAGAACGCTGAGTCAACCTTACCCAGTATGAGGATAAAACCTTGCCATGTGACATTGGAGCATGAAGCGTTACCGCGCGACAACCGGATGGTCCTCTAATAATATTACAACTTTTAAAAAAGTCTATGTCTGGAATCAGACTGGATGTTGCAGGAGTACATATTTGAGCATTTTACAAATAATATTTTTAGAGCCATGATGTCTCAGGGGATAGAGCGTTTACTTTCTAATGAGGTGAAACGGATTTGAATCCCCGCGATGACTGGTCAATAAGAATTTCTCACCTGGCTTGCTCCAAACAAAGGTACTGACATAAAATATCCTCAGTGGTAGAAGGATGGGTTAGAGTCCATTGCCGTCAGACTAACCGTGGGAGGTTTTATTGTTTTTTCTGTCCATGTAACGCAAATGTGGGTTTGTTCCATCAAAAAGTCCTCCACAAAGGCAAAATTTCTCTCCCAATACTTAATTCTGGAGTTCTCTTGTCTTCAGGATTGGGTTCAAAATTACAAAGCTACAGAGTTGAACATTTGTAGTCGTAAACCCGAAATTGGGTCGGCTGTTCAACAACGGTTATAAAATAAAATAAAATGATGTATTTTAAAAATTAATTTTTTTACTTATGCTCAATTTTATGAACTATTTAAAAAATGTTATTTGCTTTTATTTTAAAATGTTCTATGTTGTTTCCATTATCCTAGTTCTTCAATCTTAACCTAAACTTTTTGATGTAATGATAATAATAGTATGACCCTTCAGCACGTACTAGACCACCCATGTTTGAAAACACTTCTTGTACTTATAAAATTTAGTAGAAAAATAGCGTTTGAACTCTAGCATATGAAACTGGATAAGTATTGATCCTGATTGCCAACAGCAAATGAAACTGGAAAGGTATTCCTCCTTTCTAATTCTTAGAGAAAAAAGAAACTTGTTGCCTAAATGAAAAAACTGGAAAAAGTAAATTAGAGCAGAGCCCCTTTTTCCAAAGTCACCAAAAATTCTTCAAAGGGCTAAAAGTAAAAAGTCTATAATTAAACGAGTTAATTGAACATTCTGGTTTTTTTCCTGTCAGATGAACAGCACTCTATTTTAATTGTAAACTTATACCTCTTTTAGAAATGCTCATGATAGATTTAGACCATTATGTCTCATTTGGACAACGAATATCGGAAATTCCATTTATATATATGGATTCATTTCATTTATTTTTCATTTGATCATGAATTTTTTTTAAATTTATATATTGATTTGTTTCGCAAAACAAAATAAGCGTTCTTTTGTCATCTTTGGTGTTGTCATCATTTTATCTTTTTATAAACTTTTTGAGTTTGTGACCTTTTTTGTTTTTGTTTATAAGCTATGGCATATAAATTGTGAATTAAATTTTGTGTTACTTACTCTTTTTGGAGTTCAAATGTTGAATTTACCAAGAATGGCTAAAACTTCAAACTTATGTTTAATTATTATATTTTTAATTTATTGATTTTTATAAATTTATAGAAAAAAATGTTACATTTTGTTTGTTTACATGATTTTTGATATTTTCTATTTCGAATTTTTTTGAAAGTCATATTTTAAAGCCTTAATTGGGGTTTCAAGTTTCTCAATTCTGTACGGATAGTTCTATTTTTTTACATGTTATTGCATTCATTTTAATTATTTTTCAGACACTTCATGCTGTTGATATGAGTACCATTATTTACTTTTTACCGACTTTATTAAATGAATTATTTCACCTCATTGTAATAACCTCAAATGAAGATGTGGCCTTAAACACCATTAGAGTTCTTATTCACATTGTTCATGGAATTCATGAAGCTGGGAAAATAGATATTATGCATTCATATGTTCAGGTAATATTTTCAAACCCGTATATTAAATTAATGATATTCAATGTTATGCTTTAAAAAATTATTAATTTTCTTCCTGCATAGATAGTTGATTTTTGGATGAATATAATTACAATGGAGCATCGTTTATATGACACCGAAGGGACCACCGAAAATCGTCGTATAAACGATAACGTCGTATAATCAATTTTTACTTCTAAAACTGAAACTAACTCTGTTTTCAGTTAATTTTAATGTTTAACGTGTTGATTTACATAAATTTCTAAATTAGACAAAGCAAAACAAACAAATAACCGAAGAAGAAAAATTGCAGTGAGCAATTTGAATGTATGTTACCTTTAATTATATTTTCTTGCTATTAGTCTCTACAATGCTTTGAATAGCGAGTTGAACTTACTACTTTCTATGAAGCAATTTTAAATTTCTAATCACGGCCTAATCTAATGGCTGAAGCGCACTTGTGCAATTTGCAGGAAAAAAGAGAGCTTTTACATTTTCCAAAATAATTAGTATCGATGGGTGCGCTGGACATTGGTGGATGAATAGCAAATTTTTTCGTTTTTGCCTCTTCATAACATTGTCTAGTTTTTTCAGTCATCTGGAAAAAATTACGGTCGTCATCCCTTGTTGGCACCCTTTTCTGTATAATTCATGTTGGCAAATTCCGCCCTTTTTTAAAATACACAAGAAAAAATAAAAAATTAAATAAACGTGAACAAAATCTAAAAACCGACGTATAACCGATTCTGTGTGTCGTATAAACGATATATTTTTACATTAAAATGAATAAGAATGATTTGGGGCCACACTAAAACGTCGTATAAATGTATATGTTGTATAAGTGATCGTCGTATAAACGATGCTCCATTGTAATTGCAGTTTTAGACTCTAAAATATTTGAATTTTTATTGCTTTAATTTTAATTTATTGATTACTTTATTTTTAAACATTCATCTTTTTATGCATTCCAAAATTTTCTATGCATTTTATATGTCCATTCCTATTTCCTTCATTTGATTGTAAATTTTCGTAGTATGTTAACCTTGAAATAAAAAGTTGAATTTGTAATTAATACATATTTTTAAATGCTTATGAAATGAATTGTTGAATCTAAGTAAAGCTTTGAAAGTGCAGAAATGTTTATATAGTCTTAAATAAACATTCATAAAGTAACTAATGTAGTGCTTGATATTGCTATGACTAAATTTGATCTCATTATTTTCATTATTAATTTTAAATTTGTTTATTTTTTTAAAATTAAAGTAACTATTGAATCCAATATTTAAAGTTATTTTTACTTTCAATTAAATTCTTTTTTAGACTATTTACGAAATAAATCTTTGTATACATCTTACTTTATTGTGATCATTTTGTTTTTTCTTTAAATTGTTTCAGTATGTCTTTAAGACCCAAGAACTTACAATTAAAAAGAGAGTTCTTCATGAAGAATTAGTGAAAGCTTTAAATATAATGCTGAAGCCTGCCAACACAGATTTTTTGATGATAAATAAGTTCCTGAAGCACTCCTGGTTTTTCTTCCAAATTATAAATAAATCACATGCTCAGCATTTACTGTCCACTGAAAGAATCAAAGTAAGAGAAATTTTAATGACTTTTAAATTTAAAGTTAAGCAATTTTTTATGTTTTAAGAATCCAATCTTTGACCCATTAAGCTTTGCCCAAAACTCTATTTGGGAAAGGACCTATTTCTTCTTCTTTATTTTTTTTTTATTGTGTAAACCAATTTTTTTCTGTACAATAATTAATGCATAGAAAGAGTAATTTTTGTACAAATCAAAATTGTATAACATTCTCATTCATATGTTCAAGTTGCAATTATTTCTTTAATTATGTGTTATCAAATTTATAATTTTTATAATTTAGATCCTTGTATCTTTTGAAATTTTAAGTTATTGTTATTATTACTTTTAGAAAATTTTTGTTTTTTTGTGTATGTAGCACTTTAATACTTACAGTGTTTAAACTTAAATATAATGCTTAATATTTATATTTTATATAATATTTACTTTAATATTTTTTTAAAATTTAACTTTCCTTTATGGAGTGGAAGGAAATGAATTATTGTAACTGCATCAATCAATCAATGATCAATAATAATAAAATCTCAATAGACTTGAAGTGAAAGGATTCAAGTAATGCTATTTCATCGCGACTTTCTTTTGAAGTTGTTTTACTCGATGTAAAGGAACAAGTATTTCAAATTTTATGTTTGTTAACAATATTTTTTTATTCAATTTTTGTTGACAATTATTTTTTATTCAATTTTTGTTGACAATTTTTAAATAAAAGGCCGTCACATATTATGTGGTTTATGCATTACTAAATGCCTAGAGTTATATTACTTTTTTTAACCTTACATTTAAGTTGTTAACTTTGAAACTTTTACCATTTACATATAATGTAGTAATCATCTATAAACTAGTGATAACATGTAAACTTTTTAACTCTTTAAGATTTTTAGTATTCTCATGTGATCATATAATGAGCTAAAATAATGAAAAGTAACAATTTTATGCACCTTTTTAATTCCTTTTTTACAATCATTTGGTAATTTAATAGCAACTTCTCAGTTTTATAACTTTTCTTAAGAAATGTCTGGTTTATGCCAGCCAAAACCATATTTCACTTATGTGTCCCTATAGACAATTTTCTACCATCTTTGTCCCAACAACACACTATTGTATTAAGATAGATTTTGAGAAGAAATCGACTCGAGGTATTTCACCATAGGAAAACTATCAAATGCAAAAAGCTTACACTATTTTGTGAATGTACAAGTCATAATTATTGTTTAGTTTTAAAAATTTATCATTTATTAATATTTAATTAATTTTCAATTTGAATTTAGTGTTTTAAACTTGATTGTAACTTTTAAAAGATAGCAGCATTAATTAATTGAATATTATTTATTTTTGTTTTAATTCTAATTCAGAGATGTCAGCACTATTATAAATTTTGTAAGAGTCTGCGCAATGTAAGTTTCTTTTCGAACGTTTATTTTGTTTTCGCAACGACGCGAATTGATTACGAGTTCGATGTGTTGTAGATGTTTATAATATTTTTCCTTTCGGGACCAGCTCCCAAAGTTATTTCGATATTACGATTGTTATGTTTCGATAGCTATTATGATAAGTTATATTAATTTCGAGGTGAGTCATGTATTTAATGTTTTGTTGTCAACGTTGTGCTGAACTGTCTGAAATTGTTTTTATGTTCAATTAACTAAATAATTATTGCTGCTGTCTTATTAACAACTTGATTGCTGTTACAAAATTTAATTTCAGTTTATTTAGTGAAATCAATTATTATTCAGTATTATGTTTATTGTTCAATATATTATTAAGCAGAATAAAATGTTCTTAAGATACTTAATTTGTCAAAGTTTAAATTTTACAATATTTGTTTCTTTTTCTTTTCTATTTTGGTAATCAATTTTACCTGGTCTGTCATTTTACTATCACACATAAAATTATGGTGGGGAAAAATAATCTCTAATGCCTTACTTTTCAATAGAGTGCAATAATATATTTTTTCTGTTAGATTTTAACTTTTTTCATTTGTGAAATTATGAAATTTTCAATATTTTGTAGATGATGCGCCAAGAAAGATTTCCTGCTGACTACCAATTGTGTATAAGAAATTTGGTGGATGGAATCCTTCCACTCATTTTACAAAAGTATAAAGAATTGCCAATTGAAACAAGACAAGCCAATTTGAGCTTAGCCTTTTTCTTAAAGGTTTGTAAATCATTAATCACACATTTATGTAGTAATAAGACTGAAATAGTACTGAAATTTCTAAGTCTGATAAACTTTACTATGTAATCATAAAGCATTTCTATTTTATAAACTATTGATAATTTATTGATACTTCAATTTTGTGTTTTGTGTTTTTTTTAGGATATTTTTATGAATACAAAAATTTTATATGTATGTTAAAATTGGAATATCAAAAAAATATAAAAATAGTAAATTTTCTAATTTTTTTTTTAATTTTAAAAATCGTATTGGTATACAAACAATATAAAGAATTTTCCATGGAAGTGCTAATAATAAAATAAATTTAGCGGACGCTATACCTTGGGAAAAGCAATTAATTACAAATTCTCTTTCGTTTCCATAGGTAATTTAAAGCTTTAAGTATAGAGAAAGTGAGTTCAGAGAAACCTAGAATTAACCACGAAGTTTCAAATGCTAAAAAGAAATTTTCAGTGTATCAATATGAGAAGATAACTTAGCATCACTCAATTGAGAAGTTCTCTACTAATAATTTTTTTCCCAGCAATTGAAACTTCATGGCGTACTCTAGGTTTGCTTGAACTCCCTTTTTTTAAGTTTTAAATTAATTATGGCGTAAAATAGAATTTGCGATGAAAAATTTCTCCTGTGGTATGGGGTTCTCTAGCATTTCATCACTTAAATTATAAATACTTATAATTTATATTACACTTGAATTGTAATTGTAACAGATTGTTAATTCGTAGCAACAGATGGCACTACCTGTCTATCCACATAAACAAAAACAATAGTTTTCGTTTTGATTCTAAACAAGTGCGATAATGCCAAAGCCATCTTTGATTCCCGTTTTACTTCAATCAGTTTGGATAAAACTTTAGGTTACTTTCCTTTTCAGTCAATGTTGTTACTCATTATTGTAAAATGGATGTGTGAATGTATAATTAAAATACTGAGCTCTTCTTGATGGTGTTTCCTTCCATCATCTTGTGTCCGTACATAATTACTTATAATTTAAGTGTTATATAAAATTGTCTTTTTTCATACTTTTAAAGTAATTGTGTATAAAAGAAGCTATTTTACGCTATATTTAATGTTTTTTGTGTAACTGTAAGTATTTTTTCAATGCTAGTAAAAAGGAGATTGTTTACAATGAACCAAAATTGCCCATTTTCTTTGAATGTAAACAACTAAGTAAATGTTATTTTAAAAAAATAACATAACTTAACAAAGAAATTTTTTACCTTTTTCCAATGTTTGTACAAATGTTTCAGTACAATTTTATAGTTCTTCTCTCATTCCTGACCTAGAAGTTGTTGCTTTTCGCAATTTAAATGCTAAATTGTTTTACCCTTTTTCAGAAAAGTCTCTCTGTTATGGATAGGGGATTCATCTTTAAAGTGATAAAAAGTTATCTCGAAAAATTTTCACCCAGTGATGCTAAAGTAAGTGCTACAGTAACTATTTTTTGCTTAATGTTTTTAAGATTATAGTTGTTTCTTTAGTTTTTTTATTTTTTAAATTTTTTTTTTAAATTTATTTTTTTATCGTAATATACTTAGCTTCCTTTATTATATTTCAGACCCTGCATGAATACAAATTCGAATTTTTAGAAATTGTTTGCTTCCATGAACATTTTATCGCCCTCAATCTTCCAATTATGAGAAGTATGCGCATACATGGCCACACAAAAAATATGAAAGGTATTTTTACACATTCTTTTTATTTGTAATAAAGAAATTTTTAATCGTTTTCTATCAATATTTTTATCCTTTATCTTATGTTTTGATGAAATGAAAATAACTCAAATGAGAAGAAGTGTGAATACGAGAAGAAATTGGCAACTCTAGGACATTTTAAGTACCTCAGTTTTTCCTAACTATGAAATTCAAAAATTGCAGAACGTTAACCTAATTAAGTTTGTTTTTTTTTACAACTAGATTAAGCTTTCTTTATGTTAGATTTCTTAAATTACAAATGTAAATAATTACTGACATGTCTGAACTTATGATTTAAGGTCGATAAACCTTAAATTTATCAAATTTATTAATCATACATATTTTTTAAAGAAATTTAATAAATTACAAAATAATCTTTTTACAAGAAAAAAAAATTATTTTCTGTAATAGAACAGAGGTTTTGTTGTTTCATGTAATTGGATCTTTAATCTAGAATTAGATTGAAATAAAATATTTACATCAATTCAACCTTGGAAAAAGCATTCTTCAATACTTAAAATTACTTTTGATGCATATTATAAATTTAAATTGTTTTACAAGTGAATTAAAAAGAGCGTGACTATTTGGAAGTACTAGAGAAGAAGACTTAGTAATATTTTAAGAATATATTATAGACCTTTAATAACTATACTGTCTAATAAATATTTTTTGTAACACTTAATAAAATTATTAATTTTTTTTTTCGTAGTTTGTTAATAGTTATGCAGATAATAAGGACAAATTTTTATGTTTAAAGTTGAATTTACCGCATATTAAAGAATGAAATCGTTAATATCAAGTTTTTTTATTCTATTGTAGAAGAAAAATTTGTAAATGCTTAATTTGTAAATTTGTTTGCCGAATGAATTTCAAAATTGATATTTTTAATAAAAATTTTTCTTCTAAATAATTGAGTTTAATGTGTTTTATTTAAATAATTTGGATAACTTATAATTTATTAAAAACTGCCTATTTCAATTATTTGAAATTCAAGCAACCATTTTCTTCCAATTATTCTTTTATGTTTTACTTTTTAATCCTATTATGAACAACAATTTAGTCAGTATATTAAGTTCAAAATCGAATTCAAAAGCTTGACTGGATCATTTTACTTATTTTATATATTTTAATGTGAAAATGAAATGTCTGACTGTTATTGAAACTCAGATTTTTAGGTTTCAGGTTTTCATTTATATATATATATTTTTTTTCGGTGTATTATAAGTAATAATTTTAATTGTTTAACAGATAATATTATAAGCAGTATATTGTACTCTCTAATCTAAACAAAATATTTCTGAAATTAAAGATAGTATATTTTATTATTCTTTGGCGATAAAATTTACACTCATTAAATAGGACAAATTATACTTTTTTGAAAAATTTTGTCTTTGTATTTTTTTAAAATTTATTATTATTTTTTATTTATTTTTGAAAAATTTTGTCTTGATTTTTTTTATTTGGCCAATTACGAAGATTGGTATAGGTTATATTTTCTGAAATAATTGAGTATGCAGTGGAAAATGTCAAGAAAGTATATAAGTGACAATTTTAATATAAGTGATGATTTTAATTGTTTAATAGGCATACTATAATCAATATACTATAATAAATGATAATTTTAATTGTTGAACAGCCTTATTTGACATAATGTAATACAAACTGATTATGAATGTCTGTTATGTAGATATAACTGTAACTGTATGTTTCTCTTTGAACATTAGCTTTGTTACTCTTGCTATCTGTGTTTAGTTTTTATATTCTCTGTATTCTTTGTTCTATTTGTTTTAATTCTTCATTTATTTTGTGTAACTTTTGAATGTGCCTATTTGTGGAAACATCATTAACTTTTTTATATCTGCTCCTTCAGAAACCAGTGATGAGGTTGACGGTAAGTGACATTACTAGACATTACAGCTTGTTTGCTTATGCATGCCAGGAATTCATTCACAGCTTGCATTAGATACTTGGTTGTTTAGAAAAATTCTAGTTTTGCTTGTAGTATTGTAGTATTTGCTTGCCAAACTATTAATTTTAAATGTGCATTTGCATTTTAACTGTGCATTGATTTCAAGGCACTACTTATATTTTATTATATGATTTGTGAGTCAGATATCTAAGTAAGGAATATTTTTACATGATGTTATGTTAAAAAGAAATTTCCCTTCTGCAGAAATGTAACAGTGAATCATCAAACAAATTACAAAATACATACTGTTGCTTTTTTGTCATTTTGTTTGTCTGTTTTATTTCTAAAATGCACTTAAATGTTTTGAAATTTCGTGAACAATTGTAATGTCTGTTATATCTTTTACATTCGAAGATTTTCAATGTAGTAATTTTAAAGTTTATTTTCAATCTTTTTTAGAGGAAAAAGAATTTTGTACGTTTGATAGATATTTTTTTTCATTTATAATTTAAATGTTTGAAATCAAAATAATTTTTATGTCTATTTTTTAAAAATAAGTGTTTTATTTTATTAGTTTTGTATAGCTTAATACGCAGATTAAAAAAAATTAGAAATGTCATTCGTTTACTAGTTATTCCAAATTGCCTTAACATTTTAATGTCATTAAACGGGGGGCAAATACTTATGTAAAAAGCAGTATCTGAGAATTTTGAAAAATCATAGTGATTCAAGTAAAAATAAACATACATAATTTTTTCTCAGTTCTTAAAAAAATTGAATTAAATTTAAAACTTGAATTTTTTTAAAAGTAGTTTACTAATGCTAGATGTAATTATTTATGTAATTACTGAAACTTATTTAAAAACAATTACATTATGGTATTTTCCATGCAAGAGTCACATTTTTATTATAACTTTCATAAAATTTAAGTTTCGTTATAGAGGAATTCATGCTAGCATGCCAGATGTTTTTCAAATATATAATGAATGTAATCTTAGCAAAGAAACACCTTTGAATTTTTAGATGTTCTTTATCTTAAACTTTAAGACTTTTGAAATTTTCATATGCCATCTAAAATCTTTTCTTCTTTATTGGTGTTAAACATTTTGCTAAATTTAATTATGTTTTTTGGCTCACATTTACATTACTAATGTTTCAATGCTTTTTTTTCTCACTATTATGTAACTTTTTCTTTGTGTGCTTACATTCCAATACATGTACATTTCCAAAATTGATATAATTTTGCTTTATGTTTAGATTTTGAGCACGAGTACCGCTTATCAGAAGAGTTCTGCCGTCATCATTTTCTATTGGGTGTTTTGTTACAAGAAATACGAGCATCTTTGAGTGAAGTGCATGATATCAGACAAACAGCGGTATCAGTTTTTAAAAACCTACTTGCCAAACATGCTTTTGATGATCGTTATCAGTCAAAGGTAATTTTTTAGTAGCTTCCTATGTTATTTAATATACAAATTACAAACATAGGATATGTTTATAAAGAAAGATAAATTTACACTCTTATGCAACTGTTTCTGAAGCGAGAATCCTTCAATTCAAATTTCTTGCATTCCTTCTGCTATTGTGGGATCATGACTGGTTATTGCAATTCAATTGTAATATTACGTTGCAATCAAACTTGAAGCATTACCCCTCAATAAAGCTCATACTTTTTGGTTGATCATGTGTACTATATTCTTTTGCCGCCTTTGAAGGAATTTTGTTTGAAGGTTAATGGTTGTTAATTGTTTAACGTTGACACAATTCATAATTTTTCCCGGAATCTGTATTTAAAAATATTTCTTTCAGGCAATTAAACTTCAATAAAAAGTTAAAATCTTAAGGAATTATAAAATACATTTCACGATTTTTACAAACTTAGGGAGCATTCCTACCGAATGTGATTTGATTGTTCTACTTGAAATCGAATTCTCACAAATCGAATTCTCAATTTCTAAATGCATATTTTATTTAAATTTATATTTTGATGAAAAATTACAGTGTGTGCAGTGTTCAAAAATGGTTTGAATTAAAATAAGAAGTTTGTTTACAAAACATCTGAATTTTACACAAAATCGTTTATATTTTCTCTCTTAAGGTGAAAACTGATTAAACTTTTCAGTTTCTTTTTTAACAAAATTGTTAGAATAGTTTGGAGTGAGCTTCAAAAGCTCGGTTTCGGTTAACTGGCCCAATCCTAGACATTTTAGCAAATGTGGTTTGAGAAAAAATATCTTAGCTGTGACTTTTGAATTATTGTCAGTTTATAGAGTTTTGCTCTTATTATAAATGTACAATATGTGTCAGTAATCATCTGATTTATTACTTAAGCTCTCTAAGTATTATATAATATTAACTAGCATTTATAAAGGATTTTGAAATAGATGTGAACAATTATTTTAATTTATAATAATAACAGTTTATGATACAATTTCAATAATGTCTAATTCTCAAAATTTTGACTAGTTAAAAATATTATTTATGCATTGAAGTGTACATATCAAACCTGATGAAAAAACTTAAGCCTAAACCAAACGCTGTTGGTTGAGAACTGTTTTGAAATAATGTAATTGCAATTAACTTTTACAAAATTATTATTAATAAAATCTCAATATATTTTTTGAAGTTATAACTTATCAACTTGAGTTAATAGCAACTTCTAATGAAGATTGAATAATAGTTCTGCTATTAAAAGGAGAATATCTGCTTTGTGATTGGTAAAAAACAATTTGACTGAACTTAGCCATCAAAATCAAACTATTGTGCTGGTCACATGACAAAAAAACTTTCACAGCAGACATTTTTTCCAATCAACTGAGTAGAATTTTTTTTTTACCTATAACAGACACGTTAGTTTTTACATGAATGAAATATAATACATAATTTTTATTTTTATTCAGGCTCATCAAGCAAGAATAGCCTCACTGTATTTACCATTTATATCAATTTTGATTGAAAACTACAGCACATTGAGAGTAAAAACTCCACCCTCTACACCTCCTCCTCCACCTAAAGAAGAAAAAATAACGCTAAAAAAATCTGAGCATTTTTCTAATCCTGTCACTCCTATTGTTTCACGCCGTAGCACTGTTGAACCAACAGGCTCTTTACCAGCATCAGCAAGAAACAGAGACTCTAACTTTCTCTGTATGATTGCCGGTCAATGTAAGTTGGTTCATTAAACTTTGTTAAAGAATTTCTGTTTGTGATTCATGTTTTTGTTGATTTGACGATTCATAAATATTTTAAGTCATTATTCTTAATTGCCTGAAAATATCAATCTGTGAAATTTATTGCTTGTGCAGTGATTTGAAGGCACCAGAAGTTCGTAAAATTTATCTTTGATCATAAACTTGACACAAAATATTTTTTATTGTAAATTTATTAGTGGAATATGAAGCTTTGTTTTAATTTTAATTCAAATTCAAAAGTCGTTTTTTACAATGTCCAAATGACAAAAATGGTTTAATTTTTATTAATAAACTATAAATTAATTAATAATTATATAATAAATCAATAAATTAATTTACAGTGATAGTTGGTGTTTCAATTCCGCACTCAGTTTGCACTGACCACAGTGCTGACATAAAATATCCTCAGTGGTTGATCATGGGTATGAGTTACCTTACCGTTAGGCTAGCTGTGGAAGGTTTTAATGGTTTTCCTCTCCATGTAACGCAAATGTGAATTAGTTCCATCAAAAAGTCCTCCACGAAGGCAAGCTTCTCCCAATGCTTAATTCAGGAGTTCCCTTGTTTTTTGGATTAAGCTCAAAATAACAATTGAGCATTTTTGAACATTGGAACAGAGTTGAACATTGGTAGTCATAAACTCAAAATTGGGTTTATTTATTAATAATCTCTAGTATTTTAAGTGAATATTGCTGTAAGAATGCCAGTTTTTTTTAAATGTGCATTCATTTTGATATTTTTTTAGCATTTTGCTTTTTTTTATAACTTTTCCAAAAAAAGAAAATTTAGGAATTTTTTTTTTTCAAAATTATTTTTTTCGTGGAATTTACTACAAATCTGAAATTAATATTCATAATACTTTTAAAAATGTATCAATAAGTGTCAGGACTCTGATTCCACCCCCGCATGTGTGGACCAGTCCTGACCTAATGGGAGCTGTCATTCATTAAGAAAAAGAATTAAAAAAGCGAAAGACACTCTGGTGTATTATGGACTGATGCTGATAAAATATAGATGAAGTGAAAAGGGAGCAATATAATGCCAGAGGGACTTTGTTTTATTAGAAATATATATTAATGTATATACTATTTAACATAATAACTCAGAACCTGAAATAAATATATATATAGGTCCTGTCATCATTGAGTGTAGCAAAACATAATGCAAAGAAAACTTTTCACAAAGGATTAAATTGATCTATATAATGACTTTATACCAGCATGCTATCAATCCCGATCTTACCGATGTGGGGATGTGATGATGTGGTTATAAAGCCCAATTAAAAAAATAAGAAAAAAATAAAAATTAAACAAACGAAACTAGGTGAAAGAAGCTAAACTACATGTAAATAAATTCTCCCTCTACTATAATCATAATATTTAAAAATTTATCTTATTGTTCATATCTTAAAAGCTCTTAGAAATTTGCTGAAAACTCTGTAGGGATTTCTATAAATTAGTTTCAAAATTATTATGTGACTCCTAAATTGTACTGAATAAGGAATAAACAAGTTTTATACGTAGAAAAAAAGCTAAGTTGTTAAAATAATTGTGAATTTTGAATTGTACTGAAAAAGGATTGAAAAATTTTATGAAAAATGCTTTTAAAAATTTATTTTCACGTTGTTTAAATATTAAACAAGTTTAAGCTATGCCTAGCACTAAACATTTTCAATTATCTCTGTCATATTTGGATATCAAAAAAAGTTCCATGGGAAAAAAATCTTTAAAATAGTTTTCACTTTATTTCTGTAGCTCAACCCACTGTAACTTTTGCTAACGGTTCTTGCACATCGATTGAAAGCAATGCTTCCAATCCGTCCACATTGTCTGAAAGAAGTAACAGTGAGTTTGCATCTAGAGATAAAGATGGAACTGAGAGCTTAGAAGATTATCGATGTCACGCAAGGTACATTATTTTGTTTACATTTATTTATAATTTCCTGTTTTATTTTGTGTAGTTTTCCTCGGCACTATAAACTTTATTTTTTCTACTTAGATTGAGTCAAAGTTCTTCATCTGTAAGGAAATTTATTTATAATTTCCTGTTTTATTTTATGTAGTATTTCTCAGCACTATAAATTTTATTTTTGATATTTCTGCTTAGATTGAGTCAAAGTAGTTTATCTGTATAGAAATTTATTTCAAATTTTAATGAATCCATTGCTTCTCAGAAAATATAAGTCAAACTTATTTCATATTTATGTAATGAGAACCTGCATTAAGGATTTCAAATTATTAGCCAGTGAATTTGCTAAATATCAAAGGTCTCCACCAATTTTCGAAAATCTTCGCCAAATTCAAATCTTAGCAATTTTTTATTATAAATTTTTTTCCATAGAAAACTATTTTAGGATAGTTTGTTTCAGACTTATATTATTTGAACCCAATTTTGTTTGGTTATACGGCACATCTACCGAAAATTACTATAAATAAGAAATACTAATTTGTTTAGAAAAATTTATCTTGATATAATTTTTAGGATTTCGTTAAATATACATTTAAAAATCATTCACCAAAACACAATTTTATTTGCCAAATTTACGATTTTATCGCATTTGCTGAGGTGGCAAATGCTTAAAATGGGCCTTGATAACCATATATTGATACAGCCATGATCACTCAATATTTCATTTGGTAAAGCGACTCTTTAAAACTTATTCCATAACAAATTATGGTGAACAATAATCAAACACATAATTTATATTTGTTAAAAATAGATACAGATATAATTAATTACAAGACAATTTTCCTTAAGAGTATATAGAATAGTCTTCTCAAAGTATATTGCAATGTCAAATCAAATATTTTTAGCCATTGCTTGTAATTTTAATATTGTGTAAAATAAAAAGATAAATTAATATTTTTATTCCGTTTATCTTGAGTTAATTAATCTCATTAGAAAGTTTCAAGTAGAGAGATCTGAATGTTTAAAACCATTTTTTTAACTTGATATAAGTTACATTTCTCAAAATTCTATATTTTGAAAACCTTGCACTACATAACCACCTAATGTTAATTTGAATTCCTATATCGAAGAGTTTCTTCTAAAAATCTTGTTATGTCGAATAATTTTAGTTATAGAAAATGAATTTGCTTCGGAAAAATCCCAATGTAAGTTTATTGTTTAGCAATTCTTTTCTATTTAATTCATAATTATTTTGTCTTTTAAAAATTATTATTGCTGTATTTAGACTTATAGTCAACTATTGTTACATACAGAAATTAGTTATTCTTATGTTCCATGACTCTACTTTTTGGAGTACCATTTTAGAATATATTTTTCTACTTTTTAGAACATATATATCTCTGAACTTGTTATCTGGAAAATTCTCTATCTCAAATGTTTTTTTAAGGTCCCTTCAGCTTTGAGATATCGAGAGTATACAGTGAAAAAATTTCATTCTCATTTCTCATCTGTTAAATTTTAATTTTTATCTCTGAATTATTCTTGTTAAAAAAATTTTAATATGAAACAAATACTGATTTCTAGGTCCCATTCTCTTCCATTTTCAAGTTCTTCAAGTGTTCTACATTTTGATAAAATTGATTCTCCAGAAATGAAAGACTTGTTGGTCTGCTTTTTGTATATAATTAAACATGTTAATGAAGGTATGAGTTCAAAATTATGTTCTTTGTTTATTCTTGTTATTTGTTTATCCTTGTTCATTCTTTGTTAATTCTTGAAAATATTTTTTCAGAGCTTCTCATAGGATGGTGGCAACATTGTAGTGAATATGATATTCTTTACTTTTTTCAAATATTAGAGTAAGTATAAATTGTAATTTTTTTTTTGTTATTCGTCAAGTTTAAATTTTTTAATTTTATTCAGGGTTGCCACTCCACAGGGAGAATAGGGAAAGCCTGAAAAATAGAGGGAGTTTAAAAATCACCTAAAATAACAGAGAAAATGCTGGGAATTTTGACTTTTTCTCCACAAACTAGGAAAATACAGGGCATTTTGTTACTTATTTTCATCTTTTAAAAAAATTGTGACCACTTAAAGTGCAATTTATGGGATACTAAAGGACGGTATTTCAGCTATACTAAATAACTTACTATGGCATTGTTTAAGTATCTTCAGCTGTTACTTTTTTTTTCTAAGTTTTTCAAATATTAAAACAGTATAACTCAATATAGCAACTCACAAGAGCACAGTTTCTTGTGTGAGTGTGTTTCCACAGTTGTGTTTCCTCTTAATATATTGTGTATAATAGGCACAGGGAAAGCACAGAGACTTTTTTCCCCTCCAGATTTAAGAGGGGCAACCCTGTTATTTATTATTATTTACTAAGATACTATTTGTTATATAATTGCGATTGAGATATTTTTTATTCATAGTTTCATAAATTGATTTTAATTTTATAAGTAAAAAGAGAATAGTATATTTTTTGTGAAACCTCACTTTTCTTTATCATACAGAGAATAATAAATTAGTGTTTTTACGCTGTTGTCTGCTTCAAATTCTATTTCTCTTTTGTTACAAAAGTAAACTTGATAATTAGTTTTAAAAAGTCTGTCACATTTATATCAAAGATAGATTTTTAAATTTTTTGGAATTTAAACGTTAGCTTTCTTTACCAGCTATAAAGAACTCTTACTGGTTTCAGATTTGCTGATGGTTGTTAAAGTTACAAATTTGAGTCACATTTTATATGAGATGGGGTTTGTTATTTATATTTAAGACAAGTTGTAGTATACAAGAAAGAATTCAATTATTACTGCAATTGATTTTTCTGTCATAAAAGCTGTGAAGAAAACAAGTTCAACAAATATTGACCCCACTTTTTGTTTAAATTTGAAAATCCATCCTTCTACATAACTTCTACAAAATTTATCTATATGACATCTTCCATGTTCTGTCACTAGATTAGACATATGTTCACTTTAATTTCATATATGCTGACAACTTCATATTTTTTGTAAAGTAGTCTTTCTAAAAAAACTGTACACTTTCTTTAGGGGAAATTTTAAAAAAAAATTTTAAAATATAAGTTTAATTTGGTGAACTGAATATGTTGAATATGAACATCACGTCTATATTTGAGTCTCATAAATATATATTATAAAAAGTCCTTTATAACTGTTTCAATTTTTCAATTGTTTCTGTAGCTACTTGCTATTTGAATTCATTCAATAGCTACTTCTGTAGCTATTGAGTGAATTCAAATATTGTTCTTTGTATTATAAAATAGATATATGTTTAACGACAATTTCATATAATTATTATTATTATTTACTAATTTAATGATAACCTGTATTAGAAAGAATTGTAGTTTATTTTTAGTGAATTTTTTGTGTTCAATTCTAAATTTTTTAAGATATCCATTCTCTTTAAAAGTTTGCCTTGTTGCAGTATATAAAATTATGTTTTAAATGTTTGGGTGGGTTTGCCCTTCTTTAGGTTCCTTGACCTTGAAGTACATTGATGATCTTTCCTTATTGTTTCTGAATCATTAAATCATAATACTAATTTATTTCAATTCAAAGAGTATGGAAAGTCATTTTCCTTTGATGCAATATACCTGGTTATGGACAATCAATTATATTCTTAGATTATTTTATTTATTTTTGTATTTATTTATATATTTTTGCATTTTATTTATTTTATTTATTATTTACCTTATTGCACTAGTTTCTCTCATGAGTTAAATATGTGTGTTTTTTTACAGGTTGTGCTTGCATCAATTTAAGTACATGGGGAAGAAAAACATAAAGTAAGGAATGCATCTTAAATGAAATGAATAACTGTTTCCATTTGTATCATATTTTCTTATTCTTTAATTGATCTATTTTTAGAAGTCAACATCCTTCCATGGTTCAACCAAAGTCCATGACTTTACCTGCCAGAACACCCCCTCCATCGTTTGCTCAACGATGCAACAGCACATACAGTGAAGCTGGTACTCATACATCTTGTGAGTTTTTATAAAAAAATCTACAAACTTTTTTCTTCTTCGCTTTAAAAACCATATTAAACTCCTCTTTTATTTTTCAAATAGCTAGATTAGATTTTTGTTCGTTACTTGAAATAGTTTGAAAATCTTACTCAAAGTTACTGCATTTTATTTTTTAGCACATCTTTCATCATCTGATGCGGACACATTTTATAGAGCACTTTTAGAGGCTAACATGGCCACAGAGGTTGGATTGATTGCACTCGATGTTTTGGGACTTTATTCATTGCATTTGAAGGAACAGCTCCTTTATAAAGATGGGGACAATCCATTGATGAAAAAGATTTTTGATATCTATTTATCTTTTCTGCAAGTTGGCCAATCTGAAAAAATGTTTAAGCATTTATTCGCAGCATTGCGAGCTTTTATTAATAAAGTAAGTTATTACACTTACGTATTGAAATATTTGAGTTATTCTAATTCTAACAATCAATTGATGAATTAAATAAAATGCCACATAAAATTTTGTTTTATGTATATTTTAAAAAAATTACTGTAGAGTGTCGACTATCCGAACGCCGATTTATCGGATCGTCCAACTATTCGCATCGTTCAAGGGTCATGTGTTTTTCCTGACTTCTTCAAAAACAAAAGCAAATTGTGGAAATGCTTTTTTATTTTAAAAATATCTGAAAGGGGTTGCGAAATGACTTTTGTCCTTGGTGAACTTGAAAAGAATTTCACATTCTCTCTGTCCAGTTTCAATGTGTGCAAGTAGTTTATAATAAAGGTATAGGTTTCTAATAAAATTGTAAAAAATTGAAACGCCATTCGTAATATGACTATTATAGGCTCTCTTGCAATTGCCAATCCTGAGCCTGAATAAAGTGTGAAGTTAAGTTACTTAAAAACACTCCCATAGCTGTTTTTTTAAGATTGTTAATCACTTCACAAATTAAATTATAATAAGTCTCACAACAAATCAAAGCTTTATTTCATCTCATTGATGCTGTGAACAATTTAAATTAAATAAATAAATATTTATTGAATAAAAATTATTAAAAAACAAGAGCTTTAAAACTTGGTAGAGGATAACATTGCACACAAATACTACCAGGCAATTCTTTTCTTGGCTACGTATATTCAAATTCATTTATTTCAATTGATGCAAATCTGTCTTAGTATCCATTTTGAATTGGAAATACCTTCCTGTAATGGATTATCCATGACAATTTTAATTAATTCCGCTCTTGGAAGCAAATTAAAGAAAAGCTCTAAAAATTTTGCCTGCTTTTCCATTGTATCCCTTTGCGATGCACTAATCTAATTTATTGCTTATGTTATCTTCTAAAAATAAGTTTCAGTTGATTTTTATGACTCACTTGAGAAAAAAAGAATGCTATGAAAATGTGTCATAGTAAACTTGAACATTTAAATGGAGTCTTATAAAGGCAATATCAATAATGGCACCTGAATTAAAAAACAAGCAAAAAGGAGCTCTCAGCTTTATAAATATTCTATAAATCAAAATCAATTCTAAGGATAAACATTAATAAATTCTATTTAAAATGTCAATAAGAAAATTTTTTGTCCTTAAAAGAAAAAGTTAAAATCTTAAAATTCTTAGATAAAGATGAAAATATAGTTGTAATATGTTAAACAATGAAATTCATTAAGTTGATTTTTATGTTTAATTTCTTTTTCTTCGTACTAACTATGATTTTGAATTTAGAGAGGGACTGAATCTAACGAACATTTTTCTGTACTGTATTCATGACATAAATGTAATTATTTATCAATATTTGCTTATAATTATTCTTTCTTAATTTCTTTTTATTAGTTTACTCTTGCCTTATTCCAAGGAAATGCCATCCTATGTGGGAAGCTCTGTTTTGAAGTAAGTATTATGCCATTGAAACTTAACAAATACAGTTTTGATGCGTTTATGAAAATTATGAACTACATATGCTTAATAAAAACTAATAATTAAAGCCATTTTTAAGTTGTAATTAACATGCTGCAACTGTATCAAATAATTCTGTTGATTTAATTTCAAAATGTTTTTATTGTTAGCTTCTGAGATGCTGTAATTCAAAATTACAAACAGTGAGAAATGAAGCTTGTGCTTTGCTGTATCTTTTGATGAGAAGTAACTTTGAGTTTTCTGGGAGAAAAGAATTAACCAGAGTTCACCTACAGGTAAATGTTTTTACTTGAATTTGATTTTCAATTTTTCAAATTTAATTTGCCTTTAATTTTTGATTTTTAACATTTTTCAATTCAATTTGCATTTGATTTTTAACTTTTTTAAAAAAAATTTGCATTTGATTTTCGCTTTTTAATTTTTAAAAATTTTTTTATTTATATTTGATTTAAGTGAAAGAAAAAATTGTCCTTCTAATTAGCTTACAATATTTCAGCTTATTGTTTCTGTGTCTCGACTTTTGGGAGATGTTGTTGGCTTGAACAATGCTAGATTGCAGGAAAGCTTATCTGTTATAAACAATTATGCTAACAGTGACAAGGCTATGCAAAGTACAGGTAATTGATATATTTATACGTGAATGTGTGCCAACGTGAATGTTCATTTACTGTGACCTTGATAATGTGTGAATGAATATGTTGGTTTGGTTTAATATATGCCTGGTTTATGCTTAGTAAGGCAATTAAATTATTGCCTGATTAAAATTTTATTTATATTTTGAATGAAATTTTATTTTCAGTTTAATTTTGTTTATAATTTGGAAAATATACTTGCTCTTATAAAAATTAAGTTACATGAAAAATATCAAATATTAATTTTATGTAAATTGTAAAAAATATTTTTTAATTAACTATTGCAAATGGGGAGACCTCCCCAATTGATCGTGCTCTGATGGTTTATAAGACAGGGAGAGCCCATCAACCGTCAAAGTGTTAGAATCATAACCTCATCCTAAATCCTTTTTCTTATTAAATATTCAATTTGAAAAATATTTCTTTTTTTTTCTCCCAAAATATTGCTCAATTTAAATTAGTATCAACAGTTTAATATTTGTTTTTACATGATCGAGATAGACTTTTTATTTAATTAAGAATGAGTTCACTGTTTAGAAGTTATAATTTTATAACAAAACATAACTTAAAATTGTATTGATTATAAATTTAATTTAAGCAGTAACATTATAACTATTATTATAACATAATATTTTAACATAATTTTAAAGAATAATTCAAATTTATTATTGGAAAATAAAGAATAGTTCAAATTTATTATTTATTATAAGAATAAATCAAATTTATATAATTTCATATTAATTGGTAATGTTTTGCTCTGATATCTTGAAACCATTAAAAATTAATTTATATTTTGGTGAATTTACTTAATTTAAGATCATTACTAAACAGAATGTGTAAGTTATATTAGGGTTGTTTTTTAAGTAAGGACCATTTGAAAATAAAAACCAAGTGAAAGAAAATTTTCTAGAAGCAAATTTATTTTCAGATTTTACATATGTTTGCAATATCAACTCTACACAGCGGCAATAAATTATTAATTTATAAATTGATAAAAGAAAAAATCATTTTAGTGTTTTTTTTATACTTTTCTATTTAATTTTATATTTCATGCAAAAAACAGATTTTTTTTTTCATTTTAGTTTTCCCCTCTGAAGTAAAAGACTTAACAAAAAGAATTAGAACAGTTTTGATGGCCACAATGCAGATGAAAGAGCATGAAAATGATCCAGAAATGCTTGTTGATTTGCAGCATCAATTAGCAAATAGTTATGCTTCCACTCCTGCATTACGAAAAACGTGGCTTGAAAGTATGTCTCGTAACCATCTGAAAAATGGAGATAATTCAGAGGTTTGACAAGTTTATTTCATTATAAATCTTAGTAACTTGTTTCATAAATTATTTATGAATGATCAATTTGCTTTTCTCTTGCATTTTACCATTTTTTTAAAAAAATTTAATTTATTATTTTACAATTCAAATTTAATAAGGTTGGATTATAGTTTATGTACTATTAAAATAGTATACTTACTTATATATGTATACTTATATATAGTATACTTACTTACACTAATATATGTACATTTCTCACTTAAAATAAAGTCCTTTTTTTTAAAAAAGAAAAATTGTATTTATCAATATTTTTTTATGACATCCAGTACATTATTTAAATAATATTTCTGGTATTTAGGACCAAATCCATAGCAAATTTCAGTTGATCTTTACAACAAACCTGTATGACAGTTTAGTCTGTCTTAATGTTGCAAAAAGTGTGGTCTACCATCTACTCCACATTATTTACTTTTTTATCCAACACGCATCGCTTTAAAATAAATCGAACATGAATCTATACTTAAATAATTATATTACTAATTATTATTTATTTACAATCAATGATTTGAGCCACTTACAGAAAATCAAACAAAAAAGGTTTTAAAAATAGTAGCTCCACGCTCCAAAGTTACTGATAATGTTGCTGATAACATACCTGGTGACAGTTGTACTCTGTTATATTGTGGTGCATTTTCCTTTTTAAAGATGAAGATTCTGGCCACTTAGCTTGTCTCTCCCTTATGTGTTAATACAGTACGGAACCCGTTATCCGGAAATCAGAAAACCGGAAAACCAAAAAACCGGAACGAATTTCGTTACATTTTCCTGCCATTTTTTTAAAAAAAAAATTTTTTTCCCTCATAAGATTTTAGGATTTTTTGTTCTTTTTTGAAAGATGTTTACCTTACCATCATTCTGAGAATAATCATTAGTGTATTACTTTATTGTTTTTTCTTTTTTTTAAGATTATTTCCAAATATTATTTTCTTTTGTTCGGTTTAACAATAAAAAAAACGGCTTTTTGTAGCGATTCAGAAAACCGGAAAAATCAGTTATCCGGAATAGCGATGGTCCCGATTGTTCCGGATAATCGGTTCCCTAGTGTATTGACATTTATAAGCTTGTTGTGCTCTGAATTATATTTTTCTTATTGGTTAACAATGTTTTAAAGAATTTTTATTAATATTTTTAACAGGCTGCCCACTGTTACTTACATATAGCCGCAATGGAAGCTGAATATTTAAAACAAAGATGTAAGTAAATAAAGATGCATTTTATTTTTTATGTAATTCTTTCTTTTTTCCTCAAATATTTTTACAAGAAATGTGTATATTTTTAGGCATGTTTCCTGAAGGATGTAACGGGTTCAAAAATATATCTCCGAATATTGAGCAAGATGAATCAAATTTAAAAGAAGACGCTGGGACTCATGATGTACAATATTCACAGGTATTTTGATTTATTTTTAGACATTCTTTTTACTGGCCAACCTTAGATAGAGTTGATAGCATAATCAACTTATACAGCTTTAGCTAATGCTAGGTTTAGGTTGACTGCATGATCAGATTTCATTTTCTCCAATTATGTCTCAGTTGTTTGAAATTCTCTCTTTTCTGAAAAATTATATTTTTTTGTAGTTAGCGACAAATTCTACTAGTTTTTAAAGGTAGTGATTACAAATTATTTTTTAAATGTAATCATGACTTAACTGCTTTTGGGAGGCAAATTTTTCCTGAAAATGCTGAAAATTAAAAAAAAATCATGCTTAAAATTTTAAAAAATATTACTCTCAAAAAATAGTTTAGGAAAAGAATTGATTTATTCAATAATAGAAAATTGTTTGGGCATACCTCAATCTTGTTTATATTAGTCAATTTATCATTTTAGACCATTTTTGTTACATTTTTTCTTTAAACATTCAAATTTTTATGTCTTATTCAGGAAAGGCTAGAAAATTATAAAATATTTTTGATTTTGTTAAATGTATGGCTGTGGGAGGTTTTCGTGGTTTTTCTCACCATGTAACTCAAATGCGAGTTAATTCTATCAAAAAGTCCTCCACAAAGGCTAATTTCTCCCAATAGTTGATGCAGGAGTTCCCTTGTCTTCTGGATTGGGTTAAAATTAAAAGGTTGCGGAGTTGAACATAGGCAGACTCAAAATTGGGTCGACTGCTCAACGACGGTTATAGATATATAAAAAAAACTAGTCATAATTGCAGTTTTCACTATACTACCTTTTTAAAATGTCACTCGCTAATTCCGACAGTTGTCTCTAATATAATATCCGCAGTGGTTTCAGAGCTGGATAGGACCACACATGGTTAGGCATTTCGGAAACAATATAAGGGGATCAGGTGATAACAACCACCTTTTTTACTCAAATCTAAATTGTGATAGGATAGTGTGTACATGTTTCAGCATTATCTTCCCACTATTATTAATTCAGACTGTAGCCAACAATCCATTTGCGTAATCATATGTTAACAGTGAAAAGAAATCATTGATGTCTTGAGATACTTTATGGTAAATATTTCAAATGAATTTTTTCAAGTGTTTTTCTAGTTAATATTTTTCATTAGGAAACCTACAGAGTATCGTTTAAATGTTTTGAACCATTTTTTTTTCTCTGAACGATATTAAACAACAAAATATTTTTCATATTTTTTNTATTTTTAGGCATGTTTCCTGAAGGATGTAACGGGTTCAAAAATATATCTCCGAATATTGAGCAAGATGAATCAAATTTAAAAGAAGACGCTGGGACTCATGATGTACAATATTCACAGGTATTTTGATTTATTTTTAGACATTCTTTTTACTGGCCAACCTTAGATAGAGTTGATAGCATAATCAACTTATACAGCTTTAGCTAATGCTAGGTTTAGGTTGACTGCATGATCAGATTTCATTTTCTCCAATTATGTCTCAGTTGTTTGAAATTCTCTCTTTTCTGAAAAATTATATTTTTTTGTAGTTAGCGACAAATTCTACTAGTTTTTAAAGGTAGTGATTACAAATTATTTTTTAAATGTAATCATGACTTAACTGCTTTTCGGAGGCAAATTTTTCATGAAAATGCTGAAAATTAAAAAAAATCATGCTTAAAATTTAAAAAAAATATTACTCTCAACATACTCTCAACATACATAAAAACATACTCTCAAAAAATAGTTTAGGAAAATAATTGATTTATTCAATAATGGAAAATTGTTTGGACATACCTCAATCTTGTTTATATTAGTCAATTTATCATTGTAGACCATTTTTGTGACATTTTTTCTTTCAACATTCAAATTTTTGTCTTATTCAGGAAGGGCTAGAAAATTATCAAATATTTTTGATTTTGTTAAATGTCTTCCCATGAGAGGTTTTTGTGGTTTTCCTCACCGTGTAACTCAAATGCGGGTTAATTATATCAAAAAGTTCTCCACTAAGGCTAATTTCTCTAAATACTTGATGCAGGAGTCCCCTTGCGTTCTGGATTGGGTTAAAAGTAAAAGGTTACGGAGTTGAACATGGGTCGACTGTTCAACGACGATTATAGATGTATATAAAAAAAACTAGTTAATTGCAATTTTCACTCTACTACCTTTTTAAAATGTCACTCACTAATTCCGACAGTTGTCTCTAATATAATACCTGCAGTGGTTTCAGAGCTGGATAGGACCGCACATGTTTAGGCATTTCGGAAACAATGTAAGGGCAGGTAATTACAACCACCTTTTTTACCCAAATCTAAATTGTGGTTGGATAGTGTGTACATGTTTCAGCATTGTCTTCCCACTTCTATGGATTATTTCAGATTATTGTAGCCGATAATCCATTTGTGTAGTGTGTTATTAACAGTCAAATGAAATCATTGATGTCTGGGATATTTTGTGGTAAATATTTAAAATGAATTTCTTCAAGTGCTTTACTAGTTAATATTTTTCATTGGAAAAACTGAGTATCATTTACATTTTTTGAACCAGTTTTTTTTTCTATGAGGAATATTGAACAGAAAAATATTTTTAATATTTTTTTCTGGGATCGATGCAGAACACTACATTATAACATTTATAAAACTATTTTATAATTTTTTTTTAGTATATTTGATAATTGATATTTTCTTAAAAAATTAATACAGTTAATTATATTTAATATTTTAATTCTGGGCTTCATTTTTTTGTTTTCTACTCTCATTATTTTTTATTTGTATTTTCATTGATGTCTGAGATATTTTCTGGTAAATTTTTAAAATTAGTGTTTCAAAGTGTTTTTCTTATTAATAATTTTCCTAAAGTTGAATTTTTTTAAAAATATATTTATAGCTTTATATTGAAAAACTTTCTTTTATGAAGGGTATTGAGCAGCAAATTATTTTAACTATTTTTTTCTAGGATCGTTGGAGAACATTTATAGGGCTATTTTATATATATATATTTTGGTATATTTGTTAATTGATATTTTCTTAAAAAATTAATAAAATTAATTATGTTTAATGTTTTAATTCCGGGTTTTATTATGTTTTTGTTTTTCTACTCTCATTATTTTTTATTTTACTTAGTTTTTGTTACTAATACAATTTTAATTGATAAGGAATCCCTATTGAAAAGCTTGGAGATCTGTGTTAAAATGCTGGAGCAAGCAGAAAGGTATGAAATTATGCCTGAAGTGTATAAACTAATTGTGCCCATTTATGAAGAACAAAGAAATTATGAGGTATTTGCTTTTTTGAAATTTAATATGGATCTTTATTTGTATTGTTAGAAATAGTTTTTAATTGTTTATGTTTTTATAGGCTCTTTTATCCTGTTATAAAACACTTCACAATGCATATTCAAAAATAGTTGAAGTTAATAGGACTGGACGTAGGCTTTTGGGAAAATATTACAGAGTTGCTTTCTTTGGGCCTGTGAGTATAAGATTTTTTTTTTTTTAATTTCAGTTTAAAAAAGGAATTTTTTAAAAATCTCAATTATATTTTTATAATCAAAAAATTACTTATAAATAGCTACTCTGAATAATGTTATTTCACTCTTATAAATAATTCCATCATTAATATTCCAGTTGCAGGAAAATTAATAAGCTCAATCTAGTTTACTCTTATTGTCGTAGTAAACACAAATTTTCATATTCATTATTCTAATATGCTGATCATATTGTAAATTAATTTCATTACAAGCTAGTTGTAGTTATGTTGGTCCAAAGAATTTTACTTTCTTTTAACATCATATACAACTTAGTATTTTCCCTTAGTACAACTGAAATACTTACTTAGACTGTTAGAGCCATTTAGCACGTAAAGCACCCAGCCTTTTTCTCCATGCTCCATGGTCTTTGGCTTGTAATCTGACTTCTTTTAAGTTTTGTGCTTTTAAAATCTGCCTTTGTCCCCTTTTTTTCTCCATCAGGGGCTCAAGAAAGAAAGACATGCATTAATTTTTATCATGGCATTCTCAATAAATGTCCTGTCCATTTCCACCTTCTCTTATTTCATCTTCTATTGTAGTTTGGTTTGCTTTTTCTAATATTGTTTTGTTTCTAATTTTAACAGACCATACCTAACAATTGTTAAAATTTTTCTGAGATTCAAGTTTTTGGATGTCTGTTTTTCTAAGGCACCATGTTTCAGAGCCATCCAACAAAATTGCTCTGATAGTTTAGTTTTAATGATATTTATTTTAGCTCTATATTGAATTTTTGTTGACTTCCAGAATTTTTTGCTTGGAAAACTTTGTTTTTTATATTTGTTTCTCCTTCACTGTTAAGGAATAAATACAACTTATTACAACAATTAAATACTAATTCAGCTTAAATATTTAAGCTTAGCCTTTGTTATAAATATTTTTTGTTCTGTTCAACTAAATTTTTTATCTATTTATTTATCATTATTATTTTTGCAGTCGTACTTTGTAGAGGACTCAGGTAAAGAGTATATTTACAAAGAGCCGAAAGTAACATCTTTATCTGAAATTTCTGAACGACTCTACCACCTATTCTGTGAAAAATTCGGAAAAGATACTGTTCGTATGATTATGGACTCAAATAAGGTAAATTTTATGAAAAATATTTTAACAGCTACTTATTTCTGCCCAATTGACAGTACAATTACTTATAACTTGGTTTATCTTCTTTTTTTATACACTGTTGTTGCTAACCTCACTTTTGTCTTTTATTTCTTATATTCTAAGTAGTTAAAAACTGCTACATTTTGATATGCATTTAAATGTTTTACATTTCTTGTAATAATCGACTGAAATTGTAAATTTAGGACAAAATGGTAAAAGAAAAAAAAATTTACTAAACCAACATATTCCTTATATCATTTAATAGTCTGTTTATTTGATAAGGTTGGCTAAAACTGGTAAAAACTGTATCTAAACAATTATTAACTTAATGAAATAGAAGTGATTATTTCTAATTTTTATATCTAGGTTAATTATACTGAGTTAGAATCAAAATTTGAATTTTTTCATGATGAAATAGGAATGATTATTTCTAATTTTTATTTTCATTTCTAGGTCAATCCCACTGACTTAGAATCAAAATATGCCTACATTCAAGTTACCCATGTAATTCCTTATTTTGATGAGGAAGAATTAAGGTTAAGGCCCACAGAATTTGAGAGAAATAACAATTTAAGAAGATTTATGTTTGAAACACCTTTCACTGTGGACAGTAATAAAGTTCGAGGATTGCCCGAAGAGCAATGCAAAAGAAGAACTATTCTTACTAGTATGTTGATTCTCACTATTATGAACTTTAATTTATTTTTAATTAATATACTTTGCAACATTAAGTATTGAATACTAAACTTGTTAATTAGTCTGTTAATACTCACTATAATTATTTTAATATATGCTTATTTTTCAGTTAACATATTTTGCAGTGAATAAGTTTTATTTAAATTTTATTTTGTATCAAAGCCGACCAGGTGGCCGAGTGGTTGGCGTGCCTGACCGCAGAGCAGATGGTTGTGGGTTCGAATCCCGCTCAGGGCATGGATGATTCTTTCTCTCTGTGTTCTATGTCCTTTCTCCTTCGTGTGAATGTGTCCCGCCCTATAAGCGGGTTTGTGGTTGTGTGACGTGGGCGATGCTGCTCCACCGCAGTGGCTTCGCCACAGGTGCCCACTGGGTAACGAGAAGAGAGTAGCAGTTCTGGCACTCCTGGCCAATGGGAAAATACATCCCATTTGCCCGCCATTAAAAAAAAACAATTTATCAAATATAATTAAAAACTATATACTCAATGGGTTACTAAGATATTTTATACTTAAAAAATTTTAAAAGTAAAATATTTCTTTAAAACATTATGAATAAAACCGGCTTTTAAAACTTTAAGAACAGAGATTTTTTGAGAAATTTTAAAAATAAAACTGTCCTTTCGAACATTGTAAACATAGTATATGAATAAAGTAAAACAATGGAAATCAAGCAATAGACAGGACACTAGGGGTGGAACCCCTGTTCATGAAATTGACATCTTTGCCCTCTCAGCTTAAGTATATATTCAGCTAAAAGGAGCTAATTCGGCTTCATATTACAGTGTTCACCAAAAATTTTTTGAATGTATAGTATCGTATTCACAATAAAATTATTGAATATATTGCACACATTTATGTATAAAGTATATTTAATGATTTGCTTCGATTGTTGCAACTGTAAATTGGTGTAACTATAGAATATGAATTATTTTCATTAAGTTAGTTTAAGATAGANGCATACATTCAAGTTACCCATGTAATTCCTTATTTTGATGAGGAAGAATTGAGGTTAAGGCCCACAGAATTTGAGAGAAATAACAATTTAAGAAGATTTATGTTTGAAACACCTTTCACTGTGGACAGTAATAAAGTTCGAGGATTGCCCGAAGAACAATGCAAAAGAAGAACTATTCTTACTAGTATGTTGATTCTCACTTTTAATTTATACGTATTTTTAAATTAACATACTTTGCAGCATTAAATACTGAATACTAAACATGTAAATGATACTCAGATTTTAATATGTACTTATTTTTCAGTTAATATAATTTGCCACAGTACTGCATACTAAATATGTGAATAAGTTTTATTTAAATTTTATTTAGTATCAAATATAATTAAAAACTATATAATCACTGGGTTACTAAGATATTTTATAGTAAAAAAATTTTAAAAGTAAAATATAGTAAAGTAAAGTTAAATAAAGTTAAAAAAAAAAAGTAAAGTAAACATAAAGAGATTGAACATAAAGTAAAAATAATAAATAAATTTAGAACAAGCATTTAAACATAAAAAAGCGTTTAAACACAAAAAAATTAAATTTCATAATTTTTATTATTCGTAACACGATGAAAAATTTAATAATAGTAGAGAATAATGGAATAAAGTAGTTAATATTCTATGAAAATTATTATAAAAAATAATTTACTGGCACTATTGTGCCGGTGCCTGCATCATATGATATTTGGCCTTTTTTTCTTCTTTTTTTTATTTTATTGTTTCATATTTTCGTACATTTAGAATGCTCTTGCAATAGTTGTTGATCAGAAAAATCTATTTTTATCTTATCGCGAAACATTAATTTAGATTGAAAGCTACTTAATATAAAATATTGTATAGTTAAGTATAATTTTATAAACTAGTATAGTTTTTCAAACTAAAAGCATTTTATTGTTTTAAAAATATTCCATTTAATTTTTCAAGACATTCCATTTAATTTTTCAATAGTATAAATATTTTATCAAGGAAGTTAAATCAACATGTAGATGTTAATTGAGTACAGTTTATAATATCAGAGTAATTCTTTATAATATCAGAGTAATTCTTTTGATTTTGATTAATATGACAGTTAAAAGTTATATATAAAAGCTCCCATGAATAATTAAGTTTTAAATTTTTGTGTTAATGTGATAAAAAATTAAAAAATTTTAATAAATAATGTAAATTTTATTATTTACAATTTTTATAATAAAACATGCATTGAAATATATTTCCTACACATATATGTGGTGATTCACATTGTTTATAATAATGATAAAATGGAAAATTTCAGTTCTAAATGTATTGTTTAACTTTTTGAGAAGCTTTTTGTTAATCCTTAATCTTATGCATGCTTTGATTTTCACAAGAAAAAAATTTCTCACATTTCTAAGTTTGATTTCTATGCATTTTTATTAATATTATATATAACTTTATTTTTGCTAGCCTTGTACTCCTTTCCCTATGTGAAAAAGCGAATTCCTGTGTTTTCAAAAAGTGTCCAGGTACTAAGTCCAATTGAAGTTGCTATTGACGAAATGCAATCTCGCATTTGTGAGTTGGAAGAAGTGGTTCGATTACAACCCACAGATTTGAAAAAACTTCAGCTGAAATTGCAAGGAAGCATCAGTGTGCAGGTACTTTTTCGACATCAATTACTATTAATGAAACATGTTTGCATTTTGCAAAAGGTAATCCTTAATTTCTTAAAATTGCATTTCTTAAGGAGATGACCTGCTCTTGGACTCAGTTTGATATTTTATCAGTGTTTCTTTTTTTACCTCCTAGAAATGTAATAATTAAGAGATATATATTTCCAAATCTAGAGAACAAAATACACTGAACTCTATTTACTTCTAACATGAATAATTTTAAATATTAGTTAATTCAGACTATCATTAATTCCAAGAAAATTCCTGTTATTCTAAATGTGAAAATGTTGCCTTAATTTTTTTTATTTATTTATTAACTTTTTTTTGAAATTAAAAAATTTTTCTGACTTTGACATTTTTAGTGGGCTAAATAAAATACGATGGATTTTTTTTTTATCTTGAGCATAAGTATTTCAAAATATTAATTAATTTAGACTATTTTTATACTTCTAGAACTTCTTATAGTCTCTATGTTTAAATTTTACATCAAATTAAATTTTTTTTCTTCAATAATTTTAAGTCTAGTGGTTGTAAAACAAGTAAAAACAAGTTAATTTTTAGAGGAATAATTTGATGGAATAGTCAAATTAAACAAAGATAAATAACTCTAATGGAGCAGTATTTTTAATAAAAGGGTCTAAATGATATTCACTTTCAACCTACCATTTTTGTTCCAGGAATATTTCTTTCTTTTCCCCAGACTTGGATAAAATGAAAATTTTTTTCATGAACACAAAATCTCAATTAAAAGACTTTCTGCATCAATTTATTGACTCTTGCAACTAGTTTCAACAATTTTCACTGCTACCTAGTTTTGACGAAATTTGTTGGAAAAGTCACAAATCTATTTTATAGGTGTTTTAATTTTTATGGAACTCCATATTGATTTTTATACATACCAGCACATTTTTCTTTAAATATTACAGTTTTTTAAAAGATATACTAATTATTGGCTGATCAAATTTCTGTTATTGTATCCAATGTTTCTGAACTTGTTTGCATGCTAAAATATAGAAATTTGTCCATTCATTATAAATATATTGAATATTTTTTATTATATGATGTATATTTATGAGCCTATTCTGCAGTTTGGTATATCGTAATAATCAGAAACTACATTGTATAATGATGATTAATATTAAAAAAGTTTCTGCGATGGTTATAAATTTTGCGCGAATAGTGTTTAAGCATTTGTGTATATTTCACTTATCTGCCATGCCCTATTCCCATATCCCCTAAAATTTTTCTCTCAAATCATTTCAATCCATGTGCAACAATCCTTTTCAGTCAGGCATTTTTGCACATCAATACTTGTTCTCAAAATAATCAGAAATATTAGCAATAATAATCAATATCAAGAATCACAAATGAATTCATTTTTCATAGGTTAATTTTTTCCTACATGCAGAAAACTGAGCAGTTTATGTTGAAAAGGGATTTAAAGTTTTCTTAATAATCATAATATTTGCTTTACATAAGAAGTAATACCCCAAAAATATAATAAGTGCTCATTTTTATAATTCCCCCTGACTTGAATGAATGCTGTAGATATTAATTTATGCTTTTTGTGTTCCTAAATCAAATGTATATGCATTTATGTAAATGTAATATGCATTACTTGCTGCTGTATTCGTGATTCAAACTAAGCAAGCTATATTCAAATAATTTGATATCGCTCAGTTGTAGTTAAAGGTGTAAAATGTATTTATAATAATATTTATTGTTTTTATTATATTTGTATTTTTTAATTTAGGTTAATGCAGGTCCTCTAGCTTATGCAAATGCCTTTTTGGAAGGTAAAAAGCCTGAAAAATATCCTACTGATAAAATAATGTCCCTGAAAGAAGTGTATAGGTAATAATTAAGATCTTTTTTAATTTTTTTTAATTATAAATTATTTATGTGTACATCCATTAATTCTTTATAGTTATACCTATTTCATTAAGGTCCCTCAAATTTCTTCTGTGTTTCATTGCAAAATGATTTTAATCGTGGAAAATTTATCGTAAAAACTGCTAGAACTATTTACACTTCAATGAGTGCATTAATGATTTCTTTTTCTTTTAACATTATAATATATATGCTAATTTAAACTTAGCACTGCTGAAATGTTTAGATTTGTTTTCAGAATAAATATTTATATGATTTTATTTATTTTTTGGCGCTCTGCTTAAATTTTCAAAAACAGTTCTGTTTATTAGTGATTTGTATTTAAATTATACATATTTTAATATATTGACAGACAATTGAGCTAATGGGTTTTGAGATAAATTAAAAGCGATAAATTAAAAAATATAATTAAAAGCATTTTCTACACTTTTGATTCAGTTTAGTTCATAGCTTTGAGTATTAAAACTAGTGTGCTATGAAATTCTTCAAATTGTAGAAAATGTTTTCTAATTATAAAGTATGCTTATTTGTTCATCAATTATTCTTAGTTAATCATAGTTCTTCCTCTTGCATAGTTTTTCTGGCTGATGTAACTTATGCTTTCATTCATATGAGTTAACAATATTTATAGTTTCAGGAAACTATATATATAAATTAATAACTGACGAAATTGGTTTTGTAAAGCTATCTGTTTGAAAGTAAATTTAATTATTGATTCATATTTATTCTTGTAAAATACATTTGAATTGTAATGTAAATTATAAATTTGTATTTTTTGAGATTGCCTGGTTAAAGTAGGTGCATGTTTTTCTTTTAAAAATAGTTTTTTTTTTCTAGCTTGATTTATTTCATATTAGAATACTTTATGGCAACCACTCTATTCTGACATTTTTGCACCAAAATGTTTTTCAGTATTGTTTCCAGTTAGTTACTCTGAAACTTTCAGAATTTTTTCTGGATAATGCTACAATACATCAAATTTACTTCCTTCCTACATGAATATTGTGTTGTTTTTCACTAAATATTCTCTTCTGAACAATCTAAATTATTTTATTTTAAGCTCTTTATTTGTTAAAACACGTATTTGAAACAAATTTAATCGTACTATGTATTTGATTTCAGGAAATTTATAAAAATATCTAAAGAAGCATTAGAACTGAATGGAAGGTTAATTTGCTCAGATCAATATGAATATCAAATTTCTTTAAAGAAAAATTTTGAGGAGTTTGTGGATTCATTGTCTGGAATGCTACATGAAAAAGTGAGTTTATATTTCTTTTAACTAGTATGTAATAATTAAGTGGAGTTTTTTATAAATTTGTTTTATCACTGACGTTTAAAGGATGGTTCATATAGTAAATGTGCTCCTGTGATTACATTGTATTGAATCCTTTGGTTTCAGAGCCAGCTCAATTTTCTTTAATAAATTTACTGACGAGTTAAAAAAAATAATAAATAAAATGTGTAAGTTTTGAAATATGGATAAATCGTTTTTAAAAAATATATTTATACCGGATAATTTCGAGATTGTTCATTTAACAATGAATATTTAATTTTTAAGACGAAAAAGCTGATTTCATTATGATTTCAAGAGGTCAAAATCTAACAGCATTTACCTAATCTTAGTGCATTCTATCTTGTTGTGTTTGGTAAAGCTTCAAAAAGTACTAAATATTTCAACCACTTATGTAAACAAAAATTTTTAGTATTTATATTTATTTAATTCTTTTGAAAAGTCTAGGTTCAATATAAGGTTTTGAAAGAAGCAATTTTTGAACTGAATTACATAAACGGCGAAAAAAGATAGGAATAGGGATGTCTAAATACTGAAAAAATTTAATTAAAAAAATCTGGTGAGGGGGGTCATACTAAACTATGTGTCCCCGTGTATATTATTTTCTATGTAAAAATTTAATGAATTGAAAACTTGTGCATTCACGTTATCATGTAAAACTAATTTCAATAAACACAAAACACTATCTATAACTAAAATAAATTCAGTGGCACGACAGCCCATAGAGGACCAAGGCCTTCTCAGTTTTCCTGACCTTGGGCTCTGGAGTGCAGGAGCAGATGTTCCGGTTTGGTGGTCAGTCAAACGCAGATCTCCCAGTGTTTAATCCCCAAGCATACTTGGTACTCATATTATCAACCCACTGAAGGGATGAAAGGCTGAGTAAATCTTGCCCGACTTGAGGATTGAACCCAGGACCTGTGACTCGAGAGCGTGAAGCACTACCATGAGTATTAGATGCTTTACTTATAAATAAAGTAGTTGAAAGATCTATGAATGAATATGCAATATTTTCTGTCATTCAAAACATTTTTGAAAGCTATAAATTTTTAACTTTATTATTTTAGTGGTGAGTGATATCTGTTATCTCAAATAACCAACAGTTTGAAAAATTAACTCAAAGAAAAATTTAAAAAGGCAGAAATGTATGGTTTGCTGCATTCTGCTTAAGAAACAAGTTTTTATTATCTCCAAGTTTCAAACATATTTAAACAAAGTTTTCTGTTGCATTTCAGACTGTCCCAACTGAAATATTTAAATAAATATCTGTTGATTTTGCCCTCAGAATGTTTCACATTATTGTTGCTGCTAATACTCTGTTAGCAGCACCATCTGTTGATGAACTTTGTAACTAAATTTGAAACTTAGATTATCATATATGTTTCCTGAGGCAGAATTCAGCAAACTCTACATTTATATCTCCTTTCATTTTCAAATTGTTAATCAGTTTTGGGAGAGTTTTAACTTGTTCAAGTAATACTCTTTAAATGATAATTCCTTTTTTACAGCTGTACTATCAAGAAAGAGATGTACTATCCTTAAAACGTACTTCTCTAGATGTCTTTAACTACATAAGTGGTTCTCCTAGTTCAAGCAATGCGTGATTACTTAGACTACAAGCCAAAAAAGAAAAAAAGTGCCTTTGTTTTGGTGAAGGCATGAGTGAAGGGCTATGTGTCATTGTAGATAGAAATCCATCTTTCTCTATGTTAATATCCTTCATTAATGCAATCTTTTAGTGCAATTTGTAAGATAATTCTGTCTTTAGTGTAATATATACATATTTATATTTTTATTCTACGGGTATAACACTATGATGCGCCACTTTTAACTGTAGATTTTTTTTCATATTTCATGATTTTTAAAAAGGTCATTTGTTTTTTACATTGTTATTTTTTATTTAACTTTATATCAGGGTATGTCTGAAGAAGGTTGAAATAGAAATATATCTAACTTTAACCTCATAATATATGTATGGGATAATTCATATTATTATTATTAGCACTCTAATGTATTATTATTGTATAAATACCAGATGCAGTACAAAAAGTTTTTTTCTCCTACATTCTTAATTTCTTTCTTTCCATTATATTTCAAAAAATTCTCAACCTTTTTTTTATGAGAGTATTTTAGTCTTAATTTTTATTTTTTGCGTCTTTAGATTTCAAAACTTTGCTTTGATGTACAAATTATCATTATGACCTAGATTTTGAGGACTTAAAAAATGTTCTTAAAATATTTTTTAAAAAAATATCCTTACAATATAAAAATATGCCCCTAAAATAGAAATAAAAAAAATCACTTGTTAGCAGAAATTACATTCTAAAATACTATTTCCAATTTGAAATAAAAATTAAAATGGGATGACGAAACTAACATAATTAAAAAACAAGGTAACAAGAGATACTAAAGGTTTCAAAAGGGAACAGAAAAATATTAAAAACAATTTCATATAAAAAAATAATCAAATACTAAAAAATTCCAAAAATATAATCTATACTTTATAACACATAAAAAAGAGCCTTTAAAAGAGAGCTCCAAAAATCTTAGACAGTACGATACTTTTTCTCACATTGTTTTTAAAGCTTTTTTATCTCATCTATTAAAAGTTAGAAATGAACATTTTTAATGGTCAAATGTAAAATTACATTATTTATAATAAAATGTTAGCTTTCCAGGGAAATTTACTAACTAAATTATATTACCTTACAATGGAAAATATTATTTGTAAATAATCTTGAAAAAAAGATGAAATAAGACACTAATGATTATTTCCAAAATGATGGTAAGGTAAACATCTTTCAAAAAAGAAAGAAAAATCCTAAAATCTTACGAGGAAAAAAAAAATTTTTTTTTTTTAATGGTGGGAAAATTTACCGAATTTCGTTCCGGTTTTTTTGGTTTTCCGATTTCTTGATAATGGGTTCTGTACTGTAATTAATTTTTTAAAGACTAAGCATTAATGTAGACAAAAACTGCTTCTGTATTTAGACCTTGGATACATAACAACCGAAATTTTAATAAAGACAGAATATATAGATATATAAAGGAAGTAGCAACTTATTATTACTATAATTTTTTAGGGTAAATAAAATTGTGTTTAGTTAAATCACTGGTTTGAAATTTCAACCAGTAAAGGCATTTCAACCTTTTACAGATATACCTAATTCTGGTTTATTTTTATTTAGATTTTTAAATTGTAACAAGATATTTTTGAATAAAGACTGTTGGGGATAATATCTATGATTAGGGACTATAGTTTGTTTGAGTAAAAAGAAGTATGGCTTTTACTAATCATAATCTACCAACTACTCATAAAATTTAGAATTGATTTCTTTAAGTGCATTTGAAATAAAATTTTGAAAAGTAATCATTATTATGCATTAATTAAAATATTAAATTTAAATTCTCATTCAGAATCATAATTTTCATTTCAAGAAGCAAGCATTTAAAATTCACCCAACTGTCTTTATAATCTATCCAGTATTAAAGCATTTACTTAATGAGATTGTATATTTTATAGACTAATAGTTAAGTCTTTTATGTATTAAATTTAATTGTATATTTCATTGAGTTATAGTTTTAAAGTTTTATCTATGTCAAATTTAAAAGTTTTATTTTATTTTTATAATTAGCTTATCATTCATGCTTCAGCAACTTTACGACTGTATTTACTATTTAGAAGAAACTAGCATAGCATAAAAACTTTATAAACATTATTTTCATAACAAAAAAAAGCTGCATTTAAACATGCCTTTATCTGAATCATCATTTTACGTTGTTATATATTTTGATTAATACTCTAGGAAATCCTTATGATATATTTTCATTTAAACAATATAAATTACAAGAATGCAATCCATTTTCGATTGTCTTTTTTAAATATTTCATGCAATGTCGTATGAGGCATGGTCACAAAACTAACTTTGATTCATGAAAAAAATGTTAGAAAATTGCTTCCTAGTAAGTTTCTCCTATGAGCAAATAACAAAGTTTTTTTTTCTTAACCCCTTGTTTCACAGTGGTTTAAGAGCGCAACCACTTAATTTTGCCAAGCATTCTACAACCAAAAATGTAGTAGTTTTAATTTTATAAACAGCAAGGTTTCTTATCTACTGCTCTTAACTCTGAAAAATGTAAACATAAAGGGAATCGCTTCAATTTAGACATTTTTATTCAATGGCCCTTCTGGGCTAATATTTTGATCCAAATTTTTTCTGTGATGCGAAGAGTTACAATTATTTTTATAGCTTCGAAAATCATTAAAAAAAACTCGAGCCAATTAATAATATGTTTAAGTGAATTTCTTAACATTATAAATTAACTCTTTTGAATTGATTTTGAAACTAAATGACTCATAAACCTAAAGTAATTCTATGTAAGTTATAATAATTAATCTTAATCCTTTTTTAAATCTATTTCCTTTGTGTATAAGGTGTGTTTGAAAAGCTTAGTGAATCGGTGTCATGAAACAAGAGAATCAAACAATTGGCATTTAAAGTAATTACCAGTAACTAAAATACATATTTGGAATCAGTAATACAGGTTCATTCCTTTTAGCTCGAGCGCTGTTGCAACGTCAAGAAAAATCGTCCTTATTTTCTTCTCTAGTGTTTATAACCACACACAAAAAAAAAAACACTTTTTACTCAATATTTACCCATTATACACTCCCTATATTGATTCATGTTTCTGTTGTTGGTTTTTCTAATTTGACATTGTTATATTTCACAAACACTACTTTTCGCACTAACTGGGTAAAATTTGTAGCTAGGGTTTACAGCACCTGAGAACTAATGCAGTTTTTGCACCCCCTCAAATTATGATCTGAAGTAATTAGGAGAACAATACTTTGATTTGAATAACAGAAAAAAATCATAAGCATGGAAGGAACTATGCATACAATAAATATGCTTTAAAATTATTTTATAGTAAAATATAAGACTGAACTAACGTCAAAGAAGTAAAATTTAAACTTCATCAATTAAGCTTCCCCTATAAATGTAGATTTCTGTTTTAAATTATTTTAAGCAATTTTTTAAAAAAAATAATGTTATTTGATATCTAGCAAACCTGTGAACTAATTTATACGAAACACATGACTAAAAGTGATACCAAGCACGTGACATGTTGTAAACACATGACTTGTCATTCCTGAGTGTCATTTTTTTACAAAATAATTTTGTGAAAATCTTTAAGTAGTAATTCTGAGAGAAAATGTTAAAAAATGATTTTAATTTGCCACGCATTTATGACAAATATTAAATAAATATTATTGAACAATTCCTTCACTAAACATAGTGCAATGTATCATACGGGTACTGACATTGAAATAAATTTAGATGCATTTTATTTTGGAATTTATTTGTATTTATGTAACAAGAATTTTGCATCCCTCAAAGGCTATGTCTGAGAATAGGTGTCTCTTCTAGTTAAGCCACATGCACTTTACTTTCTCTTAACTGTTATGATTAGGATGCTAAGTGTACAAGCAACATTCTAACCAGTACAGTAAGTCAACTGTGGGACCATTCACTGAACATTTCAAACACACTTTGCATCAAAATTTGTTTCGAAAAATCGGGGTTTTAGAAGTATCACAATTTAGTTCAATTTGCAATATTTAGTTGAAAAACTTATATATTAATATTGTTTTATGTAGCAAAAATTATTTATATTTTTCTGACTACTTCATTTAATATATTAAATAAAAGATATGTTTGCACAACAAAAACTGCAACCAATTTTAAATGTTAATTCTTTGAAAACATGTTTTACTTTCATTATTGCAATTTTTAAAAACTATTTAAGAACGTTAAACATAGGTGTGTCTGACGGTTAGTTTCATTAAAAGTATGCTCAAATTTAAATGACATGACATGATTTTATTAAAATTATTAATAAAATCTGAAAAAAGTTAACTACTATCTTAAAATTGTTTTCTGTATCTTTCCAAGATTTGTGGAATTCTCATATTTAAAATTTTAAAAAATTTATGCTCGTGTCTTCATCTCTAATTAATTATAAAAATTTTTATTTAATGACAAAAAAATGGGTCAATAGTTTTGAACTCAGTTAGAAAAAAGTTAACTGCATTATAACTCTTATTATATAAGTCTTGCATAGTTTTGATATAATTCATTTATAATTGTAATCAATGATCTTCCATTTAGGGATAATATTTCTATGAATTTTTGAGAAAATTATAAATGCTTTTGCTTCAGAAGGTAATGCTTCGGGATTATTTTCTATTGTTCAGGAAATTTTTAACTAATGAATACTAATGTTAGACATTTCTAGTGAATTCCCATAGCAAACAGAATAATAATCATTTATTTTCCCTTTTTTTAAAAAAAGTTAGTTTCAGGATATAATGAAGAACAATTGTAAGCATAAAACAGCTCTCAAAAATTGGCTGCTTAAATTATTTCCATAAAGTAATTTTTCTTTACATTTGATGAAAAAATTTATATTTTATACTAATATCCTTAGGATTATTTGCCTCAAACAAAAAACGCTTTTCTACATAAATTTGATTAAGATATAGTTGTCTAAGCTAAGCCACAAAGTCTGAGGCCATCTGGTGTTATGGAAACAAGAATGGCACATTTTAGGGAGGGTAGCTACACTCTAGGATTAACGCAATAGACTGAAGAGAGAGATTCCCTTTCTCTCGCTGACCCGAGCCGAAACCACGCCAAAACAGCACCCCTACTTGAAATAGTTATACCTTGTTACCATAGTCACCGCCACAGGTTCAGACGAATGTCTGGGGGAGTTCTTATTTTAGACAAACTGTAGGTCCCCCTCAGCAGGTTTCTTTTTGGTAAATGTAGATTTCATTCACTGCTGCATTCATTCTGCTGCAATTAAACTTCTGCTAATGGCCAGGGCCCATCCAGAGCTGTCATCCCAGTGAGGAATTAAATCCTCTGACTTATTAAAATTTTTAAAGCTAGTTTAAGTGTAATTCATAACATTCACCTTTAAAATCAAAACAGGGTTTGTTTATGTAAATGAACTGATAAATGTGCAATTACTAGATATATTTGCTTATTAAAACATTTTATATAATAAAAAACTGAACATTTAGAATGAACTGCTTAGAGTTTTTCAATGCAAATTTAAATATAATTCATTATATTTATCATTTAAAATCAAAACATATTCTGTTATTATAAGACTGATGTTCAGTTAATAAATGCATTTGCTTAAAAAAGTTTATATGAATTGTATTAATAAAAAAGACTGATAAATGTGCAATTAATGCATACTTCCATGTAAAATAAGGTGCTAATTATTTTTTACTAACTTTTTATAGGCTGAATATGTATTTATCTTTTAGTGCTTTATAACATTAAGAATAACAGCATTATTATTTAAATGGGTGCTTTGAAAAAATATAATGACTCCTAAGGGTCATTATCTTTTTATCAATCATTGTCATTTTTTAGTTAATGAATTGTCATATGGCATGTATATTAGTGATAATACTACTAGTACTATAAATGACTGCCGCAATTTCTAACTTGGCTGCAAAGCTTTTGTTCTTATATAGCATGTGATATTTTGACATTTTAGTTGTAAATACATTTCTTACTCAGTGTTGAAAATTTATTAGTTGTGTATTTAAATGTTTAGCTTATTTATGTGAGCACCTGTTTATATGAATCTTTATAAATACATCGTATAGAATTTGTAAATAGGAAATATTTTATCAATTCTAACAATAAGAATATGTATTTTACACTGTACTTTTGTACCATAATGTTTATTTTTATCGCTCATTTTTGATTTAGCATTCTACCTAATGCTTTACTTTTCTTCTGTATATTATAAGTTATAAAATGTATTGGATCAGTGTTCTGTTGTTTTTAAACTTTTATTTTAAAAAAAATTTCTAGAATTAATAATAATTTAATCTTTCAGAATTAAACTAACCCCACATCAGCCTACCTTAATAGACCAAACAAAATTTTACTTTGCTACTTTTACAAGAGAAGAAATTTCCACTTTTTTTTTCTTTCTGCAAAATCTTAAAGGAACAGTCCATAAATGCTTGTAGAAAAGGCATGGGGTAGTAACAAGTGTGACATTCCACATTTTGATTAAAATACATTTCAAATCAGCTGATTAAATTTTTTTTTATATTTATGTTAAAATAAGTACACATCTAATAGTTATACTCATATTTGCCATTAAAAATAACATTTAAAAAAAAATCTATAACCTTTGTTTTGCAGTCATGTAATTATTGCTGGAGAAAGAAATTACCTGAAACTTTTTTCTCAACGTGTAATTTTTTTTTCTGTATGTATTTTTCTTTCTTTTTGTACGTAGAAGATACAACTCATTTCTATGCACAAAAGTAACATTTATAAAATTTAAAGAGAAAAAACAAAATATAATTTTTTTATCTTATACATTTTTTTCTCACCAACACATGAAAGAATATATACATTGAAAAAAAGATACATATTCCTCTTATATAATAAAATGTTTATCTTTCATTTTTCTCATAAACACTTAAAATATATATATTGAAAAAAAATACATATTCCTCTTTTCACACTTTGTGATTCATCATCGCATAAAAAAAATAAGAATTTTAAACACCATGAAACTTACGGCAATAACTGAAAAAAGATTAATGATAAAAACGTGTATTTACAACACAATTACACGAATTAGAAGCATAAAAGAAGGATTAATTAAATGGTTACGAGATTCATGTGCACTAAAAAAAAAAATATCGAGATTTTAAAGAATGTGAAAATCAGTTAGTGATAACTCCCGAAAAATTGATTGAAAAGAAAATGATAGAATTATCATATCAAATAGGTCAGGTGTGCTAATTGAATTTTCCGTATCTTATGCTACAGGAATAATCATTTTTTAGCTTCGAGATTTTAAAAAATCATATGAAAGTCGACAGAAATAACAACCAAAAAATAAAATACCGATCAAAGCATTGCCTAAATTTAGCACATGTCAAGTAGCAATTATTTTCATGTGTGATTGGAATTTCTCTTTCCCTCTTAATATTGTATGAAAATATCAGGTTTAAAAAAATATGTGCATATTAGTTGCAACAATTGTAAACTGTTGCGTCAAAAAAAGTGACTAAAATATGCAATTTTATATTCTGATAATAATGTATGAAGAGTATAGGGATTTTTTTTAAAAAAATGAGAGAATTTGCTGTAATAGGTACTAAAACGATCGAAACACGGCATGAATATATATGATTGGTATTAACGCAAAGCGAGCATGTCAAAAATTGATTGCTCAATTTTGCGTGTCGTAATAATATTGGAGTTCTTAAGAACCACAAGAAAATTTATGGCAAAAGAAAAGAAAAATATCGAAACACGGATTTACAATGGTACAGAGTGCGTTGAAAAGTGATCACTGAAATGCACAATTTGAAATTTCCATGTCGCAATATCATTTTAAAAATTAATTCGATCTAATTGTAGCCAAACAAAAAAGAGGGCAGATATATCACATTGATTAAATAACTCTTCCATTACTAGTCGGAAATTGCAACAGAACTGCTAAATGTAAGTTTAAAAGAAAAATGAGAAAAAACATTTTTGTTTAAACGAACGATATTTTAAATTTTTGCCATTTCGTAATTACTAATTTAGATTATCAATTTCATACTTTTGTGTTTGATTCAGTGGTTCACAATTATAGCTATAGTGTTCGATAAGTTTGAAACAAAGTTCCGTTTTTCCCTAGCAAATCTGCATAAAAAAGTCATCGCGCGTGAATGAGAACGTAGAAGGGAAGAAAAAAATGGAGAGAGCATGCAGGTAAGGGCGGAATGAAAGTCGTGAAAAAATTTGTAGAAACAAATTATTGATTCAAGGAATTCCTTGAATTAACGGAAAAATCACACGCCTAGTTTTGTTTTTGAATTGCCAGCATACGTATATATAATATACAGAATATTAACAATAAAAACTATACAATTCTTTTTAAATAATGTGTTTTATTGATTAGAATAGTATATACAATTTTTTTCTAATAAAATAATTAAAAACAATGCATTTAATTGAACTATTTCAATCAAGCAAATCTGTCGTGTTGAAATACAGAATTCCATTGTATTCTAAAAAGAGAAAAGTAACACTTCTTAGTATCATAAATTTTAACTTACTTGTATTATAAATATAAAAATTTTAAATTAAACTTTTCAAATGGTATTCAAGAATTATCAAATTGGCTAATTTCAAGCTTCTTAATTCAGGCAATATGGGTGGCAAAAGTTCAGGGCTTAGATAGTAATTAAAAAAATTATTTTATTGTCTTTGAACAAAACAATAGAATTTTGTCCACAATTAGTTCAACTTAATCATGGTCCCCAAAATACCAAAGGTAAAGTTGTTCAGGCATAACAATATTAAGTTCATTAAATTACTCTAAAAGCTAGTATCTATACCGGATGTACAGTACGCAAAAAAAAAAAATACCGACCACCCAGAATAACATTTGATCTAATGATTGGATCTTCATGTTCTAGGACTCAATCTTAATGGCTCGCGTGGGTACCTTCAAATACAATAATTAATAAGTGCAGACGATATTTTAAGTTACGAAATCAGACCCAACAACGTATTTTCTCTGAATAAACATACCTTTTTTTCAATAGATTCGGATTTCCGACACCCAAAATAATGAGAAAATAGTTTGGTTAGGAGTGCTCCAAAATTTTATCCCCTTAATGTTAATTTTACTTTTTGCGTATTTCACTAAATCTCAAGAATTTTGTAGATGGATTGAAAAATTTTTACACACAATTATAAAATTTGTTAATACAAAGAGTCGTAGAACGTGCAGATCAAGGGAGGGTTTTGAAACAAACTAATTATTTTATAGTTGTGAACTACGGTCGAACTTGCTTATAATAAGAGTGAAGGAATTGTAATATTTGCTCTTTGCAACAGTGTGCTCGAAAAAGGGTTTGGAAAAAATCATAAAGGTTTATATGTACCTTTATAATTTTTTTCATAACATACTAATGTAGCATTTTCTTAAATTATTCTTTATTTCGGTACCATACAAAGGAAGTTGATTTGTTTCAAACTGTCTCTTTGCTGTGGTCTTAATCTTTGGATTCGACTTGTGGCCAGAAAAACTTGGTCAACATCATAACGGAATTAGCTGAGCCGATGATGTAGAAATTAGTCTAAAATTTATGAATCGCACAGATGTAGCTTGCTAAAATCAGGATTTGCTGGTTAAAGCAACCTATGCTCCAATAGATTTAACATATTACCTACCAAGTATTTCCAATTTCTTCGCTAAATTCGGGTTCAAACTAAATCGTGACTCGTTATAAGAGAGTTCAACTGCAATATATCTTTTTTAAATTCATCCTTTGTCTTTCTTTATCTTAACAGAGATTGGTCAGCATTTGAAAACATTTTTGTTCCTTTTCGCTTATAAATAAATCAGTGACTGCATATGTTCTTAGTTTTTAGATTTCATTTTCCAATGAATGATACAAGAATTCAAAGAATATATATCTCCAAGTCAATCATCATCATGGAACAGGTTGTTCATACAAAGTAATCCCTACTTTACGATACAAATTTCAAGTATAGGAACTGTACATTAGTACTGTGTATAGTTACACGATTCTTCTATTATATAGGAATGTATGTATACAGTAAGCCATAAAAGTACAACCTGTAAAAGAGTGTTAGTTGACAGTGGCACTGACAAACAAGTACAACATTTAAAATGAGTATTTAAAATTAAATTCAACAACAGGGTACACTGTTGTCAGAGTCAGGAGCATTTGGTGTACCATTTCGAATATTTTAGCAAGTTAAATAAAATTAGGTATTCATTTACTTTAAAAAAATGTTAATAATTAAATTAGTGAGAGTTTTTTGTGGTTCTTTTTAGTTATGATGAATACTTATAGTGCAAAATTAATGGTCGTTATAGTCCTCAGTGCGACCACAAAAAAAAAGGCAATTAAAAAATAGTCTGTCAATTGACACTTAATTTCCTTTTAATTTTTTTTTTTTTTTTTTTTTTTTTTTTGAAAAATGCACCTCAAGAACATTTTATTATAATTTTAAAATAAATATGGAATTATTATGAATATTTTATAAGGTTTTGAAAATTACTCGTTTCTTAAAATTTTTCTACGTTTTAGAAATGAACTTTGTAATGATCACCATATTTGAGAAATGCTTCATATTAATATCACTAGCTTTTAATTGTTTAACATTTACAATATTTATAAAATTTCTTAATTTTGCCTTATACTTACAGAACATTTATAATAATCAAAAGTCCTGTAGTAGAATATTAGATATGTTTCTGCTTATTAACCGAGACGCAATATTTCTATTTGTTAAAAATTCTAACAGTAAGAAATTTATCTGTTCTTAAAATTATGCCGACAATAGAAATAGATCACTAACTTTAAGTGAAAAACTTTTATTAACTAAATCGGTAGTGACTAATCAGGTTCAGCTTATTAGTTCAAAAGCTTGTAGAAGTATAGCAAATTTTAGTTAACTTACCATTATGTAAAAGAGCTTTAAAAGCAGAAACAGTTATCATGAATTCTTTTCTTTAGAGTCGTCAGTAGATTTCTTTATTGTGTTTTTTGTTGGAATTTCCATTGTGGAAATTGTGATAACAGTTTCTTGTGAATCCTGCAAAAATTAATAATGAATAAATAAATAAACAACTCTTGAAGATAGAAAAATTTTAAGGAGAAAAAATTAATTATATTTTTTTACATTCATTGTAATTTGCATAGGAGTAAAGTAATATTAGTTGTAAATGAAAAAGAAGAAAGAAAGAAAATGGTAAATAAATAATCAGAAAAAAATAATTTAAAACAGTAAAATAAAATATAATATGGTCAATTTAATATTTTTAATTACCATTGTATCATCTCCTTTTTCGAATCTTTTTAGGATGTTAGAATCTCTGATATCTGACAATGAAGCAACTTCAGCTATAAAAGATAATAATCATTAAATCAACTGTAAAATGAGAATCCGAAAAATTACAGGATGAATAAAGATCAATAGTGAAAGGATTAAAAGTTTTGAAGAATTAACAAATAAAAATTTATTACACAATTTCCAATTTTACTCTAGAAGAAATCATAATTTTTTTGTTGTTCTGGCATAACGTAATAAAGAGAGTATGATAGCGATCATACAATTTAAAAATTTATAAAACCTTAAATTTTATTGCAATAACATATGAAAACACTTTTCCTCAAAAATCTCAAGAAAAAAAAAAACATGGTGCAACATAAAAATAGCAAAATTTATAAAATTAATTGAATAACTGCAAAAAACAGTGGTGTATATGCCACATTAAATATAAAATATGTTAGTAAATTACAACAGAATTCAAGTAAATGTGAAAGTCGAATCTTGAATAATTAGTCTAAAATAGCATAGTAGCACGGGTTGCATTTGATGAGATGCATGTCTTGAATGAAGACATGGTACAACATACCTGGCAAGAGAGAGACAGGTAAGAAAGGCAGATGTCATCGAGTTCATACATACTAGCTAGAACACTTTAGAGATTTTTTTCATAGTTTGAAGGTAATTTTGTTTTAATCTTCTTATTAAATCATGAATCATAATTCAATACAAAGCAGTATTTTTTAATAAATGATTTCCACAGACACAATACACACTTTTTTTTCTTGTAAATTGTGTAGCTAAAAATATTTTAAGACTTCAAACATTCAATTGTTTTAAGACATGATTTGATTAACTTGTCAACACCATATGAAATCATCCATGTGATTTATAGTGAATTAAATTGAAACTAACTCATTACTGGTAAGGATAAAATGGCACTAAATACCGAGAGTTAAACAAAGTACATAGATATAACTTACAAGATGTGTCAATAGTTTTTATAATTGAAGTAACAGTCTTAGAAATAGGTGTTGAGTCAATAACAGTTTTTATTAAAGTTTCACCAGGAGTAGTTGTATTTTTTGAAGGTTGTTCTTTATCTTTCTTCGCTAAATCACCTGGAAGATAAAAAAATTTAAAAACTAGTACTGAGGATTAAAATTAAAAATAGTTCAAAATACTAAAGTAACTCAGCAAAACTGATTTCTAGTAAGAATGAATATGAAAAATCTTAAAAGCTATAAATCAGTTCCATTTTTTTTTTTTTTAAAAAAAAAGGCCTAAAAATTTTCTTAAAAAACAAACTAAAATTTTTACAAAGAGAAAAATTAAATAGTTTTTTCTTTTAAAAAAAGTTTGTATTTCGTAGTCAAAAACTGCTTATTAACATTACATGTCTAGTGTTCACACCAGCAATGAAAATTTAAAGGTTCAATACGTTCCACCTTAGTATTCATTTAATCGTTCAAAAACTTAATATAGTAAACAAATTTGAAGGGGGAAAAATCAAACTTTACAATTGCATAATTCATGTTAAAGTACACATAAAAAATAATTAATTGAAATCTATTACACCCAGAGTTAATACCCCACAATGATTGAAGATTAGTATTTATTAAAATTAAGTTAAAAAAGATAAAATAAGATTAGTAAATAGATTGATATGTCGAGATTAAATAAATAAATGAGGAAAACAGAGAAAGTAAGAGCCAACAAAATATTATATTGAAAAATAATTATTGAAAAATTATAAAATCAATTCTAAAAGAGCAAAAAATGCTTTATTGATGAATAATTATACTGTCAGTACATAATTGCAAAGCACAGCACAACATGAAAATTTGAAATACAAACTAAATTTAAAATTTTTTGTGCTAAACACTTTCAGTTATTCTATTTGAAATATTGTTAAACTTAACCAACGTATGTATGAAATAATAAAATTAGTTAGAATAATTTTCTTTCCAAACATTTTTAAAGTTACCTTTTTCTTTCAGTGATTTTTCAGTTGATTCCAGAACCAATCCAGACTCTTGAATTACATCAGCTAACAAGTTCTTTTTGCACTGAATTTCGCTCAACTATAAAAATAAATTGGAGAACTGAGTGCACACACAGAATTTTTACTTCAATGAGTATAAATAAAAGAAAATGTCTAAAAATATTTATTCATACATTAAATTGACACTGAAAAATTAAGAAATTACACATACAATCATAGCAGTACCAAATAAGAAAAAGAAAGAGGAATAATATGCGAAAAAATTAAAGAATGTACATAAAAAAACAATCACGAAGATCATTTTATGTCCTTTATAGCGAATTTATTAACTAAGAATATTTTTGTTTTAATACCGCTTCTTGGGATAAGAAGTATCAACTATGATAATGGTAAAATGGAAAGAAAATCATACCCCTCCTAACGTCCAGGAAAATAGCAGATCTAAGGCAGGGGTCTGTCCAGACATTTTGTGAAAGGTCCGTTTTTGGAAAATTGTTAAAAAATTATTGTGAATATAAAATAAACGTTAAGTCACATTCTTTCAACCAGGGTCCTGCTTTTGTGAATTTGTGCAAATAGGGTCCTGTTATTGCAAAAAACTATTGCAAAGACTGTTATTGCAAAAAACTTTTGCAAAGAGATTTTAAATTGCAAAGAGATACAAGATTATGCTCAGAACTGTAAAATTATAATTAAAAAAAATTGAATATTAAAAAATAAACAGCAATTGCTGCTACTAAATTAGAAATGCAACATACAAATATTTGGAATTTAACCTATACTGCTCAACACAGAATATTCATTTCGGACGAATGAAGGAAGAAGCGTCTGCTGAAGACAAAACTTAGTTCGTTTACATCTGTCTTTCTTTCCTCCCACCCCCCTGGGAAGTGTTTATTCAATTAACAAAACAATAAAGAGAAACAAATTTGCGAAGGGTCCGATTAAAAGATAAATTATTTTGTGAAGGGTCCATTTTCAAGTTAAAATATCTTGTGAAGGGTCCGTTTTTATGAAAAGATATTTTGTGAAGGGTTATTTTGTTAATGGAACCAAATTTCGTCTAAACAGACCCCTGATCTAAGGAAAAACAATCGTACGAACACATTACATTTTTTCATTCATTTTTTTAAACAAATTACACATAATTTATGATTTGTTGATGCAAGTACTAACCTGGCCTTTAGAACCAACAGTGATTTGGTTCTTAGAACCCAGGCTGCTGGTTTGATTCTTTGTACTAACTTGAGTAATAGGTGTATTTTTATTTGTTGGCACTGGTACTTCTTTTGAAGTGCTATCTGTTTGTTGCACAGGGCTTGGTGATGGAGTTCGAACAGTGTTGGTATCTGCCCCTTTGATTGGAACAGTAGATACATTTAAAGACTGTGATGGTAGAGGTTTAGCTTGAGGTTTAGTAGCAACTGTTGTTGTAGTTGCTGTTTGAGGAGAACTACTTGGCAACTTGTTCTTTTCTTGCTTTTGAGCATTTTCTGACTGTTAAACAAGAAAATTGTTGTCAACAGGAATTTTTACAATGCAATAAATGTTAATATATAAATTAAGTTTTGGAAAAAATGTGCTACATTTAAGAAGGTTATGTTCACATTAAAATTCGCCCAATTTATAACATCAAAGCTTTATGANAAATGTACTGTTTCCATTAGATTTCTTTTTGTCTGGAAAAAAAATTAGTTGATGAGAAAGTTTTGTAAGAAATATTTGTAGAAACATGATTTGATTAAGAGTAAAAAAAATAATTTTTTTTTTTTAATGAAATTACTTGACAGGAAACACTAATATACATTTAAATATAATTAAATTTTAACAATGTTTAAACAACTAAAATATTTGCAGTGTTTAAAACTATTATTTTACTTCTTGCTTTTTTTTCTTTTTTTTGGTCAGGGAAAAAAAATCAGTCAATGAGAAAGTTTTGTAAAAAATATCTGTAAAAACGTGATTTGATTAAGAGTTAAAAAAAATTTTCTTTTAAAAAAAATCACTTGACAGGAAACACTAATATACATTTAAATATAATTAAATGGTATTGTTAGCATATCATATATTTTGTTTTGTAGATATAGGGTTGTTCTGAAATACACATAAAATTAAAGAACATCAGAACAAAAATATAAAATTCAGAACAAGTAAGAACAAAATATTTTTTATCCTGTCAATCAGGACAATTATGATCCCTGAATTACCCACAACTACTTTATGTTTGATACCAATTCTCTTACACTCTATTCTGATTGATTTTACCATCAATTAACTTACATTTGATTCAGGTATCCTTTGAACAGGAGTTGAACTCATAATAACTGCTGCCTGTGAACGTGGCCACATTTGAGCTTTATGCACGACAATCACGTTAGGCTTAGCTACTGCTGATGCTCTCATTGAGGAGGATGTGTTAAGTGTTCCAGCTGGCAACGTCACTCTTAAGGCACCAGTCGTCAAGTTTGAAGATAATCCCAATGCAGAGATTGCAGACGGTGTGATGGAACAAGGTAGCCGGGAACCGGCTGGAGGTGTTACGTTTATTATCCGTGCACTGCGAACCAGCCCTATTGGTCGTAAAAATCAATAAGTACTCAATATATTGAGAGAAATGTCTTTAAACATGTTTTAACACTAAATTAAAAAACATTCATCTTACAGACCACACAAAATACGCTAACACATGCAATTTTTAAAGTTAGAGATAGAAGGATGAACTTAAGTACTTTCCCTGATCGTTCCACAATTTATGGATCTCTAATAATTTATAAGTATCTTTATGAACCGAGGGTTAAAATTAATTAACAGCTAATTAATAAAGAGGAACACATCTTTATGAAATCAAATTAAAATTTCAATGGATAGGACTGGATAATCCGCAAAAAAGTAATCCGTCCTAGTCCTTTTTTTAAAATTATTTCTGGTAAAGCTAAACGTGATGACGTTGTACGGAAATCTTCAATGATTACGCCATCAACATTTACATAATACAGCTGAATGCACATATAGATCTAATGTTCACCAGAGTAAAGATAAGGATTGTAGGATTGCTGAGGGGAAAAAAAAGAATAACCGTTGTTGAACAGCCGACTCAATTTTTGAGCTTACGACTACCAATGTTCAACTCCGTAGCCTTGTAATTTTGAACCCAATCCAGAAGATAATCTAACTCCTGCATCAAGTATTCGGATAAATTTGCCTCTGTGGAGGACTTTTTGATGGAGCTAACCCGCATTTGAGTTACATGGAGAGGGGAACCACGAAAACCTCTCACGGTTAGCCTGACAGCAAGGGTACTCTTACCCATGATCAATCTATCTCTGAGGACACTTTACATCAGCACTGTGTTCAATGCAAGCCGGGTGCGGAATTTGTATCGACCAGTCATAGCTGGGAATCGAAACAGTTTGCCTCATTGGGTGGCGAAAGTTCTATCCCCTGAGCCCCCATGGCTCAATCATTTAACCAGGGATGAAAGTACCAGTTAGCAACAAAAAAAAAATGAATTCTACATAAACGCAATCAAACATTATGAAATTAATAAATGTATGGAGCTTAAAAAGCTTTGAAAAAAAACTGAATTCAGAGTAAAAGCTGAAAACTTTCATGCCTGTTTAACTTAAGTGAAATTCTAAGAAGAGGAATGCCAACCGAGCATTTTTAACAGCTTACAACTTCAGAATGAGTAATCTTAAGCAAGTCTAATGCCTTCCAAAATTTTGCCAAAATTGCTGACATTGCAAAAGCTCAATCGTTTCAAACCCAAAAAAATGAAAATTTCCCTAACCCTATTTTTCATTTTTTTTATTGTGTGCTTGTTTACAAAAATTTTCGCGTGAAATAAAATGCTTCACTAAATAGTTTATTCGCAATGGGAAAATACTATAATTACGGAGAAACTGAGTTATAACATCAACACTTACATTCAAATTAAAATTTATATAAAATGTGGAGCTGTGAATTAAGTTTTTGATACTTACTAATAAAAAACACCAGTGAAAGTCATGCAGTTTTAATGATGAAATTGATTATTGATTAATCTTTTTTCTTAATTTTCAGTTGGAATTATTATAGTATTTTCCTAACATACTTTATATAATAATACAAAATCACTTTAAATGTTGAAAAAAATGTGCATTTATCACAAGAATTAAAGATCCAAAAAGAAGTATGAAGGAAAGAATAAAAGAAATTTAAAAAAAAAAGAATATAATTAGAATATTGATTCATATATGCATTTTTAAACTTGCATACAGCAAAAACTCCTCAGGTTCTGTTTGAAATCCTTAAATTTCACATTAAATTTAATTTAAATGTTAACTTTTTTCAGAAACAATGCATATTAAAGTATTTACATTAAATTTTATCATAGCAGACACCTATCAATTTTAAAAATTCTGCAGTTTTAAATTTATTTATTTATTTATTTATTTTTTTGTGTGTATGTTGAGTAAAAGAGTGAGTACTTAACTATAATAAATGTTGATTGGTTAAATTTGATTTTCCCATAAAAAATAAAATTATAAGAACCATATTAGTTTATGTTACCTGTAACATATTTACTCTAGGAATTTTTAAGTCAGTAAAATGATATCTGTAATTGCTTTTATAGTGAAATTCAAAACTATTTTTCTTTAATCATTAAACACAGTATTAAAAATTTGAAGCCAGTTTGAGAATTTAAATAATTCAACAATTAATTTATTGTTTCACAGTAAAACTAAACTATAACAAGCAGTACAAAACATAAAAATGTACTATTTCCATAGAGATTATTCAGCACTAAATATGAAGAATTATTTTAAGTGTAAGATACAAAAATAAATCAAGCAAAAGAGAAATTTTAAAAAACATAGGACTCAAGAATAAAGCAGACATAAAAAGAAATTCAAAAGATAAACAGAAAATAGAATGTCCAAGTCCTATGAACATAAAAGTTTTTTTTTTTATTTTTTAAAATGTAAGTGCAGCAGATAGAAATTTATTATTCCTGTGATGTAAAGAGAACAAATTCTTTGCATTCTAAGAGCTTATTATTTTTGAACAAACCTCCATCATTCCTATACTGAATTGTTTGGGTAGTGGAACTTCCCAATTTCATGTGGCTCTGTCCAACTCCGATAGGCGTTGATTTTGACAGCATCTGGGAACTGGATCCTTTGCCCGCTTCGCTCTGGACAGGTCCGGTTGTCTTGGTGGGCGTCTGTAAGGTGGCAGACGAAGATACATTAAAAATAACAGGCGGCAGAGACTTTGCACCCTTTGTACCACCACCAAATAGAGACCTCGAAATGTATTGGGAGCTGGATGTGGATACCTTTGGCAAAGCTTTCGTCACGGGTACTTTAGAAGCAGGCTGGTGACTGGACATCGAATGAGATTCTGTTTTGGGTGATGGTGATTTTTGTACAGAAGTTTTGGTGACGGTGAGGGATTCGTTTACCGTGAACTGAGCCGGTGAGTCAGATTGGCTTGTGGGTGGGAACACTCCTGAAGTTGGCTTTTTAGCCAAAAAACCGGAGTTACTGTCCTGCTTTCCCTTACTGCTCGATGATTTAGGCGAAACCGCCCTGGGGTTTACTTGCGGTGGCTGAATGTTCAGTTTTACTCCCAATCCAGAAGGCAAGTTTTGCCTTCCCTGCACTGCAGGTTTTGATCTCAGTTGACTGACAAATTTGCTTTGAGAAGGTGTAGATGAAGTAGTACGATCACTCGATGAAGTTGAACCTGCAAGAAATGTTTGTAATATTTCATGGGAAAAACTTGTGTCTACTTTATTGCCAGAGATTCTTAAAAAGGGACATCCTGTTCTATTGAAAGCTATGGTTTTAAAATTTAAAGTAAATAATATTTCAGAGCAAAATTCATAAATTATACTTTTTAATTAACTTCAAAGCCAAATCACCACACATGAGTCTTGAGTATCTATATTATATAAATAAGCACAGACATAATAATTATAGAGAATATTGTTCACAATGTACTAACAAAGTTTGAAATTTAGAGAAAAGTTTTAATTTTTTTTTTAAATGTGAACAAAGAATTATTAGGTTTTATTAATTTATTTACTAACTCATGCAACTTATATCAAAATTAAGCTTAAACTAAAATTCTTAAGGGAAAAAATTCTTTAATGAATGGATAAATAAAAGCTTTAAGCACTAAACACAGAACTGTTTGACCTGTACAAAAATTACTATACCTGTAGAAGGTACTGTGTGAGGAATTACTGTTGTCCTCATAGCACCAGTGGATGATGATCTCTGCAAGCTTTTAGGTTCTAATGACTTTACCATTTCCGCCATAGAAGCTTGATGTCCTTCATGACTTACAGATTGAAGAGGACTCCTTGAAGGAGGTTTACTTGATAGCAAATTTGAAGGCATCTGATCAAAGGTTGAAAAAGTTGTCACTGTGGATGATTTCAGCATTATATGCTAAAAAAAATAGAGACAAGTTTAATCACATTGCACTATACATAATAATATTTACAAAATGCAATTGGGAAAAATTGCAACTGGCTTGTAGTAAAATTTTTAACAGGGACTACTTTTTAAAACATGCAATAACTTTTTGAGAAACTGAAAATACTAAATGAGTAAAAAGACTGTTGGTATTAATAATCAGAGGAATTTACTTTTAAGAAAGGTTTATTTCTAAAATGAAACAAAAAAATTAAGAAACAAATATAAAATAAAGTAATTTTATGAGTACCAGAAATATTCCTAAAAATTGACTTTTTATTAATAAAAATATAATAATAATAATAAAACGTACATGGAGTGTACTTTTGACAAAAAAGCAGAGAGTGGCGGAGAATTTTTGCTCACACCATTATAGACAATTGGTTGCCATTGCAGCCAGCGGCAACCATTAATTTCACCTCCTAATGTTAAGAAATAAATAAGAAATAAATTAAGAAACCTTTCATCACTCTAAATATTTATGCCAACCTCTATGTCTAATTTTATATTTTTTGTCTCAGGTTTTAAAGAGAGATTAGATTGTTATTTAAAGAAAAAGTTTGTCAGCTGCAACATTAATTTAGTCAATTTTGAAATTGCATGTCAACTAAAGCGTCGTTTTATTTTGTTTATTTATTTATTTATTATTATTTTGTTGTTGTTGTCTAGTTTAAACTAAGGATTGACTACATTTTTTTCTATTTCTTTACAACTACATATTTACTAGTTATTGTTAAAAACTATTTTTCAATATAATACATCACACTGCAGTTATTAATGTAATATAAGGATGGAAAAAATTACTTTGCTAGGCTTAAAGTAATCTAGACAATATACCTTAAATAAAAATTCAATGAATAAAGAGCACTTTGTTTTAAAAAGAAGCTAGACAGGGGCATTACTGGCTAGACATATTAACACAATTTAAATACTTTATTACAATTACAAACTTTGATTGTTGAAGTATGATTATTTGAAGTAGGTTTGGCTTACACAAATTAGAAACACACAATTCAATTTCTATTGCCATACCTTAATATGAATCATTATAAATTTATTTTAAGCATTTAAAAAATGGCACTATTAGAGTAAAAAGAGTTTCAATTCAGGAAAACTAATTCTGACATAAAAATTCAATGGGAGCTCAAGGCAATTTTTTCAGAAAAAAAATTTTGCTATACCAAAATTATATTGTAAATATTTCACAATAACACATTAATTAATAACAAAACATTTTAATTTAATCTACTTCACAAAAGGTTTTTTCTTCTTTCTTCTTTAAGACAATGTTTTATATTGTAAAAAAGTACATCTTGTGACAGGGTTCCCACTTAATTTCAGAAAAAAAGCTTATCTGACTTTCCCAAACATATCAGGAAAATTTAAATGAAAATCCAGACCATATTTTATCTACACCATGCAATTTTTCAGCAGAAAAGAAATTTTTAATTGTAACGTCAAATATAAGATTTTGTGAGCAAAAAGAAATTATTATTAAATGAGGTTGGAAACATGAAAGTTTCGCTAAAATGTAGAAATTTTTACAACAAATAATTGTATTAGATGTCAAAATTACTTAACTTGAATCTCAATAGCTGATTACTGTTACTGACAATTTAAAGACTGGTCATTTTTCCAGACATATTAAGAATTTTCTAAGTTTTTATAAAAAATTGCAACTTTCCCTTACTATTCTCTGCTTTTAAGTCAAAATAAAATTCACTGACTCTGACTACTCCAGGTTTTACATGTCCTCCCCTGACTAAATTAAAATTTGTGAATCCCGAAAAAATAGGAAGAGTTTACAGTTAAATTAATATTTAAATAATAAGTTCAACTTTTTAATGAATATTCACCTTTGTAGAAGACTTAACAGGAGATACTAAAGAGGGTACATGTGCCATAGGAGGAATTTTAGAGGAAATATAATCCGACAAAGAAGTGGGTTCAGGCGAAATCTCATTTCCAGTAGCAGGATGAATTTCAGCAGTTGGTGTTTCAGAACATGGGGATGTTTCCATACTTTGAAAGTCAGGGCTGTCAAACGCTTGAACATGAGGGTACTGACACTCTATTGCTTGCAATTTATTGGGAGGTATAGAGGGATCAGGAGGCAGATCTTTTCTCTTACGGCTCGCCATTGTTTCAATTCCATTGCTGACTGTTAAAAAGAAGAAGAAAATTACAAAATGCTTTAACATGAAAATTTTATTTTTCTTTGGGAACTTTAAGAATATTAAAAATTATTAAATTAAAACAGAAAATTTTTTCAAAATCATACTCAATTTTAAAAATCGACAGTACTGATAAAAATTACAAATGATTAAAACATTTAGAAAAGAAATAAAACTGCATTATTGTAATTTATATTTTCTTTAAATAATAACAATGTGACTTAATTACAAACATCTTTGAAACCTAATTTATGTCTTTACTGCAATCAGTGGTCTGCTTAGGTTTATCTGAGAGGTTAGGTTTATCTTGTGAAAATTTAGACATAATTTGTGAAAATAAAAAATCAACACAAAATTATGATAAAAATATGGATTTATCGTTTCTTACGAGACATAAAATACAATTTTAAGAAAAAGTATTTTGAAGTTGAATTTGTGAAGATACCGCTAAACGGTAGTAAATTTTGCTTGGACAGACCCCTGGCAATAAATATTTTAAATTAGAACATTTATCAGAGGTTTCCACTTTTGCATTTTTGGTGGTTCAAATTTTTCATACTTATATTTTATTACTTTTTTATAATTTTTTATTATTTATTACTAATTTAATAATTTTAACTACTTTATTACTAATTTCTTATTACTTTTTTATATTTAACTGAATCAAACGTTTGTTTAAATTTAGTGAAAAAGTTGACGAAAATTTTACCATGAGTACGAGCCCAAAACATTTTTTCAATAAACGAGCCCGACGCGGGCTAAACGCATCTCATCTCTAGTACTCACTCTCTCTTAATCCAGTTCTGCCAGGTAATGGCAAGGAAGCATTCTTTGTAGCTTGAGCATTAGCAGCTGAATTTGCAATATCAGTGAACACAGTTTGAGGTGCAAGGCGCTGCATTAGAGGTACTACACGCCTTCCTTCTATGGACCACTCAGCAGAAGTATTTGCTCCATATAACCTGAAAGTACAAGTCTTTAATGTAATGAAGTTTGCACCAACTATAATTATTACAGAGAGAAAAAAATCCTTTGCATCTTTATTTGGTGGCTCTGTAAGAAGACACACTTATTATTTCTTTGGATACATAGGAAGTTCATTAGATTCAAGTCTGGTGAATAAGGTAGCCACTATAACAAGCTTGAAATTTTTTTTAAGTAGATTAAAAATATTTGATTTTAAACTTAGTCTAAGATATTTCTTGTCATCTTGTATAGCACAATAAATAAGTTCATACCTACACAAAAAAATTAAGGTTTGTTTCCAAATTGTATAAACATGTGATTCATAAACTGTTAAAGTAAATATAGAACATGGGGAAAATATAAAATGGGAATTTTTCACGGGTTTTAAAAGCTTTTAATTGGCAGAACTAAATTCTGTAAAAGTTACATAAATTGTTAAGTAGTTGCCATCACTAAAAAAAAAGTACTATTTTGCATAGAACATGTTTTTCAATGTGCTAAGCTAATTTCAATTATACAAAATCAAAGCAAAAAGTAATAGATATAAACAAAGAGAAGAAAATTGGTCATAAATAATAAAGGTATACAAATAATTTTTAACATTCACATCACAGCCCAGGCCAAAATTAACAAATTATTTACAGCAGATACCTCCAAAGCTAAAATATTATCACAATGAAATGCAAATATTCAAATAAAATAAAGGCTGTTGCAGATATAATTATAATGCAGTTGCAATTTTAATTCATAGCAATTTATAATGAGTGACAATTTTAGTTCTATTAGATTTTACTATAACTATGAATTGTAAAAAATTCAGAGATAACTCTTTTCCTTTTTGAATAAAGAATTATTTATATTAATTAATTTATATTTATACTAAATACTATTTATACTAAATTATTTATACTTATGTATAATGATTATTAATAAAGAACAACTTTGAAAGACAAACAAATTACTTTCTTTTACCTTTCAGCAACTGTATTTAAATGTTCATCATTGACCGCTCGCCTAATCTCTGCACGGTGACGCTCCATAGATATGCTGAAAGATTAGAATTTAAATTAGAAATATTGTCAATTCCTGAAGCCTATGTCCATAGCTGGAATAACATTATTTGATAAATAATTATCATCTCTTTGTCTATCTATTGTCTTCAATGACAGCGAATGAAGCTTTTAATCAGGTTAAAACTAAGTGTTTCAGTTTTTTGGAGTTATTTATTTAATGCTCTAACAGTTACCAAATACAGAATATAAAGCTTTGATGCAAAATATGCTGTAATGAATTTTTTTTCTTTATGTTTTAGCAAAATTTGAAATAATTTGAATTAATAGTAATTCATAAATGTAAATTCAAAAAACTGATCACTCTAGCTTTTTAGATGTCAATTGAACAGAGAATTTTATTATAAATATAGCTGAACCTCAACATTGCAAATTCAGAGGAGACACTAAAAAGTTCATAATATCGAAAATTAAATAATTTTCACAATTTAGTCGACGCACTGATTTGTATAAACATTTTAAAAGTTGTATGATATGCACTTATAACAAAAAAAACAGCTATTTCAAAAGAGTTCATAAAGGCGGAAATGGCCCCTTTGCAAAATTCTAATTCTAAAAAACGGCTCCTTCACAAAATTCTAATCAAGTAAGGAATAAAATTCAAGTACCATTTTTATAGGCATAATTAAAAATATAAAATGGAGTTTTTTTAAAAATGTATTTTATCAAATTACAGCATATACTTATTTTGAAATATTTTTGGTTTTAAACTATTACAGTGATAGGTAAATCTGAATGTTTTTCATGAATAAAGAATTTTTCCTTAAATATAATTTTCATTTTTTCAAAAATGAGCTCCAAAAAAGTAAAACTTTGATTGACTTCTGCTTGAAACTAAGTCAATACCTTCTCTTTTTCATTTTAAAGTTCTTCTCTTTCATCATCCTTCTTCTCATATAAATCTCCTGACGTTGTAAACTCTTTTAATGTTCCTTCCAATTACCCAAAACTTTAACATTGTCTACACTAACTTTTTAGTTTCTTTTGTATTCATCAAATAAACAATTACCTTACCATATCTATGCACACCTCTTGTATGTCTACTTACATAGCAATTGCTTTCTGATTAGAGTTCCAAGAAATGATTCATACAATTATTAAAGAAAAAAATTTCAGAAACTGAATTCAAAAAAGAATTTTAAATTCTCCAGAGATTATGCAAAAAAAAAATTGGTGACCAAAAATATTTTGCAAAATTGAAGATTATTAAAAAAAGAGGTTTTTTATTAGTAGCATAGAGACCTTACTTTTTTTGTGATATCGAAAAAGTCATGTTATCAAACAATGCGAAGATATCGAGGTTCGACTGTATATAAACAAATGAAACTTTAATCAAGAATTTAAATTAAAAAGAGAAAATAATAAAGTGATCAGAACTGTGCAAAAATAAATTCACATTTCCATTAAATTGAATCAAACATAAGAATAGTTTCTTGAATAAAAGAACTGACATTGAAGTACAAACAATAAACTATAGATTATACCTTAAATGATTCTTACCTCAGCACATTACAGAGTTCTTGCAATATTTTTCTTTTATCTTTTGTCAAAAAGCCTTGTGCACGAAAGGCATTAATGATTGCTGCATATGCTTCCAGCTCTAAAAGAGGAATTCATTTTAATTTCCAATTTTAAAGCAATATAATAATGAAAAGAATTATTACTTTTAGATATGAAGTGTTAAAAAACTATACCTAAACTACGTAATAACCTCTTGCACTCATCATCAGTATAATCAACTATCATAGGCCACATCTTGATAACTTCAGTAAGTCTGAAAGAAAGTAGTAAAAAGTTAATGTTTCAGTAAACATTAATAAATATAATTAATATTAAACAGTAAAATGGCAGACAAAGTAGAAAATAACTATTTCTTTTGTTTTAATAAATAATAAACACTATAAATAATGCAAAAAAAATTGGTTTACATAGCGAAACAGTATAAGAAATGATTTGTGCAGAAAATGAAGTACAATTAACAGCACACATACAGAAAATGTTAGAGGTGACCAAAATAAGGTTATTAGGATTTGGCATTACTTTGCTATAGGGGTGTAAAACCTGTGGCCCCCTGGCTGTGATAGAGTGGCACACATAAGCGCTTGAACATAATTAAAAAAAAAAAAACTTATACATATTAGAAATAAGATTGGCTTAGCCTGAACCCAACACAGGCTTGTTTATTTTTATTAAATGAAGTTTTGAAAGTTTAAAAAAACGGACACGTGATAAAGTTTTGATACTTTTTTACTACTTTTAAACAAACATTTAGCTCAGTTATTAAGCAAAAAAAAAGAAAAATTTATAAGGTACAAAAAATTAAAGACCTGCTACTTCTGTTTGATGCTTTTGTTTTTTGCTTAAAATTAAGATGTTTAGCTTAAGATTTTGATCCTATTTTTTAAATTTTTGCTTTAGTCATTTTTGTTTTAGTCATTTTGGAGTTTCCGTCGATAGTACACCAGGCACATACGTCATTCCCTGACAAGTTGAAATGAGAGAAATACAGTTAGAGTAATTAAGGTGAACTTACAGTATTCAAATGGCACAGTCTGAGATTATATTTAGTTTGGTATTTTAAAGAAATATTTTGCATTTTATTAATATAACCATTTTGCATATTTTTAATTTATAATTTTCATTTGTTATTGTTTATTTTTAAAGATTAGTTATCCTCACGAAGGACAGAAGAAATTATCCAACATACATCTCAGGGTCAGGTGGATCAGAAATGTTTTAGTCATAACTTTAAAAACTGCTTAATTTGTGCAAATTCTGCTATAAATCTGAAAGGTTTTCTGATCGCTTCTCCTACTTCACAATAAACATAATTGTACCAAGTTTGGTAGGGAAAATAGTTGTAGTATTGAAACAAAACAATTCAATGCAAAATCAAGTTTAAATGGTAGTACAGTTAAAATTGGTTTGATATAGAATACATCAATAAAATTTCAAATCACTTATTTTCATCAAAAAAAAATTTTGTGGTTATTTAATGGAAAAGTAAAAGAGTGAATAATGGAAAAATAAAGAATGTAATATTTATTATCCTATTCGTGTGGGAAAAAGTTTTATTTTGAAAAAAAAAATTTTTTTTATGTATTACTATTTCTCTTATTATTTATTAAAGCACAATTTTAAACATAAATATATGCCAAGTTAATTTAAAATTCTATAAATAAGAATCCCAAAAGCAAGGAAAATCTAGTAGTCCAATAGGACTACCAAGGTATTCATTTAATGGTTCAAAAACTTAATATGGTAGACAAACTTGAAAAAAAAATAAAACTTTACAATAGCGTTGTTAAATTACATGGAAGACACGGTTGAATTTTAATTAAATTAAAACAACCAATTTCAAGCATTTCTTCTTGAGACGCAAGAAAATTTGGTATCAGGCATCATATGAAGACAAATGCATGGAATTCAATGTAAAAAAACAATTATTTGTTGCTAATTCATAATTTTCCAAACATACTTCAAGACAAAAAATTTGTCTCCCGTGCGTATGATTTTAGCTACATTTATAGAACATTTGGCGACAATGGTACATACTGTCGAGAACTCAATATATTCGACAAATTTCCTCTCAGGCTTGTGTTGCACTATTTAACAAATTAAAATAAAATAACTTATATCCACGGCCACCACCTGAGTAAATTCAATACCATAAAAAAAATTTATTAATTTTCAAAACACTGTGTATTATAGGGACAAAAAGTATGTTATTAAAGTAAGAGTACCAACTGATTTTTCATGAAGGTACATCTTGTTTCAGTTTAAAAAAGAAAAAAAAAAGAGCTGTGAAAAATCACTTAAAATTTAAGTAGTAATAAATGTTATCTAACTTTCAAATTAGAACATAATGTTACAGGAGTAACCTTAGAAATTAATATAAGTAAATAAAAATTCTTTTATTTAGATACAAATTATATTTTTACAAAAGCTGGTATAAGTTTCCCCTCTTAACTACTGTTCTTTAATAAATAGAAAATAAAAATTTAAATACACAAAGAATGAGGTAAAAAATTTCCTGTAAGAGCTCACTTCAAGAAATTCAATGAACACAAATTTATTAACAAACACAAATAAATAAACCAAATTAATATTGTACACAGCTTGATAAATCAAAAAAGTAATATAAAAATAAATAAGGCAAATTATTGTTATTAGTAATAAAATACCACAGAGAATATGTTATTCATTAGGGTAATGAGAAGGAAGAACCAATATTTCAAAGGAAATAAGTATATTAGCATATTTTACAGATGATTAAAACAAATAACTATACTTCGTCTGGGTTGTGTAAAGCAGTATAAATAGCGATCAATAACTACACCAAAGGGAAGCCATTTAATGTATGTCATACGAGAATGAAAATTTTAAATTGAAAATTTGTGACACACAAACTTCCATTCAAAGCAAATTGTTGACAAAACTTTAAAAAAAAAAGGCTACAAAATGAATAACTAACAAACAAAACGATGCAAGCTCCAATCATGCAAGTAGGGGGTCATTTTAGCGGGAGAAATATCCTTCAACAAAAGATGCGATTACAACGATTTAATACACATATTTATACCTGATAACAAATGTTATTGAACACTGCTCAGAGTCAAATTAGTAAAATTTGACTGTAATATGTAAAATGTTATGATGAAAACATGAAAGAGTGCGACGTACTATATTACTAGCTTTGACATCGCATTTAATAACACATATAAGAAACATCTAAAATCTACACTTTTCTAAGCAAACACGGGAAATCGGTGAACTTTATATTTAGAACAGATTGTTGAAAAGTGTACAGCATTAACTGCATTTTAAATAATGAGTCTCCTTTTTAAAATAAAACCAATAAAATTAATAACAATTTAAGTAGACTCTACAGTATTTAATAACTTTAAATTTTGTCGACTGCGGTTGCAGGTAAATAGAAATGTGTGAATGTATTAAATTTTAAATATCTGCGAATAATTTCAAAAAAATGGAAATAAATTATAAGAAAGCAAATCAAACATAATGTTAAAAATATTAAATCTAACAGAATCATGTAAAGCAAAAAATAATGGCCAATTTATAATATTTCAAAAAAAAACTTCTTTTATCGATTGAAAAAGCTAGAAAATTACTCCTGAAATTTTGAAAAAAATTATTATTAGAATAACTTTTTCTATTTTTAAGGATTTTAATTATTTTTCAAAGATTAACTTAAATGCAATTTATTTATTTAGTACCTACGATTGGCAATGACTGTTACAAAACCGAAAACAATAATATTCTCAATTTGTGAATTTCCATTAACAATAAATATTAATCAGAAATGATTAATTTATACCCATTAATGAATATTGGGTAATTATACCTATATTAATTTAAAGCTGATTATCATGGTTACTAAACAATGCCCTAAGTGTCAACAACATGTTCCCGTAGCTTGCAAAGCCTGTCCGTGCGGACATGTATTTTTTGTAGCAAGACGACCTATCAGTATACACAAAACAGGTACAACGGAAGAAGGGGAAGTAAAAAGACGTCGTACGGAGCGTACAAAAAGGGAAAGACCAGATTATTTTAACTCCCTCCAAATTGAAAATGAACTGAAAAAGATGAAAAACTTGCAAAAAACTCGGAAGAAAAATGAAAATTCCAATGAAAAAGATGGTGAAGGCTCAAACAGTGAAGAAGGAGTCGATACAAGTACTCGAACTAGAGCTGGCAACTTGAACTCCAAAAATCGTAAGCGAGGACGTCCTAAGAAGAATACTTCTCAGAATAAATCAGATTCGAAAAATTCCGAGAAAGAGGATGAAGTTGATATGTTTGCTAATCTTCCTAAAGAAAAAGAACTACAATTTAGCATAATTCTTGCTGAAATTAATCGCAAAATACTATTGCAACAGTTTAAACCAGACTGACTAAGTTGTTGAATTTTTATGTATATATATGTATATGAATGTGATTGTGTTTGTTTTAAAATAATACAAATAATAATTGTTGTTTTGCGTAATGCAATATCCTAGCATTAATGAATGTTAATAAATGGTATATAATTAATCAAACTTTCTAAACATTTCTCTTGTTGTTGTCTACTTCTTTCGAATTTCATAATATGTTCTGCAAAATACTCTTAACTCAAAATTTTAATATTGACCTTTTAGTGTATATAATAATAACGAATTTTCAGTTTCTGTTAATAATTAATTTATCAATCGAAACTATTATCCGAGGTTATTTAAGATAATTATTTAGTAAACTGAAGATATTGAATTTTTATAATAATTATTCATTTGATACTGTGGCTAACCAAAAAGTAACTCATTTTATTATATCTATATTTTGTTTATTGATAGATGTTCTTAGTTTTGTTTGGGTCACTTTTTGAAATGGATTATGTTTCATCCAATGGGTATACTTTAAAGGTACATGTGAATAAAGCAGGAATTTATAGGAACGTAAATCGACATAAACTATATGAACAAGAACTTTCTTAAGTAGCAAAACAAACCTGTGTTCATTACTATATTTTACTTATGTTCCATTTTACTAATATTTCTTTCACAAGTAACTATATAATACGTAATTCAATAAAAATGCAGGAATTTTAACTTGACAAAGTCATTTGGTGTAAACTGATAATTTCTTTTAATTTTCAGTTAACTGGACATTACCGAAAGCCTATCAAACAGCTTATACCTACACCTAAATAAAAAAAACAATGATTATCATTTATGGCTCTTTTTAGTTTATTGGATGCAAGGAAATTCAACTTTATATTTTTTCTATTCTGTTTATATTTTTTTTTGTGTGTGTGAACCTCCATTTTGTCCAGCATTTAAATAATAAAAAGTTGGCAGAGTTCTAAATTTTTTAAGATGTTTTGTGTGCATATGGCTGATTAAAAAATACCTAATTTATTACATATGTATGTTATTTGTTTATTTATAGATGGTCTTTGTTTTGATTGCCTCACTTTTTAAAATGGTTTTTAGATATAGCCTAAAATTGGTATTTTCCAAATAGGTCAAAATCTAGGTAAGTATCGAAAAATCCACTTTGTGCTGAATTTTTAAGCACGGCTCAGTTGGCATAAATTTAATGAGATTGTAATTTAAATAATGGAATTTTTTTCTTTTTGGATGCTGATTATTTAGATATATTTTAAAAATATTTTAACAAAAAAACTAGCTCCATCCTAAAAAAAAAAAACTCTTTATATTTAAAAACAGATTCAATTTCATCACTTTTATGTTCCATAAGAAAATCATGAAATTCAAATCTATAAATTTAACTAAGTCTTTCCCTAAATTAAGGAAGATGAAAAGCATTGTCCCAAAATTAAGCAATGTTTTTGGCATTTTGATAGAATCTAGTTTTTAAAAAAATTAGTTGTACCTGTAAAAGACTTCAAAACATTAACTCAAAAGCTTTTAATTGGAGTACTTAGAAATGTTTTTATTGGAAAATTATTTCCATAACTATATTAAGTCAAGAAAAATAAGGTTTGCGTGTAAAAAAAAATCTCTTGTTTCTTACCTTATCATTTTTGTTTATATTATAGTATAACAGCTAGGTAATGTCTATTGTTTATATCATAAATGTATCGTGTACATCCATATAAATTGAGTAAGTGAATACTACTTTTTTTTTAATATGAAAAAGACCGGTAAGTTTTTTTGACACAAAAATATATTCTCTATTAATCTCTTTGGTTTCATGATTTATGAAATATGTTTTTGATAGAAAAGGTTCGAACCACATAATAAGTTTCANTTTCCCTTTTTGTTTGTTTTTTGGATTTCCTCTTTTTTACTTTCTGACTACTCTCATCCCTGTAAGTTTTAATAGCCAAAAGATAAACTGATGTTTCATAATGGCAGATCTTGATTTTACCTGATTAAAAACTTAATTCCCTTCAAAAATATTTAAATAGGAAATAACAGTGGACATGTTTGAGTGCTCAAAAGCAGGTGCCCAATTTCAAGACTTGCCAGAGATGAATGAGAAGAAACAAAAGTGATTTTAAAAATAAAAAATAAAAATTGCCAACGAAAAATGAAAAAATAAGTATGAGAAGCAAAACTACTAGAAAAACCACAGTAGCCAGGGGAGAAAAAAGATGTTGATGAAACACAAAATAAGAAAGTCCACAGTGGCAGAGTGGGGAAAATCAGGGTAAAATGCATTTCCATGTGCCATGGAGAGGTAATGCGGAACTAATTAATTAAGATAGTTATTAAGAACATAATTTAAGACCTTGATATATTTTGAATCCAGAAATATAGTAAATTTAATAGTGATAATAGAAATTTAGATAGAATAGTCAGAAATTTAGGCGAAAAGTATAGATATCAGGAATCACAAATTAATATTTTAGTAAGAAAAGCACAAAAACGCTATTGAAATCTGTCAAATCATTTGTGAGGATAGTGGGCTAAAAAACATCAAAACCAGTTTGACTGCCTCATGCTATTTTGAGGTTTTACTATAATCGCATCTCCTTTGTTTCCTCTAGTAAAGAAACAGATTTTAATGTGTTCAGTCCTAATTTTCTTTTTAGGGATTCATTAGATTTCAATATTGTATTTTTTTTTTCTCTTAAATATTTTTAGCCCCTAATGTGCATATATATATATATATTTTCATTATTAATAGCTTTCGATACTAAAACTTATTTCTAATTTCACTGATCGGCCAATTTTTTTTTCTGTTTGGTACAAGTATCAAATAAAAATGTATGTACAGTGAAACCCCGTTATAGTGAACTTCCGGATATAGTGAACATATAATATTAATATTTGCGGATATAGTGAACCAAAAGAATAGAGGAAATTGAATATTATGAACTTTTTTCTGTCTTCGACTGATTTTTTTTTTCCTTCATTTTTTGGTAATTTTGAAATTTCTTCATAAAATACATATACCGATTTTTAAAATCTATTGTTTGGAATGTAGTCGTAAGCATTTTTCTTGTTTTCTTCTATTTCAGTTTCCCATCCTTAATTTTTTGTACGTAAGACGAAGAGTAATAAAAAATAAAAGTTAACACATTTTTTGTTACTACATATTGCTTTTCAATCATTTTTGTATTTCTTATTATTGGTCATTTATTTAAATAATGTGTAATAACAGGAAGCAGTTCGGAAAAATTAGTCAAGATTTTTTGCAATACTGATATAGTTAACTCCCGGTTACAGTGAACAGAAATTTGGGCCCCTTGAAGGTTCACTATAGCGGTGTTTGACTGTATATTTAAAGCGAGTTATAAATAAAAAATATTCATTAATTTGAAAAAGTTTCAAGTGAATAACGTGATGCAGAAAAATATAAAATATTCATGTTTTGATCTAGTTTATGTTAGCGTTATTTGTACTCTGCTTTTAGCATGTTATAAACAAAATAAGACTTTTCTTCGAAATTTTCTAGAAAATATGGCACCTATTTTTCCCTTTCAAATGCATGAGACGGTGCAAAAAAATATAGCTAATTCACTAGGTGTTCACTAGTTTATGTTAGTGTTAAATATGCTCTTAATTTCGCATGTTTTGGACAAAATTAGATTTTTGACAGCTTTTCTACAAATATTTCTAGAGATATATGCTCGTTTTCAAAAAATATGAAGCCTATTTTTTTCATTTGAAAAAAGTTTTAAATAAATCATTTAGCCTCCTAGTCTGTGTTAGCTAGCGTTAAACATATTCAGATCGCGTATTTTAGACAAATAGTTTTTTTTTTTTAATATATATATATTGGCATATATACTTGCTTTCGGGAGAATTTGGACGCTCATTTTTTTTTTTAAATAAAAAATTCGCAAATCGTTCGATTGTTATGTTAGCGTTAAATATACTTCAAATTTCGAGTGTTTCGGAGAGAAATAAAAATTTTTGTTAATATTTCCAGAAATATATGCGTGTTTTTGGAAAATATGACACCAAATTTGAATAAGGTTTTATATTAATGAAATGGTGCAGAAAAATATTAAAAATTCCCTTAGTGGGTGGGGGGGGTCTAGCTTAAGTTAATGCTTTGTACACATTATATTATTATATAACCAGCGTTGAGCAGCCGATCCAATGACTATCAATGTTTAACTCCGAAGTCTTGAAATTTTTAACACAACCCAGAAGTACAGGGAACTCTGGATCAAGCATTGGGATAAACTAGCTTCATGGAGGACTTTTTGATGGAACTTACCCGCATTTACGTAACATAAAGAGGAAAAGAAGGTTAGCCCGACGACAAGGGGATTCTAACCCATGATCCTTCTACAGCTGACTTTATCTTACGTCTCAATGAGGTCGGTGCTGGCCGAGAGCAGAATTCGAACCAACCAGCCACAGTTGAGATTCGAACCTGGGTCACCTCAGTGGAAGGCGAACGCTCTATCTCCTGAGCCATCGCAGCTCACTCTTTAGATTTAATGTATATTTTGGGGAAAATAAGATTTCTCTAAAAATTACTATAAAGATTTCTGGAGTCGCGATGGCTCAGGGGATAGAGCGTTCGCCACGCGATGACATGATCAAGGTTCGAATTTTAGAGGTGGCTGGTTGATACTGAATTCTGCTGCCAGCTAGCACTAACCACAGTACTGACGTAAAATATTCTCAGAGGTAGGCGGATCAAAGGTTAGAACCCCCTTGTATTCGGGGTAACAGCGAACGGTTTTCGTGGTTTTCTTCTCCATGTAATGCAAATGCTGGTTAGTTCTATCAAAATGTCCTCCATGAAGGGTAGTTTTCCCCAATGCTTAATCAGGAGTTCCCATTTCTGTGCTGGGTTCACAATTACAAGGCAACGGCGTTCAAAATTATGCCGGTTGTTAAACGCTGGATATATTATATTGGTCTAAAATTTGCATTTCTTGTTTCGCAGATTTAATATTTAGTTATTAGTAAAGTTAGTTAATTCTATTCTTAAAAAGTTTCTCTTAAACATGATATACTTACATCTCGTGTACATAAAAGAAGTCATAAATAAATTCCCTGTTGCTATAAAGAAAAAAAAATCTTAAATCTGTTTAAGATGCATCTTATTCGAACGCAGATTTCCAGAGGAT